CACTTGCGATATGATTTGCAATTTTAGGCGGAATGATCAAATTTACAACAAAATTGCGATTCATTGTTCAGCCCTAGTTACCTGTCAAACATCTCCTAGTTCTTAACTGAGAGTTGTTGCTGCTCTTCTTGGTCTTATGTGATGGCAAACTGAATAAGTTTGGGGTTTTGGACTGTTGGTCAGACAGAACAAGATCATCATGTTGCCCAACTTTCCCATTTACAAAGCGTAAGCAGAGCTTGAGAAGATTACAATGATGTGACTGAAAGGTATTATCATGTCACGTGATCCATAATGTTAGCTACAGATAGCAGTAGAGCTGATACGATTAGTCAACCTATTGAAAGATTTTTTTATTTTTAAATCAATTGAATTAATTAAATGTTTAAAAATGTTCAAGTTAAAACCTTGCCATTTGTTCTCTCACTTACGTGATTAGCAGTAAGCTACTTCGTGCTGAGACTGAACATGGAAACGCCCTGAACGTCTGAAGAATTGACCTGTTCTGGTCATTCCTACAACAATCTGGATAATACATTTTAATGCAACAGAGCAGAATGATTTTACTACCTCATCAAACAAAAGTAGTTTTTTTATAATATCAGAGCAAACCGTTAACAGAATGCAAAAAGAGATGAGCAGACTGGCCTTAATGAGCCGAAATGTAGCAACTGAGCAAAGGACAAGGCAAAAAAGTTGTTTAGAAATGTTTATGATGGGCTGTAAATGTGAACATTTACAATTTTTCAAACTGACTGAGTGAGTGCACAGATTTGAGCAGCATGGAAGACAGTGAAGCTGCACACACACCTAAATACAGTTTTGTGTCCGTAGAATTGAGTATCAAAAACTGTTACATAATGAACGTCTGGTCAGATCTGATAGCTTCAGATTTAGTCCTTTTACAGCTGCTTGTGTTTAAAAGCCCACATAACATTTGAGACTTTTATTTGGGAAAAAAGAAAGGTTTTTAGAGAAAAACATGTTTGTATTTCTCAAAGTAAGGTATGTGATTAAAAAAAGTATCACAAAAATGTAGGTACTGAATCAGTTATCAAAAGGTCCCTAACCAAACCCATCCCTAGTTTAACAGGAGATATAAGGAGTGTGTGCTCTGAGCCAGTGTATGATGAAAGTCATGAAGTATTCAGTTACACAGGCACTGTGAATAGATGGACAATAAATGGGAAATAACAAATAACGTTAAATAGCAGAGTAACAGCAGCAGGTCACCAGACAGCTCTGCAGGCTGGTCATTATTAACAATGTACAGACACATGGTAGAAGTGCTATCACAGCAGTAATCCAGCAGGAAAACATAAGCCACATGTCAATAAGTCAGACCTGATCTACAAACAGGTATGCAGCTTTTAAGATGCCAAGTGTGTTCTGAATGTAAAAGGATACCGAGAAAATAATAAATCCACATTATGTTAGTATGCATAGTACAATATGAAGCAATATTTGCTATACTGGCAGTAAAACATCATTGGGGTTCAGGACTGGACTGGACAGATTTATTCTGATGTCACAGCATAAGGATAGTTTGTATACAAACTGTGTAAGGTTAGTTTGTATACACCAGGAAGCAGGTTTTTAATCAAGCATTTCTCTGTTCTTGTCTCTTGTCATAATCCCTAAAATCCTGACCATCATTTTGGTGGTCATGATGCTATGACCACCACGTGCCTGTAAGGATGGTATTAGCTAGGTGACGAACTTCAACTAATTTCTCCTTGTTCAGAAACACCTTCTATCTAACTTCTATAATAGGCCTGATTAATTTCACCATTGATAATTTTGTCGATTATTTTCTCAATTAGTGAATTAACAGAAAATAGAGAAATTGCCCAGCATCATCACAAAGGCAAGTCCAATGAAAAGTCTTGCATCCAAACTTCTCCTATTTTGCTGAAAGAGCCCACTGATTTCCTGGGACCTAAGTTCATAATGCATTAGTAATGTTAGTTATACCACTCTTTGGATACCAATACAGTGCCTTTGTCAAACGTATAATGTACATTTTAGGTTGAGAGTATTCAGTCGTAGGAATATTAAATTAAGGAGATTATCTTCTATGGATCGCCAATAGGTGATCTGTAACGTTAATTCCAGTTTGCGTACAAGTCACTACAGACAAAACAAAGCTGAAGCTTCAGCACAATAGCTCAATGTTTATTTTTTATTTAAAACAAAAGTATTTTATCATAATGCTATCTTAGATACAGTCATTTACTACACAGGGACTTGATTAGCTTTTTTTTTTAAAAGCACATTACCATGAGAGCAAATCTTAGCAAATAAGCGTATGGTCCAGAATATTAGATCCATGGTATGGCTGTATGTCATAACTAAGTCCCCATAGAAAGGAGGACACCTGAGCTCCCTAATGTTAACGTTAATACCCTTGTCTTTTATCACAACATCTAACGTTAGGTTCTCCCTTCTCAATTTTTATCTCTGGGTGCCATTAAAATTCTGCCAGCAACGTGTCATATGACAGTCACACAGGCGTAATTAAACAACGCAGAAACACGCAGCCAGTAAGTTACACGAATACCATGTCTTACCTGTGAAACATTTCGGCAGAGGTGAAGAAACCACACAGAAAGCGTCCGCCCTCAGTCCTCCCTGTTGTTGTGCCAGCTCACTCAGGTCTGGAGTGTATCGTTACTGTGGCTCACAACCCGCCTTCACATCCCGGACGACGGCTGGATAAAAAGCAGGAAAGGCGAAAAATGGGCGACAGTCCTTCACAGTGTCTTTCTGTGAATCCCTACCGGGCCTGGTTATATCCTGACTGCCGACAGTAATAATAAAAGCAGAAGGTGTTGACTAGTTGTCTAGCTAGCAGCCGCCATGTTTGGCCGTCTAGCTGTCAAACCTTGTGCTACATTCAGAGCTCCTCGGAAAACACAGAATGTGTTTTGGGATCCGCGGTCAATGGTTAACTGATGTTCTTCCGACCACCACCGGATAAGACGCTCGCTATACACGTCTATTCACCTCGTAAAAAAATCGTTATTTAATTTTTTCTTTCTTTTCATTATACAGTGTCAATTTATTTAATTACTTTGTCCATTACTCAGACACTTGTTTGTACTGGAACAAATTACCTAAAATATAATTACAATACAGTTAGCTTTTAGTTTATTCAATCTATTTTAATCTAAGTAAAACGTCACACTGCTCTTAAGCTAACGTTAACTAAGTTACTGTAAAAACAATATCAGTTTCTTGCATCATGGATATGATGCTGCGCTGCCAGTCAGTACAACCAGTAGAACCTTTTTATATACAGTCTATGAGTAGAACCTACAGTGTACTGTCAGGCGCCACCCCAAGGAAGAAACCAGTTAGCACACATTTGTTAAATTACCAAGCATAGACTTTACATTATCATATAAAAAGTTAAGGTAAATACATAAATAATACAAAATAATGAATTGAAGAATTATATTCCAATAGACGTGGACCTGTTTGCGTCTCGAGAGACTACGCACTGTCCACTGTGGTTCTCCCTCTCGCCCCCAGCAGAGCATCATCTGACACCAAACCCACCAAGTTTAAAGTCCTACTGGTAGTTTGATCATAGGATAGTCTCTTCACCAAAACTGCAGACAACTGTATTTAATAATTAACACACCTTCTCAGCAGTAGTGGCAGTCCAACTTTTAAGCAAATGTCCTTTAAATCAGTGGGCCTACTTTTGTCCAAATCACTTACATACATAGACTTGCTTTTGCATTGTTATATTTGCATTATTATTCATGTAATTACAGTATAATTCAGACACTATTCACAGCAGACATTTTAGAATAAGCACAGGTGTAATTAACATTTATATAAGCTGTGGTGGAAAGCCAAGTACTGTACTTAAGTACAATTCTGAGGCACTTGTACTTCACTTGAGTATTTCCATTTCATGTTGCTTTATTCTCTGCCGTTTCAGAGGGAAATGTTGTATATTTGACAGCTACTTAATATTTAAGAGTTAAGCATATTATCAGCTTGTGGTTGCATGTTATGGTGCACAGTTAGATATTAAACTACCCATCAGTATATAAAGACCTGAAAAAGGCCATTCTGCTGCATAATGACTATATTTTGCTGATAATTAAAAGCATTGTTTTGAATTAAGGAGTTCTACAGTGTTATATTGCTACTTTTAATAAGGAACAGAATAATAGCATCATTCCATTCCCTTTTGCTGGTTTCAGGGCCCAGCTATTGTGCATTTCACTGCCATGGCTTACTGGGGCACATCAAAGGAAATTAACCATTGTTTAGTGACCATTTGATTAGAGAGCTAGAGCCCAGGCTTTAAAGAGCAACAGAAGTCTCTGAGCATTTTAGCATTTAACAAAACAGAAATGCACGTTATCTCTGTCATGTCCTGCACCCGAAAGAAACTACAGCTCATTTTGCTGCTGCATGTCTTTATATGGATGTGGTCAGAATGACAAATGAAACAGAACTAATAGGCTAAACCTGCATACACCCACTGACTTTTAAGATAAAGTGGGTAAATACAAATGTCTAAAACATCTTTAGCATGTCTGTGATGGTTTCAGATACCTTACTGTTCTGATGCGCTCATGGTAACTATACTGTAGCTGCAGTATAAATGTAAATGCTCCGTACTTGTATAGCGCCTTTCTAGTCTTTTCGACCACTCAAAGCGCTTTTACACTACATCCACACACATTCATACACTGAGCCTAAGTGCTCAAACGGAAACTAACATTCACACTCATTCGTACACTGGCGGAACAGCCGCCAGGGGCAATTCGGGGTTCAGTATCTTGCCCAAGGACACTTCAACACGCAACCAGGGGGAGCCAGGCATTGAACCAACGACCTTCCGATTAACGGCCAACCCGCTCTACCTCCTGAGCCACAGCCGCCCCACATACAAGCTGTATACCTGAAGGGTAAATGTCAGTTACAGAAACTCCACTTTTAAAGTGGTATTTGGCAAATTTGTGGTGAGACGTTTAAACTCTTTAGAAAATACATTTTATTATTTTCGATACAAAGTCATAGAAAACTGTCTGATTTTATTCTTCAGCATGAACTTACATTTGTATCAAAGTTGTGGAAGGAATAAGTGATTGGTTTGTGGTGTGTTACATCACTGTACAAACAAAGATAAGTTGCATGACACTATGGACCAAGTTCATCAAAGAGGGAAGAAGAGGCCTTTCCCATCAACATACCTTACTACATCCAGATAAGGAAGTGCATAGATCAAGGACAAGCTGCCAGACTCACCTGACCTCATCCATATACAAATTAATGTTCAATCAGCATTTCTGAAGTAAAACCCGATTTTACATCTTTCATAATCAGCTGTAGCACTTCTCCCTGTTTTTCCTGACTGAACTCACATACTGGATCTTCTCTTTCAGTTTGTCCTCCCAGTCTTTGCACCAGTTCAGGCTCCGCTCCAGGTTCTGGTAACGGGTGGCCAACTTGTCCAGTGCCAGCACTGCCTCAGGTAGGTCAAAGGTCAGACCAGCTCTCTGCACTGCTGCCTGAAACTTGGCTGGAGATGCTGTTGCAACGTAACACCTGCAATAAGAGTTTTAGTAATTACTTCGAAAACTGGATAAGACCTAGAGAAGCTGAGTAAAGGCACATTTTGTTAGGTGTTAGCACACTCCGAGGAAGGTGTAGATGGAAACACATTTGTCTTGGACATGGAGAGAGACCACTGGATACCAAATCAAAGAAGTGATGTTTGGGGGCACAGTAAGTGGTGAGGGAATGGTCAGATCTGGCAGGTTATAGTGTTAAGGCAGTTATATACTTGAGACAGAAGTTAAAGGACACTTCCAGTTTATTTGAGTCAGTTTGAGTCTTATTTTCAGTTGTATTTAGAGCTAATGAGCATTTGCTAGCATGGTAACACACAATTAAGTTGACGATGGTAAGCATTGTGATCATGGTTCCAAGCTGACGTTAGCATTTAGCTAAGTATTGCCTCACAACATGACTGCAGACTCTTGTATGCACACCAGTCACTGGTGTGTGACTGTTTTGGGATTGGTCTAAAATATTTTATGATTAGTTGCGTTTTGAAACTTTTCAGAAAAGCTCTTTTCTTCTTCTGGTTCTTTGTGCTTGTTCTCTTTCAGCTTCAGAGTAAAACTGCTTCTACTTACTAAAATACGCCTCTGGAGCAGCAGTTGTTGTTTTGGTTATCTCAATTTCAGCTGAGACTGAAGACAACTGCAAGCATAAATCTTTTTCTATGAGGCTTCATATTTGACTGAATTTCTATTTCTGTCAAGTTGGACATTTTTGAATGTACACAATCTTTACCCCTTAAAGTGATGTCATCAGCTTTATTTCCTCCTTAAGGCTGTAGACAACCTGAGAAATGTGTGTGTGTGGCTAAATAGATGAATACAGTATGTTTGACCTGTGGAGCCTTGGGCTGTGTGGACAGTGGTAGTGGTGCCATACAGCCACAGCAGTGTGTGGACACAGCACATACTGGTTTTCCTCCCAGCATCGTCTCATGGTATCCAGGATCCCTTCATCAGACACTGTTCCAGTTGATAAAACTTGTGACAACTAGAAGTAACACAGAGGGAAAGATCATAAAATTATTAGGGTGAATGTAGGTTAAAATGTAGAATTGGGGGGGCATGCCTGGAATGATGCAGTAAATGTTGAATGGTTGGTACCAGATTGCGGTGGTTCTCAGGCAGAGATTGTCTACGTGATCGTTGAAACTCCTCCATCATGTTCTTCACTGAAGCTCCGTCTCTGCCCAGCAGTAGCCAGAACACACGCTCCATGTTGTATGGATCCTATAAGCCAAAAATCCGGGAGTGTGACACAGCATCCTGAATGACCAAACATGTCAATATAACTTTTATGTATGGGAATTCCTTGTCCCCAGAGGATGAATCCTAATGTCTTAGGATGACCAACTGGTATTTCATCTAGTGCCACCATTGGACCAAAATTTGCACTAGCGATATCAAAACCCATTGTGCTAATTGTGCAGTATGTTACTGATCAGATTTGTGTTCCTCAGATGTTAAACCCTTTCCTGTTAAACACTGAGATTTACTTGCCCACGGGTCTATATTGGGACATTTCGCGGATAAATTATAGTGAAATTGCCATTAAATTTGCTGACATCTGCCTGCGGGGATGAACCCTCAAACCAAACATAACATTTAAGCCCCACTACTGGTAGTACTAGGAATAGTTATTGTGAACTGTTGTGAATGCCTGCTGTAGGTATACGCATGACTATACACATATTATATATTCATTCGTTCTGACGATGGTCATGAATGGAAAAGACTACTGACTCTGTCTTCAACTTCTTAAATGTTGTCTTCACTATCAAATAATCTAATAAGAAAGCCAGATGGCAAGTCACAATTCTTGTGGACCCCACATGGTATCTCTGGGGCTGAAGAGTCCCAATGTGTAGTTACATTTTTGAGGAGGCATACGTCAGGCTTCATGTGTAGGTTTCGAAGCTAAGCTGTGAGCCTTTAATGCAGTGCCTTTAAAGTATAAGTGCAGCTATAGTTAAAGTTACAACTGTTCCTAAAACCACAAATTATGGGTTGTACAGTAAGTTTTGTACAAAATAAAGGTCTGGAGTGAATCCAGTTGTGACCTGATACAGAGAAATAGACAGTAATGGATAAAGATACATGATCTTATCAAAGGTAATCTTAAGGCTGACATGTCTAAAATTCTCATTAATATGAGCAGTTATCAGTACAGGCTGTGTAACTGTTACCTGGATGTCTATGGCAGGTGCCAAGGTTTGTGTGACATTAGCTGCCATGGAAAAGTCACCAGTGGTTACCATCCTGTGCACTATGTCATTAGAATTCACCATGGCCACCAGCTTCAGGGGCAGTCCCATCTGCTTTACAATGTAGCCAGCTGGGACACAGAGAGACAGGAGGGAAAGAGGGATAAACATTCTCATAAGTCTTTTGTTAAGGTAGAAGCATGTTTCTGAAAGTTTGATACCTTTGCTACCAAAATGATTAATGACTACATTCAATTACACAGACCAATGACTAGACAGAAGTAACTGGTTGTAAATCTATTACTACATGGGAATTAACTTTCAGAAATGAATGCCGACACAATTAGTCTTAGTTACTTGGTTGCTCAATTCTGATAACTGATAAACAAAATTATTAGCCGATTTGAGATTATCAGCTTTCACCTTCACAAATGTGAAGATTTGCTTGTTTTTCTGTCAACTAAAAACCTTCATATATAATAACGTAATAATAATAATAATATTAATTTGTGATGGGAATTTCTCACACATTGATATTTTGTCAAATAAAGGATTGAAGGCTCTCAGGTGGGCGTCCCGAGAGCTGGACAGGGTGGAGCAGGAGACTTCAGACCAGTGGCCTAAAGGTAGGAGTCCAGTGGCCTGGAGGCAGAACTGAAGGACCGAGCAGGTCTGAAGGGCAACCAAAAGGCAAAGGCAGAAACCCTCTGGAGGCCGGGACTGTTGAAGTTCTCGCTCAGGGGATTGTTGCAGCACAGGAGCTGGAGTCATTTGCACTTCAGCAAGGACAGGAGTCATCTGGGCAACCGACTGGACATGAGGAGCGGGAGTCGGCCCGGTCAGCGACGTGAAACCAGTAGCAGTTGGCCGGGCTGCCAACAGAGAGCCCGGAGCGGCCGAAGGAAAAGCAGACAGAACTGGTACTGAACAACACAGGCGCTGGAGTGCTAGCCAGCACAGTCTCTGGAGCACTACTCAGCTAAACCTCTGGGGGACTGGACAGCAAAGTATCTGTATCTCAGTAAAACTGGCTGGCAAAGTCTCTAAAGCGTTGTTGAGCTTAGTCTGGGCAGTGGCGAGGACGAGGAGCTAGGCAGCGATGAAGATAAGGAGCTGAGCAGCAAAGACTATGTGGTACTGGGCAACAAAGACTATTGGGCACTGGGCAATGGAGAGGCACGACAATGGCGAGAGCCAGTCCTCCTTCTGGAGGGCTTCACTAGAGGTGTCTCCAGGGCAAGATCCAGCAGGTAACTGGCTGGTACAAGACTAGCCGCAAGGCTATCTGGCTGGAGGCTAACTGTGTGGGTGCTCTGTGGCTCCAAAACAAGGTCCAACAAAAAGAAGCCAGGAGTCTCTAAAACATTCAGGAACTGGGACTGATGGTGCGTTCCATTTATCTCGGAAGTCGGCGCTGGGAATGACATCATACCCAAGTTGAAGGCATTCCAGTACAACAACAGAGTCGGAAAACCAAGATTGATGCCTCTGGCCATTTTTGGAAAAAACAGCTGATAACAACACATTACGCAGTATTTTGCACATACAAACATCGTAGCATGTCTAATGTCTACGGATATAAGTTGGACAGGACTGTATTTAATGAGACACAAATAAGACAGATGTACAATAAAGAGTAGGTTACTAAAGCTTTCACTACTGTTGATTCTGGGAGCAGCCATTTTGGATTTTAAGCTAGGGATTGGTGAGGTTCTCCTGACTTTCCAAGTTGGAAATATAGACTTGAGGGGGCGTTTCCGTTGAAACTAGGAAATTCCGACTTCTCATGTCAAATGGAATGCACCATGAATCGGACTGGAGCTTTCCAGGGGGCTGAATCAGGACAGGATGGCTCAAGACTGATGACCCCGAGCCTAATCGAAGTGAAGGCTGGTGGCCAGCAAGCTGGGATGAAGGCTGATGGATAACAGGACGGGGTGAAGTCTAGTGGCTAGAAGCCTGGATGCTAACTGTCTGATTACTAGCAGGTTGGGTGCTTGCAGACTGGAAACTAGCCAGCTGGTTGCTAGCCTCAGCGTTGTCGGGTGACTCCAGGGAAAACTACAAGTTAATTTTGAGTTTAGAAATAACTGCTAACATCCCAACCACAGGTGAAAAGTTCAGAAGCGTGGGACTAGAGAGAATGTTCTCCTTGAGAATATACACAAATAGTCTGCACTTATATATCCATAGAATGTTTAATGTCATCCTGTTATTTATTTCTCTCTTCTAGTTATTATTTCACTCCAGGCACAGAGATGCAAGTGAGGGGGCTTGGATGTTCACCTTAAAATCCTTTTTTCATGCACCTTTGCTGGGACATTCTTTTGTGAGTCCGCCATTCCTCAACTTTATAAAATAATTGAAGCAATAGAGAACATAATTGACTAATTTGAAAACTAGTCACCTGGAGCCAAATTTGCAGGCATCCTTGTTTAATGCTGCATCATGTGGCTGTTCAGATAGACGCTTTATTTATCCCAGAAATTTACAAGAAACAAAGGACAAACTGCCAAAACTCAAGTACTAACATAAAAGTAATAGAAATAATGCCATTTAAGCACAGGCATACAAGTGTGCAAAATACTCAATATTACTCGAATACTCGAATATTTATTAATTCAAGATGGATTTCTGGGTTAGTCATAATTCATTCAATCCCTCACCAACAGTAATCAACTGAACCCACCTGCAATGTTTCCCGCCCCTCCAGTAGGCACCACCACCTCCAGCTCAGGCATGTCTAAGTCAGCCTGCTCCAGATCACTGAGCTCCAGGTAAGCATAGATGAAGTGGGCGAGCTGGATCATGACTCTAGACCAGTTGACTGAGTTAAGGCTCATTAGGCCATGAGACTTGACTAGCTCCTGGTCAGAAAACAGATGGCGTAGAGGCTGGTCTATGTCATCTGAGCTGCCGTCCGCTACAAAATGCAGAGGTAGAGGTAAAACACACTCAAAAGATTCAGAAGAATAAAACTGAGGCTTTCGGATAATAACAGCCTTTATTAATTTAGCCTCATTAGGATTACCTGCAAACACATGGACATTATCCTCCAAACAGGTTATCATGTGTTTCTCTTGGACTGGAGTGATGCGTCCTCGGGGGTAAACCACTACCACATCCAATCCACAGAGACCTTTTGCACTCTGGATGGCCGAGCCACCTGTGTCTCCTGATGTACCTGGAGAGGAAAACCACAAATGGACTGATTCCAATACATTACATTTATCATCTATGACACTATCTATGATACTTTGTATAGTCTTGGTGCTTCTTTCTTCCTCTAGGGAGCATTAATGTGCTAGTAAATGAAATGATAATCACAGTAATGACTGTCTATGTCAAAGTAAAGCCTCTTTATCTTCAGCCACATACTTCCTGAAGTTTTGTTTTCAGTTTCTACATCTTTTCTTTTTAGTCTATGGTGTGTATACTGCTGTGCATTTCTGTGCATGGGTCTAGTAAAGAAATTACAGAATGAAATCCACAATTGATTCTTGTGAACTGATTAATTTGAGGTTTAATTTTTGGTTAAGGACAACATTGCCCCGCACGAGCAGCTAAATCCATCAAAGTTTACTTGTTAAACTCCACTGAGTAACATGAATCAGGACATGAAAGAAACCTGTCTGCTGATGGAACATTAAGCTTCATTTTCATACTTAACAATCCCAAGTATGAAACACTTCTATTGTGTGTTTTCTTTATAACATTTATACTTTGTTTTTTAATATTTTAAAATGCAGCATATTACTTTAAAAAGTATTCCATTCATCACCACAGACATCCAACCTTAGGAAGCTCTTAACAGTGTGCACCTGCTATTGCTCTTATGCTCTGACTCTTGTCAAAGGAGGAAGTCAGGTGGTAGTATTATAGAGCCAGAAACTCCATGTAGGAAGATGTCGGGTGGATGCATTAGTCAAACAAATGCAGACTTTAAGGAGAATATTAAGGAGACAGTTATGGTTTGTTTTTTGTAACCATGACCACAATCATAGCAGTGTCAGATCAGAAAATGGTTTATTGTTGAAACAGTTATTTGTCATAGTTTTCAGAAGGTACTGAAAAATTCATCAAAAAGTCACCTTATCAATTGTGGCATCAGATCAGTTCTGTTCTAGATAACGAGCCGCAGTGGCTACACCTCAGAGGGACATGGTACTTCAATGCATTTGAAAGAATTGCTACTGCACTAGTATGGTTCAGGGACATTTGGCCTATTCTACATCAGTGGAAGCCTAATGAAGTCACAGGTTCTCATCAGGGTCATTGCCAGGCTGACTTTGGATTTTGCCTGTTCCCATGGATTTATTTGCCTTTGCTGGACTTATTCTTTGGTTTTAAACTGCACCAGCTCTGCCACCTAGTCCTATTTAGGCCCAAGTCCCCGTGTTACTGGTTACTACTACAGCTTATGTCATAATTTTACAAAAGCTCAGTTCTCCCCATACACCAAGCTTGTATACTCAATTGTCATGGGGAAATAGGGCCCTGGCTTTGTGCACAGAGAGCACTGTTAAAACAAATGGATAACGTTTCTCCACTCCCTCCCACCGGAACAAAAATGTAAAAATATAAAAATTGCTCTGGTGAAGTCATTTAGAGTTTGCGCAGTATTAACCAGTCAAGACTACAACTGTGGGATCACTAAATTGCCTGTGCATTGTCTGATTTATTTGTTAACATCCTAACTGGCGGCTGTGGCTCAGGAGGTAGAGCGAGTTGCCCGTTAATCGGAAGGCCGAGACTGAGGGGACAGGGCATGTGGCGAGAACTTGTTCCTAAGTTACATTTTTGCTTATGACAATAAATGACGAAACAGGTTACGTCAGCTACCATGGTACCACTCCCTCATTCCCCTGATCAGAGCTAGCATAGAGATGTGACAGCTGAGAGAGGGGACCGAAAAACGCTGCCACTTCAATTAAAAATGTAAATTCTATTCATGAAATATGAAGGATCAAATGTGTGAAGACAAGCGTCAAACATAAAATCTAATGCTTGCACAAAACATTTATACTGCAATAGGTGGATGGTAAAACATGGAGTGTTTAATAAAGATGGTTCTGTTGATTTCAGAAGTTTTTTGAGTTGTGAGTTTGAGTTATTGTTTGAGTCATTTGAGAAGTGCCTATGATCATGTTCCACATTCTATCGTGTTATGTAGTGTGGGGCACTGGTCTTGGTCTTAACTTGGTCTTAATACACTCTGGTTTTGGTTAATGACTTGATGTCGGTTTGGGTGGTCTTGACTACAAATCAAGGTTGAATCACAGCCTGAGAATCATGGAATCAAAGGAAAAAGAACAGTAATACTCCCAGCTATAATTGCAAGAAAAAAATGTCTGCAACAAACAAACAAACAAATTTCCTTAGTTTTATCACATCACCTTAGAGGTGTTAGTTCTTACCTACAACAACGGTAGCTCTGTGATTCTCTTTTTGCAGGAAGTAGTCAAGGAAGCGCACCGTGCATGTCATGGCCAGATCCTTAAAGGCCAAGGTCTCTCCATGAAAGAGCTCCAGGACCAACAGACCCTCCTTCAGCCGGGCAATTCTCACCACCTCAGGGACTGAGAAACCAGACAGGGCTCCACCCACTAGGACTGGGAGAGGGAAAAAGATGAAAGAGAAGAATTCAATTTCTTGCTGTGCAGCTCTGTAATGGAATAGGTTTGACAAATTGCTCTGCTTTATTTCTTTGGTTAGTTAACATTCAATCTTTAAAGACTTTAGTCACTTTAATCATGTGTACTTTTACAAACATCACTCTATATATCAAATTACGTTGCGATAGCAGTGAATACAGTATTTCACCAGCTCACCCTCCAGGTCCTCTCTGGGGACCAGCTGAGTGGGGATGAACAGGGAGGCGACCTCCACCACCAGTTTAGTGTAGGACAGCCCCTTCCAGCCTTTAAGGGTGTCCGGGCTCAGGACAGGCACACTCTCTGGCATGAACATCCCCCCATCTGGAGCGTAGCCTGAAAACAGCACATCCCGGAAGCTCCATCCATGGACCCCACCCCGAGTACTGCAGTACTGCATTGGACAAACCTGTAAATGGGGACAAGAGGTTGGTGGGCTCCAATTCACAGCCGCCAGGGGACATTTGCTTCATGTCATTTCCCATCTCTCTCCCCTCATATCTGACAGCTCTCTAGTAAGGCATTAAATGCCCCGGGGAAAAAATACAGTACATAAAAGTGCATCACAAACCTGCCTTTTTGAAGGAATAGGCGAATACAATCAATGGGCCAGAAAGGCATAGAAGCCCCAAGTGCTTTAAACATGCATTCACTGACTGAGTTGTGTTTCTGGCCACCTGATCAAGGCTGGATTACAAAACACTGCCCAGGGTGCCATAGCCTTGAAGGGTCCTAAAAGATCCAAGTTCACTTGCATGTGAATTGTTTTTGGTAATTTCATTAACTGCAAATTTGTATGAGAATTTCAACACTAAAGTACAATATTAGCTGAAGTGTGTCCTGCTTTAATAGCACATTTTTTAGCCATGTCTTGTACAGGAACCCTGTGTAAGTGTAGTTTGAAGAGCTTCACAATAGAACTTTACATATAAGGTTTTGTGTGTTTAATCAAATTACCACAAACAATAAACAAATGATGTGTTATTCCAGCACAGGAGGACTGGCTGCACTGGATGTAGTGGGAAAATGTAGGCAACAGGACGGTAGGCTGGGGGTCAGTAGGCAGCAGGGGAAAGTAACTTTACTCAAGTACATTTACTCAAGTAATGTACTTGAGAATTTCCATTTCATGCTACTTTCTATTTCCACTCCACTACATTTTAATTAATTTTTTTCAGATTAAGATTTTACATATGAAGAGGCTATTTGCATTTGCTTTTTTTGGCTTGTGACCCCTTTATGCAAAAGCAGTGTCTAGTTGGAGCAGCACAGGACCACGGGACGAAACAACCTTACTGCATACAAAATCGAAAAAACTTCTGTAGATCCAACTCACAACAGTGAACAGTAAAATGCTGCTTTAACACTGATGCATCAGTTTTAACAATCTAATAATGTCACATATAATAATATATCAGTCACAGGGGACATTTGACTACCCAACCAGTACTTTTACATTTTGATCATTTAAATACATTTTGCAATTCTTCTCTACTAGGATGCAGGACTTTAGCTTTTAATTGAGTATTTTTTACTCAAGTAAATAACCTGAATACCTCTTAAATTACTGTCAGTAAGGGGCCAGCAAATTTTTGCATAGGCTGTCTCTCTTCTTAGCTCTGTTTCCAACTCCTGAGAAAAATATTCTACTTTTTAGCTGCTAAATGTGTTCACCAGCTAGGACTGGAAGTGTACAGTGTGGTTTTAGAGCTTTTCCCTGAAAATAGCTGCCTATTGCTGCTGGAAACAACACTGATGTCAGTGAGACTTAACCAAAACAATAAAAATGCAGATCAGATAACTAAAACCTCTGCTGAATGATGATAATTCATGTGATAATGAAAAATATTGTTTAGAGATGCTTTAATTTTTTTAAGTGTAAATGTGTAGGTAGGGTAGAGCTGGACGATATGGCCAAAAATGTTATCACGATAAAAAGTTTCAAATCTTTTGAATTCGATAATTATCACGATAAGTATCTAACCTTTATTTCTTTTGAGTTTAAAGGCTGATTTTTGCTACTGAGGGAAAGTTGAAGAAACCTGATGGTTAATTGTGGTTTAAACTCATCTTTATGGTCAACACTTGAGGCCAAACAGTGGATCACTTCACAAATCTGAGGTAGAACATTCAAAACAATTATAATAAAATCTTTTTCAACATTTTTTTTCAGTCCTTTTTCCTCAACAAAATAACCATCTTAATAAAAAATTAAGTCCTAATTCGTGTATGATTCAAGTGAATAAAATCAAACATTTATTGAATATTTATTGAACATTTGTTATATTGTTGAAAAAAATTATATTGCGATAATTATTGTTATTGTTTTATTGTCCAGCCCTAAGGTAGGGATATTAAAGGCTGACACAAAGAGTTATATTACAGTGAGCAGTCAATGTGAACTGTGCCATTAAGTAGTTCTGACGTTTAAATAACTGCTACATGTAACACCAGGCCAACCACAGCAAATAGTGGATTTACACTATAAATGTGTCTTTGTGTCTCTGTGGTAGATACCTCAACAGATCACAATTCAAAACAGTAAATAAACAATCAGCACTGTTAAAATGTAATTTTACTGGAGTCCAGACTTATGATAGCTATCATACCTGCTAAGTCAACACAGACTATGTACTACTCTATCTATTATACTGTCACACAAAGAATGCACAATACGTAACTCTGCAGTAAAAAATGATTTAAACAAAGCTCTTTCCTCTTCAATTTCTTTCAAGAAAACAAATTCATTCACACTTACAGAAAACTTGGTACCAGCCTATACTGCTGTGCTTTCTACAAGAAAGATAGATCTATTGACAAACTGTTGACTGTTGCAAGGAAGATAAAAGTTGAACTTGAACTTTGGAACAGCCTTCCCAGGGAACTACAGTATGTATTTATTATGAAGTAGCCTGCAAAAAAAACCTAATAGTGTTATTCTATAATAATCTATGGAGGAACAAAACTGCCAAAATCAAAAATAAATACATTTATATGCCATTAAACACACCAAAAACAAGTAGACATTAAATTTAGAAACGTGACATGGTATTTTTGTTTTAATTTGCTTCTATATTTATTTACATTTGCACATATCCCCATTTATTTAATAATTATTTTATTCATATATATTTACTTTATTTATATTTATCTACTTTTCGCCTATTGGTTGATCAACATCTGAGTGCTGACATGCAGATAGACCGTCAGGCTCACCACTGTCATACCGAGGTGATTACAGGGGCTCCGACCAGGACTCTGATCATATTTTATGGAGAAAATATTTTCTGGTTTTTCCTTTGTCATTCTACTTGTGGTCATGTTGTCAGTTTCAGAGACCTTAAACATGTTATGTGACATGCTTCACTAAGAACAAATATTACTGGGACCACCACAGATGAACATTTCATCGCAGCTACACTACAAGAGGAGCCTGAACTACATGAAAACAAGAGCTGATGCAATAGTTGATTTGATTTTAAACAACTTGTTTGATAACTGTGTTAATCAACATATTAACTTTTATGTTGTATTGGATTTAATGTTGAACAGTGTACCTGTTTTTTATTTTATTAACATGATAATTGTCATTTTCTTCAATCATACAATTATTAGAACTCTTAAAATACATTGATTGAGTGAAAAAAGTATTTGCTTGAGCCAGTTGAAGGCACAGTACACATGCACATGAGTTCATGTAATCAGGATGGTACCACCTCCATCTCAATTTGAGTCTGGAAAAACAATGTTTTTTGTACAATAATCAGTGAGAAACATTGTGCTCCAGCCTCTACCGTTTTTTCAACATAATTCTTGTGTCATTTGTGGTCTGATAAACAGAACATTTATGAAATTCAATGCCCCATATTGCTATTTGCCAAGCTACTTCAGGTGTCATATTTAGTGGGACCTAGGTGAGGGTGAATAGGTTGGAAGAACCATAGATGCATACTGACAATATCAAGTTAGCTTTAGGGAAAACCAGAAAATATTTTCTCCATAAAATACAGTCAGAGTCATGTACCGAGCCGTATAATAACTTCGGTTTGACAGTGGTGAGCCTGACTGTCTGTCTGCATGACTTGGTGGCCACTGGCGTGTTTGTGTGGGAGCAGGGCATGTAAAATTGATCCATGCACTCTGATGTTGATCAACCATAAGACAAAAGTAGACCCCATGACACACTGAATGACGTGTTTGCATAATGACGCAGAAATGCCCAAAGAAATGTAAAAATAAAACACATAAATGAATAAGTTAGGGTAAATAAATAGGGGCAAAAACACAAAGGCAAAATAATACATAAGCTACATAAATAAAATATATTTAAAAAGTAAATACTGTAATAAATAAATGTAAAATTAAACTAAGAAAGTATAAATAGGGGGATTTCTACAAAGGTGAATAAATAATATATTATTTTTGGTGCATTTGATGGCATATTAATTTATTTATTGAGTCATTTATTTATTTTTATTTTGGCAGTTTCGGCCCTCCAGCAGCGTTTCCACTTACGTTAACAGCCCAAACAGCTCCGGGCGTTTAGTTTATCAAACCACAAGGAACTTTTAAGTTGCATGCTGTTTACAGTGATGGAAGAATTACTCACATCCTTTAAAGTAAAAGTACCAATGGCACTTGCTACAGTATCACTTTGTATTTCTGTGTGGGACAAAAAAGGGGGCTTGCAAATGGAAAACCTGACAGCAGAGCTCGACCTACCAGCGTTACCAATAACTTAATGTCAGCCAGGAAGACAGGCAGGCAGCTTAATAAAGACATCAGCTCCTCTAAAAGCCTGATGTGATATTTCTGGGGGTCTCTAAAGTATTGACAGCATGATTTATTGCCATTCATCCCTGTTTTTATCCATCATAATGGATCATGCGGAGTGTCAGACTTCATCCAGCCAGAGGGAAAGATCACCTGACCGGTCGTTCCGTGATCGCCTGTCCCTGGTCCGCCCCCCTCCCTCTCCGGCTAGTAGCCTGCGACCGACACGCTGTGACGGTTCGTGATCGTTCCCTCTGGCTGAATGAATATTACCATGATCCGTGCACTACTGCAGCTGGGGGCTCTCCGCAGCGCCATATAACTTTCTAAATTCTTCCCTCTCACGGAGAAAAGCAAGGTCAGGTCGCAAACACAGCCGCAGCTGTTGTGTGAAGAGTAATGTAGAGTATGATTTAAAATATATATATATTATTATTATAATCAGACAAACATGCCTGATACTTTCACAGTCAGCTCCAGGCCTACATGCTTGCAGCTATTAATGATTCAGCAGCAAGAAAGCGATGGTATAACGTTAGTTCTCACACTGAGCCAGCTTGTTCAGTCACCGCAGGGTTTGCTAGTTTGTTTATATCGCGGTTAATATGCAGCAACAATAACAGCCTAAAGGAGAAAGCAGCCTCTGATCTGGCTATCGGGTTTTCAGAGAGCTTCGAGCTTACCTCGGATGATCTGTGCAGGGGAGTCTGCGCGACAATCTACAACCCTCTTCCCATTGGCTCAAAGGCTGTGGGCGGGACTTTGGTCCTCATGGAAGAACCACTCGCAGGACTCATTTGTCGTGTCATTACTTCGAAGCAATTTTGAGTTTGAAAATCCTAATATAGGCTAATTACACTTCATAATTATGTTGACATTATCCTGTCTGACTCTGCAATATAATTCTAATCATATAACTTGAGGATATCATCATTCATTTAAATTGGCTATTGATGCTACAGTGCAATTTTAATATGAACATCTCAAACTGCAAAACAACTTAAATGGTGCACTAACGTTAACTGAAGGTTAAGGTAAGGTGTAATCTTCTGGAGGCCCTGAAGAGAGGTACAGTGTGCTGATGTGTTGGCAGAGACAGATCAATGGTTGTTGTCGCGGTTGTGTGAAACTTGTAGGAGATGCAGCTCTGCAGACAGACGCACCGAACCAACCCTTCGATTCCACTGCTGCAGCCTATTATTGGGGCCCAAACACGACATGAGGCCCAGTGTTAATGAACACAATTTACACAGTAAAATAACTCACAAACACATTGAGGTGAGGTGTGTTGGGGCTCTAAATCAGTCCAAAAATACTACAGAATACTACTACTGCTTTCAAAAAGACCTTTCATATGGCCTACGTTCTGACTTGTCATAGCAGATAGCACAGGGATTACATTCCAGTTAAAGGGGTAATATGTAGTTTTCAGCGGCCACTAGCGGTGCGGTTTTAGGGTTGCAACCAGGCGCGTGCTCGTATGTGCTCGGCTCGAACTCATGAGCGAACATAATCTGAAACACAGTCGCTTTCATACAGAGATCTCGTTGTTCCCGGATCTGAGGCGGATCAAATCGGACCCCCTTTCAGGTGTAGTGCCGAAAAGTGACTGCTGTCTGCTGGAGCTGTATTGCCCAGTCTCTTCAATCACTTTCTGGCAAGTGAAATAGCCTACTGCATTTTTTGGGTTGTATTGGCCATTTAAAGGTATTTTAAGAGGTAAAAAGTACTAGGTGAGCTATAATCTGTCAAATATAACTCTTCTGAATGAAATCAAGTAATTTCAGGGCAGAAATAACCTTTCAGTCAACAACAAAAGGCTTCAATCATTTTCTGGCAAGTGAAATACTGCATTTTAAGAGTTGTATTGGGCATTTAAAGGTATTTTAACAGGTAAAAAAAGAGTGGATTGGTTGGTAGGCCTACACAGCAAGTAAAATAATGCAGAGTCATAAGGATAATTGCAAAATTGTCTTCATTTTCTATCTAAGTTGGCAGTAAGTTATGTTAATTAGGCTACAGCGCGTTTTCCAAATATTAAACAAAGATATTACACATAGGCCTACCAAACATCACTTTTCAGCAGTAACGTTACCTTTTAGATAGCACAGCGAGCTGGCAACAGTTAGTGAGCGACACTGAAGTTCACTAGAAAAGCAATTTCTGAAGAAATTGCGGCGTGAATGCTGTCAATGCTATCATTAATGACATTGTTGCCACACTTTATAACATTATAACAGTTAGAATAACAGTAAGCAACATTACTGTAGTAAATGGTTCTTGCAATGTTTTGTTGTCCTGCACCATTATGCTGCATGCATGCACCATTTCTAAGTGAGTTTACAGCCCCTTTACAGGAAGTAAAAAATGATTTATTAATAAGTGATTTCATTGAAAACTGACATATAGCCCCTTTAAGTACAATGTTAATCCTTGCAGCTATCAGCACACACAATACCAGGGCCTAGTAACTGGTAATAGAATGCAGCAGTTTTTAATGCTGTGGTTTTCCTCTAAGGGCATGTCAAAAACACTCTGCTGTGAAATAGGTAAACAGGTAACATTCTGAGTGATCACACAATATAGTGTGGGGTAGGCAGCCATAGCTAATGGTAAAAATTACACAGGTGGTTCACAAGTCAAAATATCTTGCACCAAGATCTCTCTTGAAGAGGACTAAAGTGGAATCTTTACTGCAGTGAAAACATACCGTCTGTAAATTTATCAAGGTTCATTTATTATATAATACACAGGGTTTCACAGTGACATGAAAACTGGCACCCTCTTCACACTACACATACAGAGCATAAAAATAAAAGCAATATATACTGTTGGATACATTATACAAGGTGGTGGTATGACGATCTGCAAAACCAGAAAACAGAAAGTTCCATGTCATTTCTTTATGATGGAGTACAGAGGATGAGGTGGAGATGAAGAGTCTCACAGCCTGAGGGAAAAGCTGCTATATTTCTGTATCTGTTCCCAGAAGGCAGCAGGGTGAACAGGCTGTGGCTGGGTGGGTACTGTCCTTTAGGATTCTTTGGGCTCTGGAGGCACCTCGCCTCACTGATGCTCAGGAGATGGGTACCGATGAGCCCTCAGCCCTACTGATGTAGACAGGAGTGTGTGCGTTTATCTACATAATCCTTAAATCAACGAGCAGCTCATTAGCTTTACTGACGTTGAGCAGTACCTTCTCTGTACATCACTATGCAACATCAGCAATTACCTCCCGATATGAAGTCTCATCGTTGTTTGAGATCCGGCTGATGATGGTGGTGTCGTCAGCAAACTTCACTACAGACTTCTCTCCATGTTAGGGGTTTGCAGTCGTGAGTGTACAGTGTGAACAGGATCACACAGCAGTGGGGGCATATTTTGTGTGTGTCTTCAGGTTTCTAAAAAAGACCATGTATTTGTACAAAATATTATGTAAATTGTCCTAGAAAACTATATTTCATTAGGCATTTTCCAAATTATTTTCTGCTGGTAAGTAATGCTTACACCACTTCACAAAGAAAGATGATTGAGTTATACCATCATTCATTTTAATGCACATCTGCAAACATGTAAAAACATATCTACAAGTCTTAACACTGGCAACATTACAAAAATGTGCTTACAAAATTGGAACCATGCAAATAACTGACATAAGACATAACGAGTATAGTGAACATCACCCTTCCAAAACACACACACATTCATCAGGATAGAAATAAATATACATTACAAAGAGGAGCATGTGGATGCCATCAATTAGTGACAGTCCCACAAAAAATATTCACAGACTTTTGCACGTGATAAAAAATACCTTCAAATGCAAAAAATCTTTGTTTTGGTCTTAGAATGCTTGGTCTTTCTTGCTCTTTCAAAGTGAACATATTCTACTTTTATACGTGGTTGCATATAGATATCTAGCTAAAGTACAATTGAAAAGGTTGATTATTTACGATTACTTTTTCTCACAATGTTAAGTAGGAGGAAATGCTGCTTGCAGCAGCAAAAGGTCTGTGGCGGTAAGGGGATTTTAGCCACTTATTTTTAGAACTATAATCAATCTGGCCTCCTCTTTTGCAGACATTAGATCTGTCTCACTGCAGTTTAAGGTGTAGGATGGCACAAGCCTAGGGGTCATTTAGGTATAAGAGATTAACCTATTACACAAAGTTAAATCCATCCAAAGGCAGCTAGAGTGAGTTATTTTGTTTATTTTGAAGGACAGGTCTGCTGGCTAGTGATAATGAGAGTCACAGATGGGGTAAGGAAGTCAGAAAGTGTTAAACTATTTTATGGAATTTATTGACAATAAGAAATATGGCCAGAGAGAATAGTTTTTGATGGTTACATTTTATTGACTAGAAGATCCTAAAGTGTGAGGGGCTGTCACCAGTGGACTGATAAATTGGTATCCAACAGTCCTTATATACTGGATTTAAAATCAAAAGCAAATAGTGATTTGATATTTTTAACATCTCAGAAAAATGTGTCAAATGCCATCCAGTATTTGACAGGAGAAGCACTGATGACAACAGAGAATGACACCATTTCTGATCTGTTATGAGATGTTGAGCGATTTTAATTTAACACAGTCTAGAAGATCCTTTTCAGTTCTTATGAAAGAGCACTTCTGACCACCCCCCCCCCCCACACACACACACACATAAATGTGTTCTTTGAGCAGCTCATCAACACATTTTAAAAAGCACTGCATCGTTACATACTGTTCGTGAAAAGTAAACAGCTTCCACACATCAACAACAATAAAGACTACATTTCAGTAGTGTGTTTTGTACAGGATGGTAAGATTTAAACTTTGGTAGCAGAAAAAACAGACAGGATCATATTTAAAAATCCTGTACTTTACAAGTAGAGGTGACACAGAGTGAGTCGAGTTGACCTCTTCAGCAAGGACTTCTGAGTTTCATTCTTGGCTTACAGCCGAATGCCGATTCATTTCTTCAAAATCTTCATGAGTATGCATTCAATGATTCAATAAGCTGGATCTCACCAGTATATTTTGAGCTTTTTCTGTTTCCGCACTGATGAACATACAAGCTTGTGACTGGATATTACGGCAGTGGCAGATTTAAGTTAAGACATTTACATTCAAATTATAATCTATACTCTATCAGTCTGCCACATGGATCAGATGATATGATCTGTTGAGCTGTGCTGGTGTTCACACTGAGCATTATCAGGCTTAACCAAAAGTTAATCTGCACCGTCAACCCTGGGCTATTTATGCATTTTATTTATCGTAAAAGAGGGTTTTATTTCTTCAAAAACAATCAATTGCAGGCCTGTGTGAGCTTCAGCAATAATGGTCAGTCATGCTACTCCACTGTCATTCCGCTTTATCTGTTAGCTTTGCTAAAAGAATAAAGAGTGGGTAGAGGTTTTCATGCTCATCATCAAAAAATATCAATTAGTCATCAGGATATGTTATCCTTCAATAAACAACCAAATATTATGACATACTTCTGGAACAGATATTTAGACTCATCCATCATTAAAGTAAAGGGCTGCACGACTGGTCTGATTGCAATCGCGATGTCGTCATGTGCGATTACATAACCACAAAAAGTGTGCGATTTAATAAAACAGAATAAGTGTGTGTGAGCTCTCTTCTGTGTGTGCGCTGCAGTCTGCTCATTATCTCCGCCCACACCAGGCTCTCACCTGTGCCCCTAAAAACAGATAGACCTAAGTGCAATCTTTTTCTGAGCAGTGTGACAGTAACTTTTAAGACAAGAATCTACCGACCAATCACAGGCTGGATGGGGCAGGACAAAAAGTTTGACGTGCTACAGTAAATCATTAAATGTTGAACAAAATGATCATTAACAAGTTAGGACTCAGTATTAACAAATGAGAGACTGATGTAGAGCCTTTTGCTTGCACAAGGATTTGATGAATAAAAACAACCCACAGAAATGAAACAGTTCCTCCTCCAGGTTGTGGATAGAGACTCTGCATTAGACAGATGGACATGGAGCCGGTGCCAGTGTGCCAATATTTGCTGCTTCTAGCCTGTCCAACTTGATCACAACTTGTTTATTGTTTAACTTCGATCAAGTTGAGAAATCTACATACAAAATGTCAGTATTTCGTGCATTCTTTGACAATTAAGCAAGTAGACTCATAGTTCCATTTGTTCCATTATAATTGAATCGCAAATTGCAATTTTGTCCACAATAATCACAATATGACTTTTTTTATTCAAATCGTGCAGCCCTATTAAAGTACTGATGTGAGTTGCACTGACACAACGTAAGGATGTACTGGGTGTTTCTGAGATGTGACGTATTTAATAACACGCTGTACAGTTATTAGAAAATAACATTCAATATAGCTGCTAAGGGTCTTTTTGGTGTGTTGTTTTTGATAGTAGCACAAGACGAAGATTGTTGTTTAGTTTGGCCCATTCTCAATAAATCAAATATTTTAGCCATAACCTCCCATTCAATGGCAACATCTTTGTTAGAAACAACATACATGTCACATTCCATCTCCAACAAATGGAAGACTCACTAGCTGCGGGCTGGCTATCAAATCTGAAATTTTATTTCTGCATTCCAAAATGTATCCTAGTATTGAAAACTGTCAGCCATTAAAAGTCTGGTCAGAATGGTAATCTTTTTACTTCCATCTCCAATTTAAATCTTCATGTCAATTCAAGACCATTTTATTTTAGGGAAAATCTCAGTCAGCCGTTACAGCAGTTGGCTTCTTTTGTTATTGTAGAATAAAGGGTTTTATAAAGTATCAAAAGAAGTAAAATTGTGGTGTATGTACCAAATCTGTTAACGTATTGGCATCGTATTATATAACAGCAGAAACTATAAGTATGACTTGTAAATAGATGTAATACTCACACTATTAATGACTGGTCATGATAGAAGTATTGTAATGAAACTACTGTAGAGATATGTGTAAACCCAAGTTGGAGAAAAAGCTCAGCAAGTAGTGTTCAGTGTGAAAAGCACCACCATTTGCTCTGATGGTTCTTGCCCTTCTTTCAATACAAGGTAAATGGATTCTGCAGCACAGGGCTGCACGATGAAATGAAAGTAAGCATTTTGTTCTTCAAAATAAAATGATCTACATTGTCAGTGGGTCAAAAGCATTGCTGAGACGTAACGCTCAATAAATAATGCTTTTAAGAAGGTTACTCATAAAATATTCTTTCAGCATCAGTCTACCCAGAAATACTGTCTCCTGTTTCAAACCATTAAACAGATAAGGCATACATGTTTCTTACATTAAAAACGTTTAAAAAACAAACCTTAAAGAATAAACACGTGCTATTGCTCAACCCAGCTCAATTAAACACTTGCTCAATCTGACTCCATATAAGGATACAGTGGGATCTTTGTTAAATTCCTGGCTCTTGTTAAAGATTTCTAGTATGTTTCAGGACAAACTGAGATCGGTAGTGTACTGTAGGACTCAAGTGGCTCCCTCTCCCTCAGATGTTCAGTGCAAACATCATTATCTGAGCACAAGTCTCCATGGGAGAGATGGCGGTGAGAGGAGCCTTTTCCCATAATGCATCAAGTGGCATCTCCTCCCCACTTTGAGGAAGGAATAGTTTCAGCACGTCCTCAAAGGTTTCACAACAGTCCCCACTGACCAAACATCAGACATCAAGTTAAAAAGAAGTATGCTGGGTTTCCCCCAACACATCTGTCCAGGCTCTTCATTGATCAAGTCCTTCCACCAAACATGTTTGACATGACAATGTTGTTGAACGTTTAACCTCCAACCTACCGCATCGGCGCAGAAAAGGTAGGAGGAAAAGAGTCAACAGGTTAGGAGTTATCCTGCAGCTCTTTGGCCTTGGTCAGGATGGTGTGGACATCTGAGATGGGGTAATCCTAAAATGAACATCAGTAAAAGAAAAAGAAAAAAAATCACTCCGTGTGAGTCAGTTAAGGTAAAAACATCAGCTGTACTGTACGTCTTCATATGAAGTTTATAAAAAGCCTTACCTGCAGTAATCTCATATTCACTGTGAAGTCTCCTGCCAGTAAGTTAGCTCGGATGAGTCTGTGAACAGAAGAAGTCAACAGAAAGCATGATTGACATGAAGAGTCAGTGGTATCGCTGCTGTAGAAGGACAGGAAGCACAATCTGAGAAGCTCACATGAGCATGGCGCAGCAGACCAGGATGAGGAAGTGGAATCGCTCCTGGTCAGAAAACAGGGTGTCCCAGATACGGATAACGTCTGGCAGAAGGAACTCCTGAGATAACAACAAGGTCAGCCAGCGGAAGGTGAAATACTGGGGTTTGATGTTCTGCTCTTCCTGTGTGGACAGATAAATGGGGGGGGGGAAGAGAGGAAACCGTTTTAGTACAGACCTGGAAAATTGTGAACCTATCCTTTACCAGGCTCAGAATGTCAGCCTCCCTCCATCTCTTGCTTTCTTCCTCCTCTTCCTCCTCTCTCTCACTAATTACAACCGCAAACTCGAATTCCTGCCCGGGGGTTATTCACTACATATATGAGTAGTAGCCTCCTCCAACCAGCGATGTTGCAGTTTACATCCTTTTCTGTCCAGACTCAAATATATATATGTGTGTTTTGGCTAAATGGAAATTATCATTATATTGATGATAAATGTATGATTCCAGTGAATAAACACTGTTGAACTGATAAAAGAAGGGTATTAACAGGTACACATGTACTGGATTCTTATAGAGTAAAGCTACACAAAATGTGCTGCTTCTGTTTCCCCCTGGCATTTTTAGATGCAAATCTTCTCTCATTCACTCACAGGATCACGATTAGCTAGATTAGCCGATAGGGGTGCAACAAATAATCGGCATAGTCGACAAAACCCGATTCTTCGCTTTTAGCCAAAAAGGTTATGTAGTGTGGCATTTGCACCTCTCCTGGCCTGGGAGCACGTCATTTCTGCTGGAGCACCTGAAGAGGAGGCACGCAACGTCAGCTCTCTGGAGGACGTCGGTCAGTGAATAGTTAATGGCGTTGAGAGTAACAAATAATTGTTACACACAACGATCCTGTTCACTTTCCAGATGTGCCCTGACTTTACAATCATTAACGATGCATCGCTCATGGCGACGTTTACAGCTGGAGAACACGTTGCTGCAGAGGGCTCAAGATTAGAGGACAAGTTCATACTTTCTTAAAAAACAAAAAAACACTTTAAGTTAAACTTTAACTTTGAGTTAGGGGAAAGTTTACAAACTTTGTGAAACGCTGTCTACTACAGCATCGGTATTATTGGCCCCCTCTTGTGAATTCGGCAAATATAACAATGAAATTATTCCTGTCTTTGTATAAATATAGTGTCAGTTTGTATTACCAGCGTGTAAACTGCTCTGATCAGTGCTGCACACAGTTATTTCTCACTGTAGACCCGTTTGGTCCGTGGACTGGATTTCAATGGAACTTTCTGTTGCTGTAGCAGAAACGTTCATTAATACAGGTTCTTTTTAAAGCAGTATTCATTTTATTGTCTTCACTGCTAATTAGCACATGCCTAAAACAACCTCAAGTTTAATTTAAAGCTAAATAAGAGGCATTGTGTAATTTTGCCATTCGTAATCCAAATAGTCAATGATTCGTTTCAATAAACGATAGATTAATCATCTATCAAAATAGTTGTTAGTTGCAGCGGTATTAGCCAATACACTGTATGCATGTCATGTGATTACGATGACGCTCGACATTCAGAATGAGGCAGGAAGTGAAAGCCAGAATGGATGAGATGGAGTGCCTGTACTGTGCTGGTTATTGTTTACTCATAATGTGGTTCCAGTCAACATGTGAAACGCCCAATTCATTTTTAAATTACTTTAAATTAAATTAAATTATAATAGCTAAAAACCTATTTTCAGGTCACAATGACCTTGTGTCAAGAGTTTCACCTATTCAGTGTCCGACCAGCTGTGAAATGTGTTCACAATCTGCCCCTCTGTTCCTGAGTTATGGTGTTGAATAACAGCCAAAAAAGGGACATTATGATGTCACAGTGACGTTAACCTTTGACCACCAATTTCTAAGCAGTTCACCCTCGAGTCCCACTAGAAGACGCTGTTGCCCGTGACTAGTTTTGCTGTACAGAATCTGTTATGACAAAGTCAATAACAATTAAACTCTAACACCAAATACATTGTAAAAGTAAATTACCAGTAAATATGGGGATTTATATTACAGCAGAAACGATTAGTTGAAAGAATTAATCTACAGCTGTTCTGATGATTAAGCAGTTGGGTAATTAACAATCTCTGGTTCAGCTGTGAGGATTTTTTGACGACACCTACAGTGAAACATCAGGATGGACGACGACGTCGGTGTGGCGGAACGTCTTACAAAGGCAGTGTTTCCCCAAACACAAACTTTACTCAGCTGGGCTGCCAAGGTTTATTAACGGCTGCCCAGGTGTATTTGGCGACCCATTTTAGCATTTTGCAGAGAAACACAGAGAGAGAGGTTATCTGGTGTTACGTTACAGGAACTTGTGATGGGCATTTTTGACAGTTTTCTGCAGATTTACATTTATTATTAATATTTATTAATTGATTAATCAAGAAATGAATTGACAGAATAATGTGCTACGGTTTTCCGTCAGCTCTCCGTCACTTGGTTTTGTCCTGACGTCTTCATAGCTGCATATCCCACAGGGAGCATTTCAGAATCAGAGTGTTTTGCCTGCCTGATTTTGCTGATTTTGTTGATTTTGTTGATTTGGTAATCATTACTTTGTGCTTCTAATATGATTAAGTAGGCTACGTAGTTACATTGTTTATTTTCTTAACCGTGTTTATTGTAGTTTTATGATTGGGAGTCTGCACAGGGTGTTTTATTTTGAAAATTGACCGGATTCTCTGTGCCGTTCTGTGTCTGACTTCCTGTCCAGTTCGATCTGCTCTGTGCTGCTTGATGTAGCTTTCGTCAAAAACAGACTGCGGAGCAGAGAGCCCTGTCTGGGACGAGCTGCGGCCGCGTCTGGTGGACTCACAAGCACTGACTATAATGGCTGCGATTAGCTCCGGCAACTGCGGTGCAGCCGTTAAGAGCATGACGTAGCTACATCCAGTGGACATAGGTTACAGTTAACAACATGCGGTTTGAATGGAATTACTGGCGTTTAGAGATCAGTTCAACACACCCCCATAGCTGGCTGACAGGAGCAGAGAGTGAGCTGGAAGTGGGAATGAAGACTTGACCTTACCAGCTTGAGATAGAGCTCCAGGTCCTTGTCTTTGAGCATGGAGTACACGCTCTCCATCTTGTAGGTAATGCCGCACTGAGAGTCATCCAGGCTCTTGATGAAGTTGTCTCTGTTCTCCGACATCAGGTTGGTAAAACAGAAGAATGTGTCTGCTTCAGCGTGCTCTGAACAATGAAGCAGACAGAGGCCTTATATTTATTTCCTGTGTGTGAAACATCCAAAGTGTTGGGGGGGGGTTTCTATACAAATGTTACCAACCTTTCCACTGGCTGTTGGGGTCCGTGGCAAAGGTGTAGTAAATTGGCCCAACAATCTCATTCATGCCCTGTACATAGGCAATACCAGGGTTGAGTTTGGCATAGATGAAGAGGATCCGCTCCACCACCTCCCAGTGTGCTTCACTCCCATTGGGCAGCACCTCATATTCATTAGATGGATACAAGTTCAAAGCCTTTCCAGGGGAGCTGACCTGGGAGCACAAATTTAGTTGACCACAGAGTATAATGTAAAAAAAAAAAAGAAGAAAAGAGCAGTAGGTAAGTCAAAATCACTGTTTTGGTGTAAAAGTAGCAGTAACCTGAAACCCAGTGTCCTGATAATGATCGATGCTAGGAGTAAAGAGGGTTTTGCTCTTTAATGCTTTTTACATGTGTCTCCCTCTTCTCAACTTCTGCCTCACACCATGTTAGCATGCTGACATCAGCATTTAGCTCTAAGCACCACTGTTCCCAAGTAAGCTGGGGATCGAACAGCCAACCCTGTGATCGGTGGACCACCCGCTCTACCTCCAGGCCCCGCGGGGTGGTTAATCTGATCCTGAACAAGGGTAAAAATTATCTGTTGTTGTATTTTCGTTCTGGCCCATTACCTGTTCATACTGGCATTTTTGCAAACGAACTAAGAGCTTTAAACATGAAGTTATAGAGACTGACAGGTAATTCACTGAGTGGACAGTTTTGGTGATGTCAGATGTCACCTGCCTCATCAGGACTGAGCAGTTTGTGCAGCACTTTAATGCTTCTGATGTGTATATTTCTGTTCTCACAAAGAAATAACTCATGATAAGCACCATTAGTATTATTAGACTGCAAATCCAACGGCCCTTAATGAAAACCTGGTCCAGAGTGCTCAAGACCTCAGAATGACCCTCCTGATTAGGTTACTTTTCCAAACAATCCGGATTTATAAAAGTTGATTTTGTAGTGGGATTTTGCATAAATTCAATGTGACACAGAGTCAGCTTTCTGAGACGCTACATCCAGGGAACATGGATTCTCTTCCAGCTTTTCCTCTCCGCTGTGTGTACCAGGACAATAGGGTCCTTTCAGCACTTGACCTGACCTCAGCAAGTCTGTTCCCACTTTAAAAGCAACAGGACTGCGCGTAACGTAACATCTGCACTTAGTGTGATGGACAAGTTCCAACTCAGCTTGGAATTTGTAAACTCGACAATTTGACATTTTTCCTCTGGACATACACACATTTAATAGTCCCTAAAACCATGTAACCATAAGCCAACCTGTACCGACCACGAGCACATATTACACACATTAATAGTTACTTACATTGGTGACGCCGCTGCGGTTGCGGTTTACAGTTTGTGCTTTCAGGGTGGTTTGTTCAACTCGTCGACGCAGAGTCTCATAATCATTCTGAGGGTCCAAGATGAGTTGGCACGGGTATTCTGTAGGACGCTGGAAGAACGCCATGTCTGGGTACAGCCGCCTGCAAACACGCAAACACACTCCTGTCACATTTTACCTGTAGAGTCCACTTCTTTACAAGCTTTAGCTATTTGTTTTTTGGGCTCTTCTGAACCCCCTAAAAAGATAGAAAGAATGATATTTCTTACATCCTGTATATACAACGACAGGCTGCGCTCCTTTTTACATTGACATACTAGCAAGAACAAATTAATACGTATAAAATGATCATACCTTACATCCTTGTCAATTTGTAGTAGAATTTCATTATCTTTGAAGTAGTTATTCCACCTGCTGTCTGGGTTAGGATTTAGAGGCTGAAACAAATCAAATAAAACAAAGACACATGAAATTACATTATTGCCCCAGTTTTGACTAGACTAGCTTTCTTCTCTGTCTCTCTTCATTTTATTTATATACAGCTTCCTCTTTTGGGAAGTTTGTCCTCAAGGTTTAGGAGTGTGTTCATGGGAATTTTTGACCATTCTTCTAGAAGCGCATTTGTGAGGCCAGGCACAGATGTTGGACGAGAAGGCCTGGCTTGCAGTCCCCGCTCTAATTCATCTCGAAGGGGATGAGGTCAGGACTCTGTGCAGACCCAGACTTGTCCATCAGATTGCCAGACAGAAGCGTGATTCAAGAGAACACGTCTCCACTGCTCTATTGTCCAGTGGCAGCGTGCTTTACACCACTGCATCCCACGCTTTGCATTGCCCTTGGTGTAGTAAGACTGCTCAGCTGTGGAAACCCATTCCATGAAGCTCTCTACACAGTTCTTCAGCTATTCCAAAGGCCACGACATTTAGAGGTCTGTAGCTATTGACTCTGCAGAAAGTTGGCGACTTCTGTGCACTGTGCGCCTCAGCATGCACGGACCCTGCTCTGTGATTTTATGTGGCCTCCCACTTACTGGTCGAGTTTCAGTTGTTCCCCATCGCTTCCACTTTGTTATAATACCACTAACAGTTGACCGTGGAATATTTAGTTGTGTGGAAATTTCACGAATGGACTTATTGCACAGGTGGCAACCTATCACGGTACCACGCTTGAATTCACTGATCTCCTGAGAGCGACCCGTTCTTTCACAAATGTTTGTAGAAGCAGTCTGCATGCCTAAGCTGAATGATAGGCACAACATGAGTGTTGCACAGTCTAAAGTCTACAATCACCTGTCTGCACACTGCCTGACAAATGATCGCAGCCATAGGACCGTCACTGAGGTACACTCTACTCCACATAGCATGTCGCTTCATTGAATCAGCAGAACAAAGGAGACTTGACTCACATGGTCCTCCATAGTCACATCTTCTCTGGAAAGACCCAAGTTGGCTTTGGCAATCCCGGGCTGAATGATCATTTCTTTCAGGAACTGGGAGTACTCCTCCCTGCGAGAAAAATGGGGTAAAAATGGTAGAAAGAAGTGACGACTTTAAACATACCTCGAGATTATAGTTTTTATTGTGATTTTTCAATATATACAGTCTCCATATTTACTTCTCACATCAGCAGAGGCACACAACACAGAAACAAATTCAAAACAACAAAACACATTTACCCACATATAAAACAAACAACATCAATCTCAGTATCTTCATATCTGATCAACTTAAATGAAATAACATGAAATATAAATAAACATACAAGTACATCATGGATAACACTAGAATGCAGGTCATCTCTATCAAATACACCTATATTTTATCCCTCACAACTTGGAATCTTTAACAATATAATCAGGGCCCCGTTTCAGAGGGATTACTCAAAACTGTGAGTATGTTCAGCCCAAGATGAGGGAAACTCTGGGTTTTCTGGTTCAGAGAGCGAGATCAGATAAACACTAGATCAGTAACTCCGGCAACTGATGGATAAGTTGGAAAAACATCAGTTCCTCTCTAACTCCTCCCCTCCTGCGAAGCCTGAGGCCGCCGTCTGACACGCCGTTTCATTTCCTCAATCATTCTGTCGATATCAAAACACATATCTGAACATATTTACATCTTTAAAAAAAACTTTACAATCCCAGTTAGATAGGCTATTAGTTTCTTACCCAAACATGATCTTGAACATAACTGCTTTTATGATCAATCCGTCATCGAGGACAGACAGTTATCTTGGCACATCGTGGATTTATCCTCAGCACAGAATAAAATCTGTCCTTCTTTAGGAATAACACTGTGACTCAGACCGTTGCACTGAAACACTTACTGTGGGCTACATTACTGCAGTTTAAACTAATATTTAACCTAGAAAACTGATCAATGAACAGTTGCCTAATCATTCATATTGTAGTGACACTGATTAGAACATTCCTATAGTTATCATGCTGGAGATAATGTGACTATTTCTGAGTGAGGATGACTGTGGTGCAGCTGAAACAAACAGGTAGTAGTTTAAAAGTGAGTTTTTCCATTATTAGCTGCATTTGTTCTGAATGTGTTTTGACAGCATTAATAAAATACGAAATGAGCAAGATTTTATTAACGTAAAATAGACTTCTAAAATTTTACAAAAAAAAAAAAAAAACAAGGAAAAAAGCCTACTGGGTGTGACTGTGACTTTACAATCACAGATTCATGAGTAAACTGTGTCTTAGGTAGCCAACTGCCACAGGCATTTAGTCCTATCAGGTTACAGCTTATTAAATATAGCCTTCCTATTTAAAATTGACAGTAATGGGCTGTAGGAGAATTCCAGCACTTTTTCATTCATTAAGAAAGCTGTATAAGAAGCACTAATGTTAATGTATTGATCCTTCTTCCAGTCCTGCGTTTTAGAGCCTATCATGTTGGCAGCATTCATATTTATAGCTCCACCGATTAAAATGGAGGCTCTGCCTTTATTTACCCGTTGTCATGGTGAATTGTAGTATCGGAGCTCCATTGATGATGGCTTTTTTTCCATCCCCACGCAGGCGCTTTCATCAGACAACATACTCAGAACTAATTCTGATCAGCTGTTCTGGAACCGAAAACTTTCACATCTCAGGCTCAGTCATCTCAGAGCTCAGGGATAAGCTCAGAGTTTGTTAAGCCTGCTTTCTGAAACAGGGCCCTGGACCGTTAGAGTCTGACCACTTTGTTGTCATGTCCCAAAGTTTCATTATTAAGGCTCGAATATACTTCGGAGCGGACACGTACACAGACAGCTGAGGACACCATGGACTACTTTCTGGAGTCAGCTTGGTGGACTCGTTCCACACATGCCCAGTAGATTGGTCGATGCTAGGGCTGGACAATATGGCCAAAAATGTTATCACCATAAAACTGTATATCTACTTATATAATAAGTCCTAATTCGTGTATGATACAAGTGAATAAAATCAAACATTTATTGAATATTTATTGAACATTTGTTATATTGTTATTGAAAAAAAAAAAAAAGAAAAAAAAAAAAAAGATCTTGCGATAATTATTGTTGTTGTTTTATTGTCCAGCCGAAGTTGGTGCCCTGGTAAAATAACGGGAGGCACGTGACGTGTCTGCACAGAGCCTACTCACAACACGTGTGCATGAGCTGTTTATATTATTTGAAATATCAGGGGGGGGGGGGTTGGATTTGCAGCCAGACAAAACAAGACATCTGAAGTAGAAGGGTCTTCTGGGTAATTGTAATCTGTAACAGTTTTCTGATATTGTACCGACTGAACAAATAATAGATTAACTGAAGCAAATTGATAATAAAAATAACTGTTATTTGCAGCCCTAATTAGCGGCAAAAAAGAAGGAATCTATTAAAATGTCCCTTCATTGTGTTTTTTTCTCTGTTGCCCAATAGAGGCGGGTAGGTAGAGTAGAGGTGGGATCTTCCAAGCTAGCTTCACCATGAGAGACTACAATACTAAGCAGTGTCCGGCCTGGTGACTCACAGCTGAAATTTAGTTAATGTCGTCAGCTATACTGATTGATAGCAGCTGATTTTGTGGTTGCCTCGTGACACAAAAAAGGAATCACAAAATAAAAGTAAAGCAGTGAAGCTTAAGTCTCCAACCCCACAAGCTCTTTGATCAAGATTGAACATGTTGTCCTTACCTCTGCTTTTTGAGGGAAGACTCCCATAATGTCTGATCGAGAGGTAGATAATTAAGAAGGATCTGAAAAGAGGGTAAAACAATCACGAGTCAGGAACACAGATCACATTGTTTTGCACGTCCACCTGTGCCACTTCACAGGAAAATCTTAAAATGTCGCATTTTATTTACAACTTAGATCTAAATTCTTTTTTTAACTATACATTTATAGTTATGCCACAAATTGTCCATAATCATCACCTTCAACCCTACCAACTCATGCAATCTGTTGTTCTAACCCACTAACCTTTACTTTAAACTCTTCACTTTTTTAAACTAAGTTTTTTTGGCATCTAAGTTCTTGTCAAACTTCTTTATTTCTGTCATAGTACAGCAGTAGTAATATTTTCTCATTTTTGGGGGGGCTCTGATATACCTACATTGCTAATTTATCACAAATGGAGTCAAACAGGTAGTCTTATATGGCAGTTTGGGGGTGTCCATTATGCCAATGACCAAGTGGAAAAGAGCAGTTCACAATAAGTTTGTGTAGTTAACAGGGTTTGCTGTATCTGACTTGGAACTCTCATATGAACAATACAAAAGAAGAATACAAAAATGTTCTTGCAAGAGGTCCAATGTGTCACAAAAGTTTATATAGAGGCAGGGCAACTTACTTTCCAGCAAAGTGCTCGTATGCCTCCTTCAAATGGGATCCCTGAGTTGAATAAAGAATAAAGAAAAGGACGGTCAAATCCAGAACAATAAAATATCTACAATAACGTTGTGAGCACAAAAAACATCAAGGTGTGAAAATTACCATTGAAGCACAGCTCCCTCAGTGTCTTCAGGTTTATATTTTCCTCACTCAAGGCTCCTTTGAATTCCTGTATCCTGAATAAGAAACACCACTGAGTTAGAGCCAACTGTATCTGAATTACTGCTTCCTGACAAAACACCTCTTACTATTATGACAATAATGTTATCTCAGAAATGTGAGCACATGGTCCACATGAAAAGAGGATTTGCCATTTAAGTCAACCATTATGGATGTGACATATAGTGTAAGTGTTTTAAAGTTATTTTTTATAATTTTGTCCTGACAGCACCGCAACCATGAGACATGGACTCTACTCAGTCCAGCAGTATTGTGTTGTTTGACACACTGGATTGCTCTCCATAGGAAGGTGTTTATACTGCTGTAACTAATGTTACCGCTATATAATGCAAACCAAAACAAAAAAAGATTACATCCACTTTTTCAGCCAATATTTTACCACACACCAGTGAGGTAACGTTAGGGTAACGTTAATTATGTCAACGTTACACTGAGAAATGGATTAAAACATTCTTAAACTGAGCCCAAAGCGTTTTTACAAGGACGCATGTTCTGGTTAATTTGTCATAGCTAATCTAACGGCAGAACAACAGTTTAACTGGAGATAGTTCACATTTATTTTCACCCTTGCACTGACAGAAACACGCTGTCAGCTAATATAGCTCGCTGGATGATGATTAGTTAGGGCTCAAGGAAGTATGATGTATCAGCTGATGTGCTAACAGGGAGCTAGCGTAGCTACTTAAAACAAAGAAGTTGCTGTATTAGTTAACTTGTAAAACGCCCCAAAGGTTCGCTGTTTTTGACATGAAATGGGACGTTTTAAACTGAGCAAGATCATATCCGCCTGTACGAATTGTATGTTTTTGCAACTCTTGCCTGAAACCTAAACTCAGTCTATGTTTGGTTAGCTGACCTGCTGTTGCTGCTAGCTTACCAGTTTTGCTGTTAGGATGCTAGCTGCTACAATAAATGATGTATCGTTACCACCAGTTTTTGACTGTACGTGTGTTCTCCATCCCATGCAAGAACAAATGTTTTGATGCGTCTCACCTGTTTTTGTACGCAGTAGACATGTCTGAGCAGGCGGCGGGGTATTCCTTTAACTGTTTCCAAAAAGGAATGAATTAGCCAGAGGGAAGTCCTCCTATCGCTTCCGTCTTCACAACAAAACCGGGGCTACGCCACGCCGCTGTTTGGGTGCAGAGTCAACTTGCGTGTGTTGGGATTGTTCCCACATCTGGTCTCACAGGAACACCATGTTCCTAGTTTGTTTCCCACTGCCGTTCAGTAATTTAAGTTTCATTTCAGTCAACCAATTAAATGTCTTTATTGTCCACAAATGTGGAAATGTGTCTTTGGCTTCACAGGCTGATTAAAAACCACACCATTAAAAAAATCACAATACAAAAACACAATAAATAACACAGTACAGACCCTGACGGATAGGACTCTAGTGTATGGACATATTTATGAATTTAGAGAGATTGCATTTGGTATGAAAGGCTTTTGTGAATGTTCTTAGTTGCTGCAGCTGCTCTATAGCGCCTTCCAGAGGGCAATTTAATAAATTCATTGAATAAGGATTGTACAGAATCAGATACAATTTGTCTAGCTTTATGTTTCACCTGCGTTTTATATATACATCCCAAATGTTTCTGCTATTTCATCTTAACAGCCAAATTTGTGATTCTGCACAATCTGTTTTTGTCATTCGCCCCCGAAGTGTCCATACCATGTACATATATTAAAAGTTAGAATGCTTTTGATGAGACTTCGATAAACACTCTCTAAGATATTCTTGCTTATGTTGTATGAGTCCCATTTCCGGATCAGATACATGCTGCATTGCTTTTTTAAAAATGTACTCTGTGTTGGGTGTAAAATTAAATTTACAATCAAAAATGGTTCCTAAATATTTTAACTCCTCAACAATCTCAACAGGCTTATCAAAACAGGAGACAAATCTGGACAGGCACTGTGGTGTCTCATGATCGCTAGCTCTTTAGTCCTCTTTTCATTAATAGAGAGGGCACTGAGTTCACACCACTTAGTGAGCTCTTCAATATCAGAATCAGAACCAGCTTTATTGCCAGGTATGTGTACACATACGAGGAATTTGACTCTGGATTGTACATTGCTCACGATGTGCTTACTAATACAATAACACAATAATACAATAATAAAATCAAACACAGGCTACAGTATAGAGAACACATATATATATATACACACTATAAACAAAACAGGCAGATTGAGACAATAGTGCAATGAGCAGAGTGCAAAGTATGCAGGAGTAAATTATTATTATTGTTATTGTTATTATTATGTACATGTTGCAGGTGGATGTGATATACAAGTGCACATACACATACATGCATACATGTACACAGTGTGATGAGTGCACATAATGCTGGAATAAATATTATCTGCAGGTGTTATGGACTTGAGGTAGGTGGATTTGGTATACAGTATATACAATTTGACAATATGAACAGTATGAACAGCTCTGAAATAGAGAATGATGAATAAATAAATGATGGTGATAGCCAGTAAACAGGTGGCTGATTAGAGACAGTTACTGGGTTATTGCGCAGGAATTGTTCCTGACACTGAGTCAGAAATCAATTGACAATGACATGACAATTGACATGTTGAATTCATAATCTGCATTTCATTTGTATATAAAGAGAACAAAACAGGTGAAAGTACACAGCCTTGAGGTGCTCCTGAATTCAAGATAACTTTATCAGAGAACATACTACTGGACTTCACTCTCTGTGGCCAGTCTGTAAGGAACTCTTCAATCCACTGTATAATGTGGCTGTTGGTGAATATATCACAAAGTCGCTTGATCAGAGTACATTTCTGCATACAATTAAAAGTTGAGCTAAAATCTATAAATAAAGTCTAGCATAAGTCTTAGAGTGCTGTAGATGTTTACTTACAGTATTCATCAGTGTCAATGTTGCGCTCCAGTACCTCTGCCCTTCTTATATGCAAACTGAAGAGGATCAAACCGTTCACTGAGAGATGTTGAAAGATGATTGACTATGGCCTTTTCCATACATTTACTTAAAATAACACATTCCAGGTCCCCTTGTTTCAAGGATTTCCTAAATATACAGTTATAATTTGTTGTCAGCGCAGGTAGAATTTTAATACATGTGCGGTTATAGATAGTCTTCCTCCAAACAACTTAATGTTAGTTAATTAATTAATTATAGGTGTGTTATTGTCAATAAATTGTAAATAGTTTGCCGGAGGATTAAGGTTAGTGGATCCAGCCCTCTTTGTCTGAAAAAATGTGGCTTAACTTCTGACAGCCACTAGAGGACAGACATGGTCTAAGGATTGAATGAGTAGAGTCTGGAAGTATTTAAATACAGCAGGATGACTAAAGGAAGGATTATTAATATTAATTGAACTTCAGTAATATTCAAGTCAAATGAACATGGCTGGATTAAACTGATTTGGCTGTTTTAAGGGACAAAGATATAAAATTTGTTCACAGGGGTGGAGCTAGAGATGAGGTCATGGGCTCATGGGGGAGTTGATCACTTTGGGAACATGAATGTGCTCGTAAATTTCACTGAATCTTCCCATTAGGTTTTGTGTACAAGTTTCAGCATGATGGTGTGGCTAGATTAAATGTCAGGAGCTTACCAAAAAGGTATGACATCTGTTTGGACCTCTGGACAGTAGTTGTTGACACATTCTGCAGTGGACCAAGCGTTAGTCTCTCACTTTCCCCCGTGGACAGCTGCACTGCCACTGCATACCATGCTGCTTGAAAACACATAGTGATGAATACACATACAGTGTTTGCAATATGACTGTCGGTTTCTCTTATTGCAGTGTAGTGAGTGAAAGGTCGAGAACCATGTGAGCCAACATGGAAGTCATTTCTGTGCCTCTCTACCAAAGACACCAAATAAGTGTTCATTTGTTTAGACTGTAACTCTAGCTAACTAGGCTGGATAGACAAATAAAGTTCTTGCCTTTATGCCTACATGCTTTGAATGTGGAAGAAAAGCTCTGCAGAGTACACTGACATGCTCCCTTTATTAATTCCCCTTAATTGGGCAAATTGGCTGTGGGGCCCCTATTGAGAGGTTTTAACACATGGCCCCTCTACAAAACAGGGCCACAAGATCAGGTAACATTGCAGGATCTGCCTCAGTTGATATCAATCTTTAGGGTTAACAAATGTTAACAAATGTTAACAAATGTTAACATTTGTTAACATTTGTGACACATTTACAATTAACCAATTTTACACACAGTGAATCTGGGGTTTGTAGGGCTCTGGTAGGCCATGGAGGGCCATGTGGCGGTTGACAGCTTGGAACCTGAGAAAGTAAGTTCTATAATTTCACAGATAAGTAAAGATTCAAAGAATTATAACACTGCACAAACCATGTTGTGACAGTTTGGCACACCGTTTATTTGCATAATAGGCTGGACATCAAGGAGAACAGTCAGAATTCCTTTAGGTTTCTTAGAAATAGATTTGATTAAAAATAAAATCTATTCTAATTAAGGCCTGGAAATATTTAAAAGGAACAAGTTTTTCTATAGCTTGATTTTGAAATAAACGACCTCTATTTACTGTAGTATTATTGCTGTCGAGTGTGTTTTACTTTTCAAATGCGTTTTACAGTACTACAACAACTACTACTACTACTAACACAAGTGTAAGAGATATTTATTGGTAACAACATGAACTGGAAGGACGAATGATGGGAGTAGAAGAAGAAGAGGAGGAGGAGGAAGAGGAAGAGGAAGAAGAGAAGAAGAGAAGAGATGGGGAAAATGAGGAGGAGGTGTAGTGGAAGTGGAAGTAGAAGGAGGAGGAGTCTGTTTGTTGACATCGGACGAAAACGATAATCAGATGAGTGAATCAGACTGGTGACAATAACTCAATTTCTCGCCGTCATCAAGACACAGCCTTGGCGAAAGCTAAGGTACAGCACTGCCTGATGAGCCATCCACTCAAATAGCGCTGACCACTGTTAGTAGACTGCATTTCCACACAGAGCTCTTAGCTAGCGCTAGCCCCACTGGCTAAGTTAGCTAACATCATAGCAGGGAAAGTCATCGTTAGCCACAAGCTAATTTAGACGCTGAAATGCACCGTATCGGCAAGTTAAGGTTTAACTTAGAATAACAAGTGTTGTTCTTTGGTAGTTTGGGTTGTGAGTGAGTAGGATAACATTTTTTGTCTGTTTGTCAGTAGCTACCTAGCGTTAGTGTTGTTAAAGTAAATTATTATACATTGTAGCTAGCTAGCTAGCTAGCTAACTTAGTAACAGTCTGTTGTGTCTCCTTCAGAATTCATTGCAATGTTTGTTAACAAACTAGCAGTACAAACCAAATGACAGGACAAACAGTTACCAGCTTCAGCTTATCAGCAGTAACGTTAGTCATTGAGCTTAAAATAAATAAGATTTGATCATTTTGTTAGAAATGGTGAAACAAGTTGTTCCAAAGTAGCCAACAACAAAGGTCTGCAACACCTGCAAAGAGGTGGTCTTATAATGTAAATATAGGCTCAGTTTATTATGGCAGTAAGGCGTTATACTTTATTAGACACGGAAAATACAGTAAGAGTTTGAGGAGTATAAGTTAACTGTAATAATGCTAAGTCAGTACTTAAAGTTAGTGTATAACCCTCATTAAAGTTAGTTTATTATTTTTTGGTATTGCTATTCTTGGTGAAAATGACTTTACTCAATATCAATTCTATATTTGAAACATACATCTGATCAACGTGTTGCGTTACTTAAACTTTTATCTGAAAAGACATGTCTAACACATAACAAATGGAGAGAATTTAATTTAAAAAATGGCATTTTTACCAGTTCCTTTTTCCATTTATCACATGGTTTCTGGCCAAAAGGGCCCCACAAAGAACATTTTATATAAGAAAAATCTTACCTAAAACCTTTAGTTTAAACTGTACTGCTACTGTAAGTGCCAAAAATAGTGGGGAAATGAAGCAGATATTAGCTTATTGTTGCAGTTAAAGTTTCTGTGACTTGACATGTATGCCAATTTTATTCACATTTGTTCTTTTAATCATCACTTCCATTTAATTCTCACATTGGAAATATTAATTATTCAACTCAGAATGTCAAGGGGAACTTTTTTGCTGTTTCCCACCAGAAGCAGCCTCTTGTGAAAAGAAATTGTTCCTAAAACTTTACTTTGTTCAATGCACGCCTCCTCAGGTCCTCTGCCCTGTCTTTGATCTGAGCTGGAGAAGAAGAGGCTAACATGGCAGCCAAAGCAGGAGACAACCCTGATAGCCTCATGACTCTGTCAACAGTCTTCTGCCTGAAGAACCTCAGGAAGACCATGTGCTACCAGGGTATCAGGAACAAGCTCTGCCTGCGTTCAGACATCTTCCTTCCCAGTGAAATCTGCGACAAGCTGGTCAACACGTATGTAATAGTAATACATGGATTGATGATTACCCAATTTCTGAATTTTCAGCCTGTCAAAATGGCCCATGTTTGCTACAATGTTACAGATTTCATGTCTGAAAGGGGTTTTAGATTCCATGTTGGTTTATTTGTTATTTTGCTTTAAACAGATACATGGAGTTGGTCCACACAGATAGTAACTTTGAACCAGAGGAGAGCTTCTTCCAACTATTCTCAGACCCTCGAAGCACCAGACTGACCAGGGTGCAGCTGAGAGAAGAGTTTGTACGTGACAGAGATCTTGAGGCCATTAGAAAACAGGTAGGATGCCACAAGTTTTAGTGAAAGACCAGTTTTTCACAATAAGCTTTTCAGTGTAACATTTGTTTTCTTGTTCACCATTCATCATGAGCTGAAGTCAAAGATCTAAGACTTTCTCTATGTACACAAAAGGCCTATTTCTCTCAAATATTGTTCACTAATCTGTCCAAATCTGTGTTAGCGAGCACTTCTCCTTTGCAGAGATAATCCATCCACCTCATAGCTGTGGCATATCATGATGCTGATCAGACAGCATGGCTATTGTACAGGTGTGCCTTAGGCTGGCCACAATAAAAGAGCAGGTTATAATAGCATTCTACTTACCAACTCAATTATGGAGACCACTAAACAGTGTGTATGAACACAAGCAATCACTTTATCTATCTTATAACTTAAGTGTCAATTGTACATGTTTGAGAAGCTCCGATCAGTATCTTTGGGCCAATCACAAATCACTGGGTCTATTTGAAGCCTTTTATTTTTTATGTGGCATTATATAGTATTCTGTACATTTATTTAATTGGTCCTAAAAACAATGTATTAAGTATTAAAATTAACAGATGATAAAGTATCATGAAATGACAACTGTTTATTTTATTGCCAGGAAACATGGGCAACAAATTCCACTCTATCTGTCTTAGAGACTTAAACCATAGCAGCCTTTGCCTGGTTACTGTGAACATCTTATAGCTTAACAAATATAGGTTTCCTGTGGAATAAACTACAAAATCAAAACAAACAGCATTTTTATAAATTTACCTCAACCATAAAAACTGCAACAAAAAGGCTGTAGCCCAAATATTTATGAGATAAAGGAGCACAGGCATCATGAGCCAACAATAAACTCTGAAGTAGCCGCTTTTTGTTCTGGAAAGCTGAGGCAGGTAGTGTGGGCTTTACGGGTAGAGAGAGGGAGAGGGGCTACAGAGAGGAGTCACAACTGTCATCAATGAGATTTGAAAAAAAGGACATTTAAATAAATAAAAGTACAATGTTAATTCCATATACTGTTGGTATATTGTTAATATTACTTATAGTTACTATATTCATTATAATTTCATATGGTTTACAGGCTATAGGCCTTATATCATGTCAGTGGGTTGTTTTTATTTATTTAATCCTTGTACAAGAAGCACAGTCTACATCTTTTACATAGGCCTACTGCCACCAGCTTTACCAGACGAGAGAGTAGCACTTTAAATTACGGCCAGCAGAACTGTTACTTAACACGGGAGTACAAAGAGACGGTGGCGGCGGAAAACAGACTGGGTGTCGTCTCAAAGTAAATACAGCGACATGCACAGCAGGCTAACTAAAACTCTGTCAGTAGCATCGTGTTGGCTGATGAGACGGATTCAGACACAACAAACATCTTCTGGTTAGTCATTTCTGGGAGTGGAAACGTTGCAAAAGGGTTCCGTTTTATAACAAAAACGGAGAGAGAGAGAGAGGCAGTCAGCTGATTGAGTGCATGGCGCCTCTCTTTGCATCAGGAAACTCGCACTGAAGGATCAGTCTCTCTCCCTCTACCTGATGCGCTGAGTGTCAAGACAATAAAAACTCCGGTTGTGGGCGGCCTGTGTGTGTGAGATGAGCTTGACCGCGACAGTTTCACTTGATCGCTCCTGCTTGTTGCTCCACTTGTCTGATTGCTGCTCAACTCTCATTGTAAATGATTAACTGGGCGCATGATTTGCTTCCTGTCTGAAAAGGACTTTGGTGCTAGCTAGCTTTGAAAACTGCTCAGACAGCGTAGTGAAACCATATTAGCTGCCCTTGAAAATTTGTCTGGTGAGTATTGCATCATTTGATCGGTTCAAACTAGTTAAAGCCATTATCGGCCGATTACGATCGGTTACTGATCGATCAAAGCACCCTTAGTACATGTCTGTTAGATTTTGGAAGACTACTAGCTACGTGGTTCAGTTCTGATACACCTAATTTACTGTCAGTTGTCAGTTTTAGAGAACAGTGAATGATTATAATGGGACAGTTTAGTTTCACCTTAGTATAGGTAAGATACCCAGCACGTCACCTGTTAGTAATGTATGATTCTTCTCGCAATGCTACCGTCAAGACCTAAGAAGTGGAGGGGTGGCGGTTTGGTTTTCTGTTACCAGTAACTACCACTCAAAGAAATTGTGTCAAGTGACAATTTGGTTACGCCACTCCAGTCTCCTTTGTCTTACAGAAAAAAGCTTTAGTTTCTCCAGATATAAATGCAATGGCATCTTGATATAGTACTGTCATTATATGACCTTATTTTAGGTGGAACATACCAATGTTTCAAGAATTTCTGAAATTCTGAATACAGCGCTATGTAAAGTATAACCCAGTCATTAAGGATTGCAGTATACTCATGTCAGTATGGTCAACATTCAAAAATGATAAACTGAATTAGTATTCACAGTAATTATTTACTTTGTTTGTTCTTCCAGGACCTGATTGAGCTCCACCTCACCTACTGCAACAGTCTGTCATCCCGCAGCTTGAAAACACTGACCTGCTTCCGTGAGACGTTGGTGTCTCTTTGTCTCTTCGGCTGCAGTCACATCTTCTACAGGAAGGGTGGTGCTCCACTCGCTTGCAATGAAGATACAGAGAACGAGGAGGAGGAGAGCCCTGCTTCTAGGCAGGCATTAGAGACGGACTTTAATTTCCAGGGGTTCAACCGCCTCAGGTTACTCAATTTAGGCGGCCTGCCTGACGAGGTGGATGCTGAGTCCCTCCTCAAACCCCTGAAGTCACTCACCTCACTAGATCTGTCTAATGTACAATTGCTGGGAACATCTTTTCTCACCCAGTGGAGAGACAGACTGGCATCTCTTGTTCTCTACAATGTGGACCTGTCAGAGGAGTTGGTCAATACAGTGGTGGAGATTGTTAATCTCAGGTAAGGCGGGAGGGGGGTTTTATATACAGTATCTCACATACAACACATTAAATATTTGATTATATCTTTTCATTTGACAACACTGAAGAAATGACACTTTGCAACAATGTAAAGTAGTGAGTGTGCAGCTTGTATAACTGTGTACATTTACTGTCCCCTCAAAATAACACATCACACAGCCGTTAATGTCTAAACCGCCGGCAACAAAAGTGAGGACACTCCTAAGTGAAAATTTCCACATTGGGCCCAATTAGCCATTTTCCCTCCCATGTGTCATGTGACTCGTTAGTATTACAAGGTCTCAGATGTGAATGGGGAACAGGTGTGTTAATTTGGGGGCATTTCCGAAACTGCTTGCTCCTCCCTCTCCCTACATACTTCCACTCCATTTGTGCGTTCATGCGGAGGGTCCGCCACATTGAGTGCCATCCGAAACCAATGAGGGCGGAGTGGTAGTGGGTTGTTAAACCCTCAAATGCCGAGTCAGCACCGATGCTGGCTTGTTGAAGGTGTGTAACACCCTTTGCTGCACGATGGGGGACCTTTCTTTCAATTTGCGTTCCGTGTGACTTCGCCGGTTAACATGTAGGATTTTTTTATTTCGAAACTACACAAACATTGTCACGTCACCATTCACAGGTTAACAACATAGCCCATATGATTTATATTGAAATGTTGTATTTGTGAATATAACATTTTTCATATAGGCTTTTTTTTACAATGAATATCAATCTTTTCATAAAAGAACATAATACTTATTTTTCATAAATATATATATATAAAGTCATGTTCTTAAAGAAATATTCTACACAAACACAAAATGAAAGACAAATGTTTTCAGTTATTGCAAAACACACACTTTTCCTCAACATCAATCCTGAATCTTAATACAACTGTTGTTTATTTGATACATGTATTATAGCAGTAAGTGCAGCGGTAACGTCACATTACATTACATTAATTAATTTAACTGACGCTTTTATCCAAAGCGACTTACAATTGCTATACATGTCAGAGGTCGCACGCCTCTGGAGCAACTAGGGGCTCTCTTGCTCAGGGACACAATGGTGGATGTCTCACAGTGGGAGTTGAACCCAGGTCTCCCACACCAAAGGCAGGCATCTTATCTATGCACCATCACCACCCCACGTCACATCTTAATTATGCTGGGGAGAGAGGGTAGTTCGTCCAAAAGGCTCGATTTGGCCTGGAGGGTGACTTCGACCAGAGTTCAGAGATTGCCAAGATCCTGAAACTGAGCTGCAGCACAGTGGCCAAGACCATACAGCGGTTCAACAGGACAGGTTCCACTCTGAACCAGCCATGGTCGACCAAAGAAGTTGAGTGCACGTGCTCACCGTCATATCCAGAGGTTGTCTTTGGGAAATAGACGTATGAGTGCTGCCAGCATTGCTGCAGAGGTGGAAGTGGTGGGGGGTCAGCCTGTCAGTGCTCAGACCATACGCCGCAAACTGCATCAAATTGGTCTGCATGGCTGTCGTCCCAGAAGGAAGCCTCATCCTGATGCACAAGAAAGCCCTCAAACAGTTTGCTGACTGAAATACATGCACATGCCACAAAACAAGGAGAGATGTCAGAGTGACGGGGCTGCCACTCTGTGCGGCGCCCCGAGCAGTTGGGTGTTCAGGGGCTTGCTCATGGCCACCTTTGGCAACTCTCCAGCTACCAGTCCACACTCCATATCTGTGGTCAATCTGGTGAACCTCCTGTTCCCAAGCCAAGTTCTTACAGACTGAGGTACTGCCGCCCCCTGTTCAGATGGTGTCAAGCGTGTGTGGTGGCAACCAGTTGAGGAGACGAGTGTGTCTTGCCTACAGTCCAGCATGGTGGTTGGAGTCTCCTGGTCTGGGGCTGCATGAGTGCTGCTGGCACTGGGGACCAACAGTTCATTGAGGAACCAGGAGTCATTATTACCATGTTTCATTTTCTTATCTAGAAACTTGACCTTCAGTGTGAGATGGAGAAAATGATTCTGTTTTGATCCAACAACATTGATCCAACAACATTAGGCTGTTTAATCTTTCCTCTACATAGCCCTTCTCTTTCAGTATGAATGCACAGTTTTTGCAGCAAAAACATCTTCCCTTCTACTTCTCTTCTACAGAAAACATTTTCCATTGCACAACATTACTTTAGAAACGCAAATCAAAACAGAACAAACGGGAACAACTACATGCTGACATATCGGCAGGTGTATGATTAAACAGTCAAACAGGTGTGTAGGTATGTAAGTCGAAACACAATCATTAAGTGAAACAGAAACAACTGTGTAGGAGGAATACAACTGGGTGAGGAACAGCCAAAGTCCGCTAACAAGCGCTGCTGAAGACAGTTTACTGTCCAAAAGTCATCCACTATGGCAAGACTGAGCACAGTGTACCTCGAAGAATTCGAGTGCATAGCAGCAAACAATGTTTGTTCAAATATTCATACATTACAGCATTTCTCCACACCTGTCTGAAACTTTGCACAGTATTTTGTAATAAAAACTGTTAATAAGCTTTTACCAGGCATTACACATGTATGCTTAAGGTTGTACTACAAAACTTTGTCAGGTTATTCATTTCAGTGTTTCCTGGGGGGTGGGGGGGTCAAATGAAGATAAACGTGTACCCATGTACATGCAATATCTAATTTAATCTATTGATATTAGTGATAGACTAATGGACAGTGATATTGCTTATCAGAGCATCTGTAAAACCTATTCACACCCCACTTTTTCATGTTTATTGATATACAACTTTGAATCACAGTGGATTAAAGGATAAGTCCGTATATAATATTTGCTCCTATTGTGTAGACCAGCGGTTCCCTAACTTTTTAGTCCCAGTACTTACGTTGTATGCCAGCTAATCATTTACAATTTGTGTCCCTGTCATGAATAAATAAAACTCTATATTCTCCAGGCATCTTGACATCTCCCGAGAGAGCAGACGGACCTCTAAGTTTAAGATGACCAGGAAAATCCTGACAGCCATAGTCCAGCGTCTGATCAATTTGGTGTCACTGGACATCTCAGGGCACACTATGCTGGACAACTGCACAGTTCCACACTTTGAAGAAGCTATGGGTCGGCCAAGGTGGGTAACCAACGGTAGAGTGTACATTGGATTTAAAAAAAGTTTAATTCAGAGGTTTTTTAAATTACAATTACATTTTCATTTACCTTTAAATGAACTTGTGAACAAGCCTGGTTTTTCTCTCTTTCAGCACTGAGCCATGCAAGAGCAGCATCTATCCTTTCCAGGAGCTGAAGAGGCCCCTGCAGTTTTTGGGCTTATATGACACCACCCTCTGTAATGTGACACACATCCCTGCTTATAAGGTACTGGTTATCTGAACACATTACAGTTTTTAGTTGTTTTGGGCTTCACAACAAGGAGCACAACCACTTTTACCACTATTATCCATCTACCAGCTGGATCTAGAGTCACACTCTGAACAAGTAGCAGGACTGATTTATGTATTCATATCATTATTACCCTCTTGTGTGTGTTGTTTAGGGGACAGATATCACCTGCCCCTGCCATATCCTACTTACCACTGACACACCACCAGTCATCATGTGGGTTACATGTAGGAAAACCATTTTTCCATGTAACATTTAATGCTGCTCATAGCCTGCCATTTTATTTCTTTACTCAGTCCTCTACAATTCCATGTCAGAATGTTCACCTTTATTGCCTCAGACCTAGTGCACTACATGACTCCTGTTTAAACAGTAAGCCCACACATGGATATATCAGCAGAACGTATTGAGAAGCGAAAGCAGAGAGACAAAAATGTAACAAAATCCAGGTGTTACCTTGCATCCCAATTGAGAGTTTGGAGCATTGCCCAATGAAAAGTAAGAAGATTCTGTGATTATTCCTAGTCCGGAATAAGAAAGACGCCCCTTTAGTATTCAAAACGGAATGAAGTTGCCTCCATATGTGGTCCACTGCATAATGAAAAATAAGAGTATAGTGTCTCTTGATGTTCAGTCAAAACACAAATTTCCATATGCCTTTCTTCTTCTTCCCATGTCCAATAATTTTCCAATATCAAGGCTTTATCAACTCTGCATCATTTTAATTATTCTAGATATAGGTTATTCCTTATCCACAGAGGTGGAAAGTATTGAATTATAATTTCTCGCGTTACTGTAATTGAGTAGTTTTTTTGTGTACTTGTACTTTTTTAAGTCGTTCTTTGCGCTTGGCTCAAAGACGGGCCTGACTGTGAATCTTGCTGCGGAGAGTCCCCGGCTGCAGTAGCATGTGTATCATGCGTAAAACAGAAGCATCGGACCAAAGGGAACAATCACCAACCGTCCTCAGCAAGACGGAGTAGACTGGGAGCGGCCAGTCGCGGGTCGTGGATCCTACCCCGGCTGGATAAAGTCCGACGCTCCTGTTTTATGCATGATCCATGATGATACAGAAGATTTACAAACGAATGTCATGTCTTATTAAGAGGAGCCAAGCTCCCCCGTAGTTCCCACCCTGCTTGTACCACAGGTAGTTGGTAAAATAAGTTTTCAAAGTTTGGTAAGAGGCTTTGCTCAAATTAACCAAAAAGACATGGGTGCATGACAGCGTTAATGTTGGTTGGCACTAGCAACCTGCTGGTAACTAGTTAAGTATGTTTAGGCCCATTTTGCTAAAAAAATAATCATGCTAATGCCTATAAAGTCCCATTAAAATTACCATCTGTTTGAATGTAATAGGGGAATGACTTAGTACAGTCCAGTGTTTCCCATTTTCCCAGTCCAGTGCGGCCCGCCATAGTGTAATCTGTCCTGCTAAAGATTCATAATGAAGCAAAAACATTCGCAAACCTTCTCAAAATAACATAAAAGGTCTCTAACATTGTTTTGTACCATTGCTTTGGCAAAGTATCTGTCAAACAAACTAAAATCTGGCTTTGTGCCAATTTAATAAGTAGGTCTATAAATAAGATATTAAATCAGTATAAATATGTTATTTAAGGAGGATAAAAAAGTAACTAAGTAAAGTTTACTCTGAGTAAATCTTAAATGAGCTACTTTTTACTTTTACTTATCCATTTGTTCAATTAAGTCTTCCACCGCTTTAGGTGATTTGAAAGTGAAGGAACGCTTGCCATGTGGAAGAAAGAGCAGGGAAAAGGATTCGTGGCCGTTAATTCCCATATCTAGTAGCTTCTGACCCACCCCATCGTAGCTTTGCTGTTTCTTATTAACTTCGGTTGACACATTGGAATGGCATCTAATAGCATGCTGCTTTTATGTGATCTTGCCCTTCACCTTGGCAGCTCTCAGGATTTGCTCTTTTTGCTATTTGTCACATACATATACATGTAGCTAGATTCATCCTCCTCCATTTAAATGCCTTCATGTCCTCCACCTTCTCAGACTCTACTTCAGTGTTTTCCCTTAATTGGAGTTAGGCAATGTCATCTTCTGCGCTAGAGATGTGCTCTTCTGCAAGCATTACACGATGACGTGACATCTGCGTTGCTAGGGGCTTTTTCAGTTGCATCTCCATTGTGTTCTTCACAATCCACGTGTTCCAAGCAATCCAAGCTAGCATTAGCTTCCTGAACATTTTCAAAGTCGGAACGTGCAGAAACTTAGTTCTCGGCCTTGGGACCAAGATACATACTGAGTGGGACCTTTTTTAGAGTCACATTGTACACTGGCTGGATGAGAAATTGTATGCGTTGTGTCTCAGCTGTCGCTTCAGCCCTAGCCATCTCCTGAGGTGGTTGCTGACCCTCTTCTCTACGGTCTTGACTATCAAGATCGGAACTGCATAGACTAAAAGGGGCCACAGGATTCGGGGAAGATGCCATGCTAATAAACCTGGGCTTTGAGCTTCCCAGGTGGGCCATCCATCCTGTTACCGGTTGACTGGATAGATGATGTGTCCCTCAGAGAGCTGTCAAAACCTTGCATAAGCTCTTGGCTGGCTTCTCTGTGATGGTTACGATGGCTGCGCTTGCGATATTGAACCGGAACTTGTCCTCCAACTTCCCTTTTCCTTTCCTCAGCACCATAGATCCTGAATTGGCTGATTTGAAATGTATCCAGGTCTACTCCACCAGCTTTAGTGGAAGTGGGACTTATTATGTCGGGGCTGTGAGGTGATACATCCAGTAGGGCTGCACGATTTGAACAAAAAGTCATATTGTGATTATTGTGGACAAAATTGCGATTTGCGTTTTGATTATAATTGAATAAATGGTCCTATGAGTCTACTTGCTTAATAACTCTACATGAGTGGATTAAATAAAATGGATAATGTTCAGTTAATAGTTTACTGTTAGTATAACAATGATATATTAAATACAATATTCATTAGAATTTCATATAATAGTATATTTTTACCAGTAGTTTCATTTCTGTGGGTTGTTTTTATTCATCAAATCCTTGTGCAAGCAAAAAGCTCTACATCAGTCTCTCATTTGTTAAAACTAAGTCTTGTTAATGATCATTTTGTTCAACATTTAATGATTTACTTTTTTTAATGTCCCACCCCACCCAGCCTGTGATTGGTAGGTTGACGAAAAGTGCCAACCAAGAATGTTGGCTCTGTGAAAAGTTGAACATGTTGAATAACTAAATGCACCCACACAGCTAACATTAAATGGCCAGTGAGCCTTATCTTCTCCCGGAATTTCTCTCTGCGCTCCGTTGACGAGTCCGACTATGTTTTGAACGATTAGCTGCGGGGCAGGGAGGGGGGTTACGGTAGAGTCTTGTTTTAAAAGTTACTCGCACACTGCTCATAAAACATTTTTCTCATTGCACATCGCCTTATCTGTGTTTAGGGGCACAGACGAGAGCCCGATGTGGGCGAAGATAATGAGCAGACTGCAGCGCACACACAGAAGAGAGCTCACACACACTTATTCTGTTTTATTAAATCGCACACATTTTGCGGTTATGTAATCTCACATGACGACATCGCGATTGCGATTACATTAATCGTGCAGCACTAACATCCAGTGTTGCAGGGATGCTCTGCCATGCAAATTCCCTCCTGTTGATGTCCTGATAACTATTTAGTAAACAGTAGATTTCTGGAAACTCTAAAACAGCAATGATCCATCTCTCTTCCAATGATTTGTGCCGGGCGTCGCAGACAAATAGTTCAAGGCAATTCAACTCTGGCCGCGGTGTTTGTGAGGTGAGCACAACCTCGACAGTTTCACAGGAATGCACCCGCTGGTCGCTCTGCCTATCAGAATGCCCGTATCTCCCTTCCTACACGCTCGCCTCTCATTGAAAATAAATTACCAGGCGTGTAAATCACTTCCCGCATGAAATGGTCTTAAGTGAGCATGTTCATGGCTAGGGAGAACAGTGTCACAAAGATGGTGCACCCTGAGATGATGCAGATGTCCACCTTGTGACAGCTTGGTGTAATTGCTCATAAGGAGACCCACATCCTAAAGTAGCTGTAGTAATCAGGAATGAGGTTGCAATGTTTGGTCAGTGTGAGCTGCACCATCTTGTGTGGAATGAAGCAATATGATTTGCCAGGTCGAGGCCACCTCCCTGATGAGCTATGTCGCCACACCGGTGTGCTCCGTAACAGGATTTTCCCCAGATGCAGCATGAATTTGTGGTTCATTATCTTGCTCAAGGAAACTTCAGCATGCAGAGTGGAGGAGCCAGGGATTGAACTAACAACCTTCTGATTAGTGGATGACTGCTCTACCTTTATTGCCCATTTTAATGTATTTTTTTAAAATGATAATGAGACATAATATAATAGCATTTAATTTTCAGAAACTCAGTCACATTAATAATCACACGATAACAATAATAATATTTACAGACAGATTATGCAGTTATATGGGCATAGAGAGAAAATATGAGCAGAGACAGTGGAGCCACGTTTCTTGTCACCACACAAAGCAGATAAAGGATTTTTACCTCCTCGCTTCCCCTGTAACATTAGCTGCAAAAGTATAATATCAGTATTACTTGCTTGTCTTCACCCTCCACCGTATCAATCTCTTTTTTTCACCTCACTTATCAATCACATCAAAATTATTCACCACCAACTGTACAGGGGGGGTCAAGGCAAATTTAATGGGGTTGCAAAACAATGTGATGAACACTACATGATAGTTGAGTATCATTATGTTAAGTATTCACTAAAAGGGCCTTATACTGGTAAAAATAAATGCAGAAAAAAGCTTCAGTTCACCTTTTAATAAATTGATCAACTCACCCTTGATGTAATGAAAGAAATAAGCAGTTCTTCCTACTTAAATTAGCCAATGCTCAAGGGCACACAGGCAGTGCACATGGTGGTTTCATAACATATAGCAGGTTAACTCCCTCTAAGTTAAAGGAAATGTAAGTTGGTTTGAGCATTCAGCAATAGAAATGGAAAAATAAAATCTGTGCATATTAATAATGCTTATTAATATGTTTTGTTTTGTGCATTAAATCTGAGTGTTGCCTACCTTTTTTTTTCAGGTGACTGGATCAAAGAATGAAGACCAGGTCCTAAATGCCATTGAGGCTTACACAGAGTTTCGCCCTGAGCTGGCCCACAGAGCAATCAATCAGCTGTTTGACATTGCCAGAATACAACACTGCAGCCAACTGCTCCGAGCTTTGCAAGTATGATGAGTTTAAGATGGGTTGTTCTTTAAGTGAGGTGACACCAGTGACTTCCACTTAAATCTTTGTGACATGTTCTGCCTCGATTGCTTTGTCATACCTCTCCTATAAACTTTCTGTCCTCTCAGCTTGTCATCGCCGCATTAAAGTGCCATAAATATGACAAAAGCATCCAGGTGACTGGCAGCGCTGCTCTGTTCTACCTGACCAACACAGAGTACCGTAGTGACCAGAGTGTGCGGCTGCGTAGAGAGGTCATTCAAGTGGTACTAAATGGAATGGAGCAGTACCAGGAGGTCACTGTAAGTCTACTCTGTAGCCTCATCAAAATGTGTTACACAGAGTATAAAAACCCATCATGTTGGCATTGAATTCTAGATCATTTTTGTACTCTTTTTAACTTCATCTTTGATCAGACAGTTTCTTATTTAACATACAGTATCCAGTTTTAATTTTAATGTTAAACTATTTTTTGTTGATCAGTATCAAAGCAAAGTATTTAATGTTGTTCAACACAAATAAACGCAAACTCCAAATGTCATATTTACTTGATGAAAAAGTGTTCTACAAAGCATAGTTATTAAAAGTATATACTTCATGAAGTTCTTAACTATGTGCTGCTTAAAAAAAGCGTATCAAAAACTTTAAACCAGGTCAGCATTTAGGCCCATTTGATCTACATTATGTTGCTCTTGAAATTTGTAGAGTTTTTATTTAGAGACATAAACCTTTCTGTGTTGTAAACCTCTCTGTGCCCCCCTCTGTGTCCAACACCAGGTCCAGAGGAACTGTTGCTTGACTCTGTGTAACTTCAGTATTCCAGAGGAGCTAGAGTTCCAGTATAGTCGGGTCAACCAGCTGCTGCTGAAAATCTTGGAGCCAGCCAGGCAGGATGAGTCCATCCAGAGAATCGCTGTGCACCTCTGCAACGCTTTGGTCTGTCAGGTGGATAACCATCACAAGGAAGCTGTCGGAAAGATGGGATTTGTCAAGGTAACAAGATGAGCTTCACCGTATATGACATTCTCATTTTCCTGACAGATGTCCATAAAAAGAATGTGAAGCAGTTTACATGTATTAATTGATTTGGTTTGCCAATGTATGAATGGATAGTAATGGAACTTAAAGGTGACCAAGAAAGCCAGAGAAGGTTTTAAGCAGTTTTTAACAGCCTGTGGACTGTTTTCTACATAAAGGACTCTGGACATTTTTCCCGTGAAAACCTAAAGGATGTGATGCTTGTGCACGCTCCAGAGTGCCTTCTGTTCCACTCCTCTACAGCGCAAACAGTGTGCAACACTAGTTAACATTAGCTTAGAAATGGAGTCCGCTAATGCGGACAACTGCAAACAATGGGCTACATTTATCCAATCCCTACTCACGCGTTTGCTTGTATTTCTGCTGTAGGCTGCTGGGGCTGTCCAGGGTTCAGCCCGGCCCTATTTAACCCCTAACCCTAACTGACCAAGAGAGATGCAAGGCAGAGATTGCCAACCACCTAACCGATGCCCAGGATGATGCTCGCTTAAGCCTATATAGTGTGAGCGTGAGCAGCAGGATGCTGACTGCAGTTCTGTTAACGGCTGCCAGTGCCATTAATAACAAAACGAAAAGTTACACAAAAATAAATATGGAATACCTCAGAAACACTTTTAAAGTATTTACAGTTAAGGAGCTTCATTTATCTACAGACCCAACCTCTTCTATCCGTATTAGACAATGTATCAGTGAACAGTAAAAATGCAGTTATAATACGAGGATTGCACTCATTTCTTGTTCACCTCACAAGCATCAGGATGGCAGAGATCATTACTGTGTTAACTTTCCACAGTTGTACAACCTTTTCTCAGAAGAGTCTAAGCTGATGAAGTTTCTTACGGTTGCAGGGTCTTACTTGAACTGGACTTTTCTGATTTGTATTTCCTCTTTTACCCTGTGATTTTAAAAAAAGATCACAACATCCACACGCTTATCTCTATTCCACCAAATGTGTTATCTAATCTTTCATAGCTATCTTTTTTTTGTTTTGCTTCCATCAACTTCTTCTTTTATGGAGTTGTGCGGCACTTTTGGAAAATCTTTTATCCCTTGACTCTTATTTCCTCCTCCACAGACAATGTTGAATTTAATTCAGAAGAAACTCCAGGACAGGATGGTGAGTCTCAGTTTTATTCCTCTTTTAACCATGACATTGTAGTGCTTTATAGACTCAAGCCTCACCCAATTGTTTTCCAGGAAGTACATTTTTTAGTAGAATATTAATTCTCAGTTAAACATATGTTGATCCGGAATCTATTAAGAAGGTTGTGTGTGTTATTTGCCCTCAGTGTGACCAGGTGATGGAGTTTTCCTGGAGTGCTCTGTGGAACATCACTGATGAGACGCCCGACAACTGTCAGATGTTCCTCAACTGCCGGGGCATGAGTCTCTTTCTGGATTGTCTACAGGTGAGTCCACACTCACCCATGCTGCACCTGTTGTGTCTTTTCTGAAACCATAAGAATTCACTTAGCTGCTTTCTGGATTTGTTCCATACATGTTAGAAATATGTTGATAGATTACAAATCATGCAATAAAGTACCTCTCATACCCCTGTATGATCTGACTCTAGGAGTTTCCAGACAAACAGGAGCTTCACCGCAACATGTTGGGGCTTTTGGGAAATGTTGCTGAGGTCAAAGCACTGAGGCCACAGTTGCTCACCCCACAGTTCATCACTGTATTCAGGTAAGAGAACAGCTGAAACAAGTAGAGAGTACAATGATTCTGGAAGGATTCTGGTCGACCTTTCCATTATACACACATTAATAAAACAGTATCGATCGACACTTACATCTTTGAAATACAAGTGGATATTCACATTACCAGCTGTTTGACACACAGCTCATGTCTGATAATTTAATAAACTCTCTGCTTTTAATTTAATTATGTACAATCGGCCTGTGTCACTGTGGCCTAATTGTAAATGTATATTGTCTGCTAAGTAGCAGAAGGGAGCTACAAAACTCAATTTCACTCTACAACTTTTTGTATTGTGATAATAAACCTACCTACCTACCTAAATTAATGTTGGGTATATACGCAGCTGGGCAGCACACCTCTGTAGAGTGCGTTGATGCATAACCACTAACTCAACAGTAGGTCTGGGCGTTTAAAACATTCTGCAACAGATGACTTCACTTTAATACAGGTTCCTGAGTTTTATAAAATCCACCTTACATACACATTACAGTACAATGATTCACTTCAAAAGTGAAAGCAGTTCAAAGACCTGGGAGTAGCTGGAGAAACTTGACTTTAATGAAGAAACTGATGGAATATCAGTAGGGAAGACTGTGTGGGTGACATTTGTGGAAATGGGAAATATTGGCTTACTTTTTCTGTGCTAAAGCTAGCTGACAACCATCCACTGTGTCAGCTTGGAGTATTTCCCTCCATTCACCTGTCGGTCTGCATCAGAAACGCTCTCTACCTTGACTCTAGGTTATCCATCCTCGCGGTGGCGAGGAGAGGATTCATCTGGCCTTCATACTGGGGGGAGGATGTGGTGAATGGACTCAGTAATGAGCAAATACAGGTTAGCTGCAGTGGCTAGCTACCAAGCAGCACAGAGTTCACTTATCTGTGCAGATAAGCAGAAATATTACAGTGATCCTCATCTCTGGGTGTAACTTAGTGTTTTTCCTCTATGACCTGTAATGTTAAACAGACAATCACCCATATTGGTAGATCTTGGTGCAAACATGCTGCGTGCTTACTGGCTCACTGACACTGATGGGATTTACCTTTATATCAAAATTTCTGATACACTGTCTGTGCCATAAAAGTATCAAAGTTGGGTACCCAGCGCTGCTCAAAAGGGCAAGCCAAGGCAAAATATTGTAAAAGAAATGGATTGGACTCAACACAACTAATGTGGTTTCCCCAAATTCAACTGGAAAAGGACTTCTCTAGTCTCAGAACTATTCAGCCCCTTGAATAGAATCCCTCATGACAGCACAAATAAGTGTAATCAAGGGCTTTATTAGTTGCACCAGGTGTGCTTTAGCTGGAACACATGAAATACCTGAACTGGCCAGGGGTTTGTTGAGTGTCACATTTGATTGCACTGTAGAACTGTACAGTGGCTACCAACTACTAATAGAGAGACATTTCAAACCAAAGGACATGTACAGATCTCTCACCAGATGTTTGTTTCCCCCCTCCCTGTTTGATGCTTTGACAGTAACCTGCTGGACAGCAAGGCAGATGGAATCGAGGTGTCGTACAATGCATGTGGCGTGCTTTCACACATCATGTTTGATGGGCCAGAGGTTTGGTCGATGGAAGAGCCGCAAAGAGACACAGTGATGTCCAAGATGTGGGATGCCATCCAGAGCTGGGACGTCAGCTCACGCCGCAATATCAACTACAGGTGATCATCTGTTTACTCTTTCCTTATTAATGCTGTCAGGTGTGTGTGTGTGTGTGTGTGTGTGTGTGTGTGTGTGTGTGTGTGTGTGTGTGTGTGTGTGTGTGTGTGTTAAAAAAAAACCACACAAATAATAAATATATAAATTATACATGACTGTATAATAGGGGTGTAATGATTCAACAAATTCACGGTTTGGTTCATACCTCGGGTTTTTACCTATATGTAGGTATATTAACAGCTACAGTATATTTGGCGACCCATTCTAGCATTTTGCAGAGAAACACAGAGATGTTAACTGGTATTACGATACAAGATGCGGACACCATTTTATATTATGGAGCGACAGTGAACGCACCACATCAGATGTCACGCAGTACCACGTTGGTTTCAATCCACATGCGGCACACTTGAAAACTGAATCGCGGGTGAGTTTATTAAACTGGACAATTTTCTAAAACGTAACATTACTGCTGTTTGAGAAAGTAAGAAGAACAGAGACTCATACAGGAAGAGAGAGACAGAAAGAGGCGGGACAAGCCGCTGTGTGAGAGACCAGAGGTGTAGGTGTGTGAGTGCGGAGGTGAGAAGTGAAGAGAAAGGGAGCTGATTCAAGTAGTGAATAAACACTAAAATAAGGTGGAAAATAACCTGTTAGCAATATAAATACATTATATAGCGATACCCCCCACCCCACCGCCGCTGCTGCCACAGTTACAGTGTCTTAATGAGAACTCAACAGTCTGGTGAGCGGTTCTGTCCCTTAGAACAGCAACATGAGACAGTGGACTTTTGTGCCGCGGTTTTGGCCTTGGTTTCAGATCTGTTACATCCCGTGTGTGTGTGTGTGTGTGTGTGTGTGTGTGTGTGTGTGTGTGTGTGTGTGTGTACAGCTGTGTGTTTTCGTACTTTTTGAATTTTTCAATTGAGTTTGATCTCTCAGGTCATTTGAGCCCATTCTGCGACTGCTGCCCCAGAGCATCTCCCCTGTCAGTCAGCACTGGGCCACGTGGGCTCTCTACAACCTGGTATCAGTTTACCGTAAGTATCTGCTGCTCTGGAGGTTGTTTTATGTTTTTTTTTTTTTTTTTTAATTATTCATGTATTAAAGCAGCAAATGCTTTTGCCATTTTAATGTTCCATCAAATAAGACTGTAGTTTTAATCTTTATTCTTTTTTAAAATTTGTCAAATTCTGAATTGAGCTGTTGGCTGAGATAAACCACCTTTCCTCCCTAATCACAGCAGCGGAGGCAGGAGAGGAGGAAGGACGGATACTGACTTCTTTATTCTTTCTAAACTTTACTCAGTATTTTTATGTCTGGAAAAGTATTTATTTTACTGACATTTGTTTTCACTGAGATATTATTAAGCAAATGTAGCGACTTTGCTGTTGCTGCCGTAGAAAGAATATTTAGATATATTTAAAATATAAATCGGATCTAATCCTGTTCTGAATTTATTCTTTTTTTTAAATGATCATCTAAAAAAGCCTAATTCTGTAGTATTGGTAAAGAATCAGGCCAACGATTTTTTCATGTCCAAAAAAAACTATAACCTTTATTTATTTTAGATAAATGTTCTAATAAAATTACATGACAATGCATAGTTTTTAGTCAAGTAACATCAGAATATCTTGAGGGAGGACCTCAAACCTTAATTCTTTATTCAAGTACACACACTGCCTTTATTTACTGCTGACATACCTAAATAGTGCTGTATACAGAAGTGCACTGGATTCATTGTCTTTCTCTTTCATTTTCGCGATGCAGCAAACAAGTATTGTCCCTTGCTGATTAAGGAAGGAGGAATAAGTCTTCTAGAGAAAGTTCTGGAACTGGAGAGCTCACATCCAGATACAAAGGACATGGCCAGGTAAGAGTGACAGCTCTTTGTAGTGGTGTAATGGATCGTAGTTGACCTGTGATCCTTAAGGACCCAGTGGTGTAACTGGGACATTGTGCTGCCTGTCGTCATAGAAACAGATCATCAGATTGTGATGTTTATTGCCGCTTCAGTAATCTCTGCTGCCTTCCCGTCAACATAGCTCTTTACTCGTCTGTGGCTCGTCTCTTGACATGTAACCAATCAGATATTGCTGTGGGCGGGATATTGAGCGTGACCATAGAGTGACTGCAGACAGAAAGAGGCAGCTACATCAAAACAAAGCAGTGCATTTTAAAATTAATTTAACCACAAGCTTTTTTTGTGTATCCGAAAACGTGAGTTTCGTGATCCGTTGCACAGTAGCTCTGTGTGGAAGAACCCTCTTTAACCTAATCTTTATGTACTTTCAGTACTTGTTAGCACTTTCGGTAGCTTGTCAGAAGATTCTGTTTGATAAGAGAAATTCTACAGCTGATGATTCACTCACAGGCTAAGCAGCAGCGGGAAGAACTAGTTTTTCTGGTTATCTGATGCTTATAAGTCTTTGGTCCAAATAATTTTGTTGCCAGCAGTCGTCAGTCACTTACTGCAGTCATCTAAATACATAGAAATACGTCTGGGCGCTATGTCAAATATATTTAATATATATCAATATCAATGAATGTGCATAAGGGCCCAGATCATTGGCCAGCTGATCAGAAGGTGGTTTTACTGGGCAGCTTCCAGATGTGAATGTGTAACTATGCTAAAGTTCAGCAAAAGAGAGACTTCCTCTCAGTCAACTGAAACATAAAGGATGAGAAAGAGGCGTAGGATCGGTATAGTGTCTCGTTTCAAACACACAGAGCAGGACACAAGCACAACACGTTTAACAACATGTTTAACTCATTTTGCACCATCAGAGAGAATCCCTGTTCTCATTTTGTCATGTGTACACATTACCATGGCTACCATGGGGTGAATGGGACATGTAGTGTAAAGAGCTTTGAGTGATTGGAAGATTACGAAGGTGCTATACAAGGACAGTCCATATATCAAATTATCATGTCCCAGAAAAGTCTTCTTCTGCTTGCCTCAGCTCTGGGTCATTTTGAACCTCAAATGCAAAGTAAATATTTCAGGTAGCATTACACATAGAGGTCCTGACACTTCTTTCAGTGCTGTGATGAGCTTCCAGCAGGCATGTGACTGGAGAATGAAATGAGCCAGCAGGAGACAGGTGGGGGTGTCTGATAGGTGTAGCTTAAACTTTGCTCCGCGACAGTTTTCCACAAATTTCAACATGTTGCTTTGATTAATTGCTGAAACATGACTATCCAAGAACTTTAATGTCATTGTGCAAGCACAGTGACATTGCAATTGTGTCAACGTCAATGGTGGTCTTATATACACACCCCGTAGACACATATTTACAAAGTATAAAAAAGACATTAATGAGATAAGAAATATAAAAATATCAGCAATCTAGTTATCAGCGTAGTTCCTACATGACATATTTCACACCCCTTCCATACGTTGCCTTTACTGTGTGATGTAAGAAAGTTTGATTAACAGCTTTCACACCAGCCTAAGCAAACTGAACCAGAGTTTGAGTCAAATCCAACATGTTAGGTGTAATAGCACCTTAAATGACATTCAGGGTGTTTTCCCCATGTGGATTGCATAATTTGACAGTGAAATGTTTTTGTACAGGCCTAGAATCAGCCGTCGTAAGAAGCTCCTGCCTGCTACCTAACCTTGAGCTAACATGTACTTTCTTATTTTTCTTTCAGCAAAGTAATGGAGCAGTGTGAAAAATTCAAAGACGATCCCATGGAAACAAATCAAGGGCAGGAGGTAAACTATGGACAGAGAGGTTGACAGCACAGGAGCCATGATTCCCGGCAAACATCAAGCAAAACAACCTAAAGCCCCTCCTACTGTCATCACCACAAGGGTCAATTGTGTGCATTATTCTTATTCTTATCATTCTTTTGTAGAGCAGAAATGTGTTTCTGACCCTCTTCACAGCAGTTTGGACAAAACCTTAATATATGACACATAGGACTTAAGATGTGGTGCATGGTGTTTTTTTGTTGTGAGGGTGCTTACCGTTGATGCACATGAGCATCTCTTCAATTGGGCCAGGTTTGTTGGAGTGGTTGACTATAATCTCTCAGTGTGTGTGTGTGTGTGTGTGTGTGTGTGTGTGTGGGGGGGGGGGTCAAAGATTTAATAATGGAACAAAACAGTTGGAGTAACGCTTGGTTCTCAGTGGAAGGCAACTAAAGCCCTCCCAAGCTCACTACCCAGTACTGTGTAACATTGAACAATAGGCTGAAGGCCGCGTAGTGTCCCGCACAACCATCAGAGGTCTCAGCTCTCACACTACTCAATCTTAGTCGCTCGTGCTTGCGGGGGCCTCTGAGCTGTTGACGCTGATGTACAGTGAAAACTAGCCATTATGTGTGTAGCGCAGAAAAGCACCACACTGATGTTGATGGGAGGGAAGTCTACCCAGACATTGTGGCACAATGATGGAATGATTTGTTAAATATGTAAATATTCTCTGTTTGTCTCATCCTTTTACTGTGTGTAGGTTTTTTAATATAACTGTAAACACTCATGACTTTACTCTCTATTTAAATGTGTTTAGATTTGACTGACTAAGTGCTAAGAAACTATATACAGAATACCCAGTCATTCAAAACTCTTCTTCATGGATCATTTAGATTTAGTTCAACCTTACTTCTGTCTTTAATTGTCTGGCATTTTAACCTGATTCTGTTGATTCTTCTTACTGGAAGCAGTAGTGAGCTTCAACTATGAGGGACATCAAAACACCCAAAGCAAATACACTATGTGGCCAAAAGTATGGGGACACTACCAGCCCAGTGCGCAAAGCCAGGTCCATAAAGACATGCCTTTCCCAGTTATGTGTGGAAGGACTAGGCTGGCCTGCAAAGTGTCCTGACCTAAACCCCATCCAACACCTTTGGGATGAAATGGATCACTGACTGCAGGCCAGGCGTTATTGCCCAGCATCAGTGTTGGGCCTCACTAATGCGGTATGTATGTTTAAAGTTGAAACTGAGATGATCTGTTCAGGAAGTCATTAGTGGCTCTGAGACATAATGTATCATGATCACATGGAGGGACTGCTTCAAATGTTTGACTGACTTGAGTGAATACAGAAGAATCAAGTTTGATCCCCACCTCTAGTGAACGTAAAGGTTGAATTCCTACTCCAGCTATCACAGCTCTCCCCCTCACTTTAACCAAGTGGTTTTGGTGTATTTTGACTGCACCTTTTTTCTTAACCCAAATCAGTCTGACGTTATTCACTCCATTTGGTGTTGTGGTCTTAAAAGTGCCCTGTGGAGTTTCAATGTTTCTCACCAAAACTCACTGTGCATGTGCTTGAGGCCTAACTTGTTGAATGCCTTTTTCCTCATAAATATTTTTAAAGCTGATTTTTAAAATTATTTTTATTTTGCAACCTGCAAAGGGTTTCTAGCTCAGTCTTCTTCTTTGCTGGCACACTGCTGTCTTGCCACCAACTGTCTATAAATGGAATGGCATACTGTAAACTGTCAGCACAAATATCTCTAGCGCTGCCCACACGCTCTTCTATGAGGGTCCTTTTACGTGAGCTGAAGTTACAAACAAAATGGTGACCTGCTCATCAGACCAGTGCACCACACCACTACTAGTGGTTAAAACCTCCACAGGGTACATTTTAGGCTGACCCTAACCAACTGGCTTCTTCACTGACACTGAGATCATTTACAGGAAGAGTTGAATTAGAAAACTCCTCTGCAAACAGCATTGACAGTAAATGCCTCACATGAGAAAGTGTTCGCTTGGCTATCAAAGGCAGTTTCTTACATTCACAACTACAATATCAAAATCAAACAAAAATGTCCTGTTTTTAATATCTTGTTTTAACGCTTTAATGATAAAACCTGCAATTTATTTCAGAAGTACAACAGACACACACAGGATGTTTTCCATTGTGTATCATAACCACGTCCGCAGTAACACACCTGATTTGGGACAGTTGATGTATGCTGTGTTGGGGTTGCCTTTCTGTCCTTAACATTCAGAGGACAGTACAGTTGTGTACCCACTGAATATATTTACAGTAATATGAATCAAATAAGGAAGGTTTCTTATTTAAGTCTCCATGCCAGTATCAGTGAGTGGAAATGATTTATGGTTTAATTCTACTGATAGTTGTAATTTATTATTTTTTTCTGTGTTTCTGTGGCTTGGCTCTCAGCTAGTGATTCCATAATTGATTAATCAGATTTTTTTGTCTTGTCGGACCAACAGCCCAGACCCCAGAGCTATTAAATTTTCAGTGGCATTAAACAAAGAAAAGAAGTGTTTATTAATGACCACAATTGTTGCAGATTTAAATGCCAATCAGCACTTGAGCACAGTTTCACATATGTACTCTGATTAGGTCTGTGCTACAGTATGTTTCAGCCTTGGTTTAATCCTGAGAACATTGCATTGCTGTCATTTTAATTTTAAGTTTCACTTTAATAAATGACCTGAATGGGGTTGAATGAGCAGTTTGAGTGATTAAAGACTCACTTCTCCCACAGCGGTAAATGCAGCACTGAGGCTGATAACAGGATTGGATGGTGCGTGTATTAAATTAATTTTGCTCCTAAGCCACAGAGTGCCAGGAACTGAAAATCCGCGGCAGTGAGGGAAAATACTTTACATCACCAGTCATAGTGCATAACCTCATTCAAAAAGTTTTTTTCTCCAACTGCAAAATGCGTATTGCACAATGGTTTCTAATATGTAGCACACTGGCACCACAGTGTGTGCGCCTCGAGTAGGTTCCCAGTATCAGACTCTGTACAGTGTCCTTCACAGTCCCCAACATTTACAGTTAAGGATTATGTTCAGTGATGTCTAACTGATCTTTTTAAGCTATTTCATATCAGTTGTGTCGAGTTGATCCACTGACTTGATTTCCTGATTCTCATGTACAGTTTTTCTTTGTGTGATTTGTGGGAATCTGATTGGCACAGCTTTGTTTCTATTGCTATTTCACAATCACAGTCATGGTGAAAATGAGTATTCCAGACAGTGGTGTGAGATGAAAAGCTTTAGTAGAGACTCACTTAATGTTTCTGTTTTGAATTCAAATGTGTGGATTTGAAGAGGATATACCATGCTTTCACATACGATCGAAACAAATTTCTTAAGATTCACACAGTGTTTGAATAGCTCCTAGAGAAAGTAGATAATTATTTGGACATCTTAAGTCAGTTACCTATTCTCTGCCATTTGAAGTCATTAAATGTTTCAATTTATGCTTTCTATAAAACAGTGACAGCAGGTAGCTACTGTCGGGGGTTGATTGTAATTTATAAAGGTGTATATGTGCTGGGAAGTGAAATACTGTTTCAGGGGAACTGCAGTGTCAAACTGTTCAGAATTTCATCTACTAATTTCTAAATGTTTCTAAAGTCTGTCAACACTTACTCCTTTCTTGCTGATAAGTGTAATCCAAAATGGTGAGAAGGATATTGGATTCAGACATTATGGAATTCCTATTTTTCCTGATCTAACTAGTACCAGGCCATTAGTGTAAAGATATGATTAAGCAATAAATATGGAGTGGTTAAATGGGAATCTTGTCATGTTTTTCTCTTATTTGCCTTTCAGACAAAACATTTGGTGTGAAGCAAAACAACATGTACCGTAGTTATTGTGATAGTGGGAGAACACAGTGTGTGCTTTCTGTCTGCCGACGTGGCCAGAACATGCTAAAACTCTCAAACTTAATGAAAATTGGTAACAATCAGTAGTGAAAAGTTACTCAACAATTTTGAATTACTTGAGTATTTCCATTTTATATTACATTCCAGTGGGAGATATTTTACTTTTTATTCCTCCTTGTTTAAGTTTACTAAGACATTATTTACTGCATATAAATCTCTGTATTTTCATGTATTTTTTGTCTCTTGTGTCCTGAACACCTTATTTTCTTAAAACAATTGAAAAGAATCTGTCAGTGTGGTGAGAGGACATGCCAACTGGTTTAATGAATTTTCTATAATCACGTCAGCGTCATGCATCGGAATCAGCTTTATCTTTATTAAGTATGTGTCCACATATGAGGAATTCGACTCTGGATCGTACATTGCTCACAATGTGCTTACTCATAATACTTACTCAATAACATCAAACAGACTACAGCATACAGAACACATTTACACACACTATAAACCTAAACAGAAGCAATATAGGCAGATCGAGACAATGGTGCAATGACCAGAGCGGAAAGGATGCAGGTGGATGTGATCTACACATACAGTCCCCTCCAAAAGTATTGGAACAGTAAGGTAAATCCCTTTGTTTTTGTTGTTCACTGAAGACATTTGGGTTTAAGATCAAAAGATGAGACAAGAGTTCAGAATGTCAGCTTTTATTTCCTGGTATTCACATCTAGATGTGTTAAACAACTCAGGACATATCACCGTTTGTATTAGACCACAGCATTCTTAGGTGAACAAAAGTAATGGAACAAATAATCTTAAAGTAAATAATTTAAAACTTGGTGGCGTAACTCTTGCTTGCAATAACTGCCTCAAGCCTGCGACCCATCGACATCACCAAACTGTTGCATTCTTCATTTGTGATGCTATTCCAGGCTTTTACCGCAGCTTCTTTCAGTTCTTGTTTGTTTCGGGGTGTTTCTCCCTTCAGTCTCCTCTTAAGGAGGTGAAATGCAGCTCTATTGGGTTCAGGTCAGCTGATTGACTTGGCCAGTCTTTTTTTTTGTTGGCAGTGTGCTTTGGCTCATTGTCCTGCTGCATGATAAACTTCCTCCCCGTTAGTTTCAATGCATTTCTCCGTAAACTGGCAGACAAAATGTTTCTGTCCACTTCTGAATTCATTCTGCTGCTACCATCATCAGTTCCATCCTCAATAAATATTGATGAGCCTGTTCCAGAAGCAGCCCTGACATGACCTCCACCATGCTTCACAGATGAGCTTGTATGCTTCGGATCATAAGCAGTTCCTTTGTTTCTCCACACTTTGGCCTTTCCATCACTTTGCTAGAGATTAATCTTGGTCTCATCCGTCCATCAGATCGTGTTCCAGAACTTTTGCGGCTCATCTCTGTATTTCTATCTAAATTTCACTCTGGCCCTTCTGATTCTTGCTGCTGATGAGTGGTTTGCATCTTGTGGTGTGGCCTCTATATTTCTGCTCTGAGTCTTCTTCCAACAGTGGATTGTGATACCTTCACCCTGCACTGTGGAGGTCGTTGCTGATGTCACTTACTGATGTTTTGGAGGTTTTCTTCACAGCTCTCTGTCATCAACTACTGTTGTTTTCCTTGGCCGACCTGTTGGACGTCTGTTGCTCAGTACACCAGTAGATTCTTTCTTTTTCAGGACATTCAAATTGTTGTGTTTGCTATGCCCAATGTTTGTCCAACGGCTCTGCTCGATTTTCCTTCTTTTCTCAGCTTGACAGTGGCTTGCTTTTCTCCAACAGACAGCTCTCTGGTCTTCATGTTGGCTCTTTAACATGAAAATGCAGTCTTTATAGGTTTGAACTACGGATGAAAACTTAGACTAGTCATGCAGAGCAATTTAATGTTCGGCCAATCAGAAACAAGAACCATCTGTCAGTCACATGTTCCAATAGTTTTGCTCACTTGAAAAATGGGTGGGTTCAAACAAAGGGTGGTATGTCCTGAGTTGTTTAACACATCTAGATGTGAATACCAGGAAATAAATGCTGACATTCTGAACTCTTGTCGCATCTTTTGATCTTAAACCCAAATGTCTTCAGTGAACAACAAAAACAAAGGAATCTGCCTTACTGTTCCAATACTTTTGGAGGGGACTGTATACACGTACATGCATACATGTACACAGTGTGATGGAGCACAGTACAAAGGATGCTGGAATAAATAAGTACTATCAGCAGGTGTTGAGGTACGTGGATATGATATATACAGCATACACAATATGAACAGCACTGAATTACAGAGTGAAGGAATGTAGTCATTTAGTCCAGAGATGGAGGGCTTTTTGTGATTGTGGAGCGTTTGAAGCAGGAGGGAACTTCACACAGTTCTTGTGATTTGTTGAAGATCTGTATGAAGATGGGCGCCAGCTGGTCTGCACAGATTTTCCGGCAGGAGCCTTCCTGATCTTCTACCTCTGAAAGAGCTGGCGCACATCCTCTTCACAGATCATGAGTGCAGATGAGGGGTCAGAGGGGGGGTGAGAGATTTCAATTTCTGCCTGTATGTTGGGATAAATCACGTTCATTCAACTTAGTTCAACTCCACATTTTCCTTCTGCTCATCCACCACCATGGGAAATTCGTTGGGACACATTTGGGGTTGGCTGTGATGAAGGATGATCTCTGCAGACAGGTTGGATGGGATGTCTGAGAAACAGCAAATCAGGAACAACACTGTGATCCCCTGCTTCCGGAAGAAGATGGGTGACATTGGGTGTGTGAGAAAGTGCTAGTGTGGAAAGACTGAGTATTTGTAAGATTGAATATAGTGTTTGCTCGTTAATTTATGCCTTCAGCCTTAATGAAGAAGAGAGGCATTCTGTAGAAGATGTTCAGCTGAGGTAGTGGATGCCTTGTTGTTGCATTTGACTTATTTACAAATCAGTGATTGCGTAGAGATTTTAGAGATATATGGTCTCAGTTATTATTTTATTTCTGGTTTTGTTTCTGCTTTGTATTAAGCATCCAGCTATTATAACACCATATTTAAGTCATGTTAACAGAAATGTGATTTTAAAAGTGTAAGTTTTAGCGGCATCTAGTGGTGAGGTTTGCAAATTGCAAGCAACAGCTCAGTGTCAAATTATACATTCCTTCCCATTCAACAAGCCCACTCTGTGCATTTGATGAGCTTTCCTCTCATTTTTCTACATTACATTTGGACAACCCCCCTTGTGCAATCCTTGTAAATTCACATTATACTTAAACATGGCCTCCAAGCAAACCTCCGATCGATTTGTTTCAGTCAAGCCAAAACTCTCAAGTCAAGTCACAAGACATGGGTAATAAGTCTTGAATGCAACCATAAAATGACATTCCAACAGTTTCTTTCAAAGCTGTGTCATGGACTTTTTTACAAAACTGAGACAGTCCCATCAATGCATAAACCTAATCATTATTAATCCTGAGCCCTGCTTGGTTCTGTCACAAGTCACAACGTAATCCAAGCTTAAAGACTGTGAGATGTGAATGAAAGTTTAGAAATGATTGTAAATTAACCTTTTCAGATCAGTTATATACACTCACCGGCCACTTTATTAGGTACACCTGTTCAATTGCTTGTTAACACAAAAAGTTAACCAGCCAATCACATGGCAGCAAGTAGACATGGTCAAGACAACTTGGTGAAGTTCAAACTGAGCATCAGATGATGATGAAGAAGAAAGATGGGCTGCTCTGAGTATTTCAGAAACTGCTGATCTGCTGGGATTTTCACACACAGCCATCTCCAGGGTTTACAGAGAAAGGTCTGAAAAAGAGGACATATCCAGTGAACAGCTGTGTGGACGAAAATGCCTTGTTGATGTCAGAGGTCAGAGGAGAATGGGCAGACTGGTTCCAGATGACAGAAAGGCAACAGAAACTCAAATAACTACTCGTTACAACCAAGACCACTAAGAACAGGAAACTGAGGCTACGTTTCACACAGGCTCACCAACGCTGGACAATAGAAGATTGGAAGAACGTTGCCTGGTCTGAGGAGTCTTGGTTTCAGCTGCGACATTCAGATGGTAGGGTCAGAGTTTGGCGTGAACAACATGGAAGCATGGATCCATCCTGCCTTGTATCAACGGTTCAGGCTGCTGCTGGTGGGGTAATGGTGCGGGGGATATTTTCTAGGCACACTTTCATGTCCATCCCTTTCTGAACACAGTGTACCATCTGCTGACGGCTACTTCCAGCAGGATAATGCACGACGTCACAAAGCTCAGATCATCTCAAACTGGTTTCTTGAACATGAGTTCACTGTACTCCAGCGGCCTCCACAGTCACCAGATCTCAATCCAAGTGAGCCCCTTTGGGGTGTGGTGGGACGGGAGATTCTCATCATGGATGTGCAGCCGACACATCTGCAGCAACTGCGTGATGCTATCATGTCAATATGGACCAAAGTGTCTGAGGAATGTTTCCAACACCTTGTTGAGAGTATGCCACCAAGAATCAAGGCAGAAGGGGGTCCAACCCGGTTCTAGCTAGGTGTACCTAATAATATAGTGGACAGTGAGTTTACCGTTCTCATAGGCCAAGAACTAAGGTCCATCCTCAAATGTCAATCTCTCCAATTTAACATAAATATTAATTATTCCACAATCCACAGACAACCCATTGACAGCCAGTTCACTCAAATTATGAAAACCGCAGACCATGGATGTGTTCTGTATCAATATATTAATGATATTTTCTCACTTTCCTCTTCTAACATGTAGTGGGATTGTATTTGTTGTTGAAATCTGTCTGAGATTTGGAGATGAATAGATTCAATAAACTCAGTGTACAGAGTCTCCCAATATTCTCCTCTGGATAATCCCCAGACCTGTGAACCGTTTTCACTGGAAATAAACTAATTCCTACAACTGTGTTGACATGTATTCTGTATTGTATGTGGATGCGCTGTACCTCCACGATGGTGGTGGAGTCGTGACTTTCAGCCCGGTGCTGTGGTCTCTTTAAACGCAGGGCAGACAGCAGATTTCCGATCGTCCACGAAGCGGATTACAGCTTCAGTGCTGCGTCTGCTGCTACATCATCTCAGCTGATCCGGAGGATTCCCTCGGCAAGGAAACAAACAAGCCCTGCCTGTATGCTCAGCTCAGCACGACACCATGGATTTCAACGTCAAAAAACTGGCTTCTGATGCAGGGGTCTTTTTCACCCGGGCAGTGCAGGTAAGCCGGACATCGTTTGCTGGACCTCCCTGCAGCCCCCCGGTGCGTTAATGTAGGTTGATTTACCGACACACTGTAACTGCGTCCTGCTGGGTGAAATATAGCCGTGGGCCATTGTTCTGGACTTATACAACATTCACAAAGCAGATCTTGGTGTTTTAGTTTCCGACTGTAAAAATGAAATCAGGTAGCCTATATTTGGTCGGTTATGTTGATGAGCGGGACCCGCGCTGTAAGCCGATAAAGGTTTGTCAAGCCTTGATCCATTATTGAAGGCTGTGATCGAGTGTATCGCTTATGTGACACCAGCAGACTCCCTGCTCCCCTCCAACTCATCAACGGGAAAGGGCTTTTTATGGAATGGACGGCAGGGCAATTAGCTCTTTATTGTATAATATATCTTACATTATTCACGCCTACCTGCCCAGCGACGTATTGGATAAAACTTCACACCAATCCCCCTTCAAAAACGTGCAATATGTTGATTAATGTTGTTTAACGAACTGTGCATAGCTGATGGAACCACACCTACTGTCACTCTCCAATCGGTATGGTACAATATGAAATTCGGTACCCACGAAATACACTTAAAAGCATTTATTTGATTTCACTGTAATTTTTTTAATCATTGGTTCTCATTTGGTTCCATACCTAGAATCCCCTTAAAAGGCCATCACAGTAGAGCAGTGTGATCACATATAAACCCTAATTTTCTACTTTAATTCAGTTTAATTTAATCCAAACTTCATATCGATAAGTAAACTGTCTTATGTCACGTTGTATCATTATTATGCTTCTGCTAATTTTCAAGAAAGCTTTGAAGTAGAAGATTTTACAAGGGAATTATCTGGCCTCTAAATACATGGACTGTTTTGACAGCTGTAGATTGCCAGATCTGAAGCAGACCAGTATATGAGGGAAATAGTTATGCACAATTTGAAGAATGGAGTTTTTAATCTGGGCCAAAACCTCACACAGCATGCAAGCCGGTGCTGTTGTCGTTTTATTGGTGTGAAGCAAAAACTTTTTAATTATTAATTTGAGTCCCATACAGCAATTAGACACATGGTGTTTCAGGGTTTGACCACAAGATGTGCCCCCATGTTCACCCTGTGCCTGCACAAGTGTGTTAGCTACTGTAGCTACATTTCTGACCACATTCTGCAGTGTCTGAATGGATCCACTAATGAAGTTTGCTTTTCTGGAAGCTTTGTGGGAAACACAGGAAACCACTGACTGTAGAGGAAGTAGGCCAAAAAAACTGTAAAAAACTACAGATGACAGTTTTGCACAAAATAACTCTTGGAATTCCTTCCAGACTACCGCAGGCTGCTAATGATATTTACCATTTTACATTTCTCCATACAACTGTCAAATGACCCAGCCAGAGTAGGAAAAACCTGCTCCGGGGCTCCGGTGCAAAATATAGCAGACCCTTTTGACCCGCTCCCACCCGCTTTGCATTTCCTGTTGCCTTTAAAAGGCCGCAGCAGAAAATCTTGTTTTGCTGACCACCAGTGGTTTGATTCCTCAAGTGGCTGCAGTTACTATGTAGAAGTGTACTCTGGGGTGTGTCAGTACACCATAACATCACTGTTGGGTGTGGTTAGAAGTGTTATAGTTTTACTAAATTTGTAGGGTCCAAAAACTGGGATTTCCCCCCTCTCTTAAATCTGATTTTTTTTTAAACCTTCAGGTTTTCTACTGATTGGCGCCTCTTACCGTTATGGTTATCTTGGCACTCATGTCAAGGAACCATTGCATTATTTAAGCTCAACTACCTTGAGATGGTTGCAAAGCTCAAAAATACTTAAAAATGTAAAAATGGAGGTACCTACCACTCTCCCTGATGGGTCAGGCAAATGCCATGAAGATGGTTGTACTAATTCATGTGTCTTCTTCAAAAGCTACCCATCTTTCTTGCATCCTTTTGTTTTAGACTTTAGACTTCATAATCATGCCCTTTATTTGGGCAGGCCCGACCCATTTCCAAATAACAGCTACAAAAACCCATAGAGGGGGTTCCAGTGTTTCATCATAATCATAATTTCCTACCAGGTCAAAGTTTTCCACAATTGGGCAGAAAAGGGCCTATAAAAATGAATGGCTTTTATGTTGATAAACATTTAGGCTGTTTCAGCTAGTTAAAAGATAAATTGCTACGCCTCAGCTCATCCAATTTAAATTATATCCCCTATATGTCACAAATATAAGTTTGAGGATTGGACTCACCTCTTCTGGTCATGCATAGGTTCTGGCAGGAGATTTTTCAGTGGTACAGTGTAATAAAGCAAGTCATCCCGGAAGGTCATTTTGCTTTACTGGGCTGTTCTGAACACTGCTTTTAAATACCATATGAGAGTCAACTGGCTCTCATGTTTGGCATGGTTATAGCAAAAGGGTTAGTTTTAGGGAATGGAATTCTTCATCCCCTATTATTTTTTAAATATGGCTCAGTATTATAATTTCCTATTTATATTTGTAGGATATGAGGTGCTATATGTCTAACTGTCAGTCTAAGTTTGCAAAGATTTGGGGACAGTTTGCGGATTATGTTTGGCACAGGGTGTCTAATAAGTGCACATATTCATGTCTGTTTTGAGAAACACCCTTCACTTGCTCTGACTGTCTACCACTAACAACTATGTGTGTCTCTGTTCATTTATTGTCGGTCCCTGTTGGTCACTGTTCTTGGTTTCCTGAATACTCTGCTGGACCTTTTTATTGTAGAAGAAGTGGGTACTTCCTACACAGCTTATTTTCAAGGGTCAAGCATTAAAATAATTTTACAACAAAATGTTGTGTAATGAAATTTACATTATTTGTCCCCTTATGCTACATACACGCACATGCAAACAACACAGAACAAAATGTAACAAAATACTATTAGTTTTGATGGAGTGAGGAGGATGAATATAAAAGTCTCACTGAGGAAAGAAGCTGCTCTGCAGTCTTTTGGTATGACACTAGATACTTATGTATCTCTTGCCAGATGTCAGCAGGGTGAATGACCAGTGATCTTCTGAGCAATTTTCCCTTAAAAAGTACAATAAGCATGTACAATCTACTAACAGTATAGTAATATATATTTAAAATATTCTGCCATTTTTGTGGGTAAATAGGGGCTTAGGGGTTTGGTTTTTGCTGTTCCCTCCAGACCATCGTGCTCATCAGCCCATCTGTACACCCCAACTCCTCACACTTTTCCTCAAAAACATTGCTGGAAATGCAGAAATGTGAAATTAATTGCCTGAAAGATCTGAAAGATAAAATGCATTGACTGCACTGCTGAAAAACCTGGAAGCTGAAATGTAAAACTGGTCAAATTCAGATTTGGAAAAGTCGAATAGAAACACAAATGTACTTAAAGAGCATAAAACCTTTAGATGTGATTTGTTTCTGTAGCTGAAAATATGCATAAGTATTAGTCAAAAGAAAAAACATAAATAACAAAAATAAATTGCAAAGCATTGCTGAAAATGCCGAAATGTAAAATTAATTTCCAGAACTGGAAGTTGAAATGCATTACCTAAAGAAGCTAAGAGCTGTAATGTAATGTATTGCTAGAAAAGCTGGAAGCTTAATTTTAATATTGTCAATGGTTTTCACTTCCACTGTAATACATTCTTTTAAAAGAACAACATTTTATAAGTATAAATGGTAGAAAAAAGTTGAATAGAAGAATAAATGTCCCTAAATAGCAAGTTTTAACATTTGAATGGTTTCTGTAGCTTAAAATGTGCATGTGTAAAAAGTTGTAGTTGACCAGGAAAACATATTGAAGAAAAAAAGCCAAAGCATTGCTGAAAATGCAGAAACCTGAAATGAATTACTTATTTTGAAATTCTACCTTTGTCCATGGCTCCCAGAAAGCTCCTGTTATCTTTACTCTATAGGGCTTTTATTTTGAAGATTTAGGTTCATTACCAGTTTCCTGTTACAGATAGTGACTGTTTATTTTGAAAATGAGCCTCACCTGGAGCTTTTTGTTAAGATTTAGATAAAACTGCCTCATCCTGAGTTCCCAAGATACAGTTACTTTTTGTGTCTTATGTTTTGAAAAGCCTAGCTCATCCTGAATGTTTTGATAAACTGTAAATTATATATACTCTGTGTATATATATTTATATATCTTGTTAGCTGTGATTACAGTGTTCCTGCAACACTCAGGATCCTGACTTTGTCTCCAAGTTCACAGAGGAGAAGCTGGGCCAGGCTGAGAAGACAGAGCTGGATCCTCACTTAGAGAACCTAATCACTCGGGCTGATGGCACCAAGAACTGGACTGAAAAGATCTTAAGACAAACAGAGGTGCTCCTGCAGCCCAACCCAAGTAAGAGGGGAAAAAACAAAAAAATGTGAAAGACATGTGACCTTTCAACCAGTCCATCCATCTGGAGTCCCAGAAGACCTTTAAATTTATTCATTTAGCTGACGCTTTTATCCAAAGCGACTTACAATTGGTACATATGTCAGAGGTCGCACGGCCCTGGAACTACTAGGAGTTAAGTGTCATGTCACAGAGGGGGATTGAACCCAGGTCTCTCACACCAAAGGCATGCTTCTGCTATCCACTGCTCCATCACCACCCCTAGTAACAACACATTACATTTATGGCTTTCTGATGAGTCAAAAGTATTGTAAGTAAGAAACATAATTGTACATTTTGCATTATTTTGTGAATATATGTTAACTAGTTGGCAACATATGGCATTTGACACTTCTGGGACTCCATAGATACTGTTTGAAAGCAGGAGGCAAACACCTTTCGCCTGTCATTTTGAAATGTGTTAAGGAAAATATCTGTAGAACTTGTTTCAAAGCTGTCTTCTATGCAGCAGCTTAATTTAATTTGTGCTAAGTAGCTGTTTCTAAGCTACTTTTGGTAGTCCGATGTTTATTTGATATATACTGAGAATGAATAGAACAGTAGAATAGATATTGCTAGTAATGTCTAACTCTTGATGTATTTTGTATTTTCCAACCCCCATGCTCCAGTTGACCACACTGGTAAGTAATTTCCCATAGTGCTGTGTAAGGAAAGACTGCATGAACTCATTGTACTTGAGCCTCCTCAACATTATCAGCACAGATTATATACAGTGTAGCATACATACAGACCTACAGTGTGGTTCCACTTTTTTCCACTTACAGATACAACAATATAGGTGACTGTATTGTATCACATGTTGAAACTGAAATGAGACTGAATATGCAAGAGGAGAGACAGTCTGCTGTGCAGGGAAGGGACTGAATATGTGCAGATACAAAGAGGTGTTGAATTACTAATGACCTTCCCTGCAGGAAGACACCTGTAAGCACTAGTTTATTGGATACAGCCAAAGCTGCCTTCATGGGTAAATTCTCTAATAAAAACTGGTGTTGTAATGGCTAATTATGGTTAGACAGACAGAGTCTAAAATAATTGCCAGCAGCACGAACATTAAAAGCAGGTTGCTAGAGGAAGCTCTAAAATATTATTTTTTTCTGTATAAATTATTATTTTCCTGTAATTAGGTTCCTGAATTAAATTATAGCAAAGCTAATAGTAAAGCTTCTGTAAATGTGCGTGTATAAAAATATATAATTATGACAATTTCTGTCCACATAGACCCTTAGAATAAAACCAGCCTTATAAGGGCTCGAGGGGGTGTCGAATAACTATAATGACTCACATGGTGAATTCAGCATAATGTCTAAATACTGCTTTAAGTTATTTTGCTAATAGGTTCCACTTCGCCCTTATTTTCAATTGTTGTTAAGTGACTGTCAGTGAAACTCCAGACTTGCTGCATCTTGTTAATGTGTAGAGCCAAGCCTTCCAGAAAAGGGAGGGCTTATTACCACTGAGCCATTGAATGAATGATGATGGATGAATGATCAAACAGTTTTTCACCTGTTGTGTACAGTTTGACAGTGATCTCTGTATCATCTTTTATTTAGGTGCTCGAATAGAGGAGTTCATCTATGACAAGCTGGATAAGAAGCTTCCCTCCAAGGCAACCAATGCAGAGCTGCTGGGCCAGTACATGCTGGAAGCTGCCAATGAATTTGGTCCAGGGACGCCATATGGTCAGTGGAGCTGTTACTGAAACCTGTATTGTTGCAGCTGATGAGACTTACGGCATGTTTCTGCTTGTCCTCACAAAGTACTAGAGAGCTGGTTTGCTTTTAGGAAGCAGCATTTTCACCACCTAATATCATGGTTTCAATTACGCTCCTCCAGCACTTTCCTTGCTTTCTAGAACTTGTCTTCAGTCTGATTTTCAGTGATGTGCTAGCTCAGCTCAACTTTCAACCCCCCCCCATTCCAGGGGGTAAAAAAGTTAGTTTAGTCAGATTTGGCTTATTGTGTACTACAAGTGTGTATTTGTGCATTGTGCCACTTGTAGGCAGTACCCTGATCACAGTGGGAGAGTACCAGAAGAGACTGGGAGGAGCAGAGCGCGAGTTCCTCCATACCTCAGCTACCACCTTCCTCACTCCTCTACGCAACTTCCTGGAAGGAGACTGGAGGACTATATCAGTAAGTCTGACTGGTTTACTTGCTGCCCTACGACATTGTGTTTGTATTAACTGTGTGAAGAGAAGTATGTTGCCAAAGACGCTCACTGATTTCAATTAAATGTTTCATCTGGCTTCTGATTGGATCCCTCCCGGGGCGGCTGGGGCTCAGGAGGTAGAGCGGGTTGGCTGTTAATCGGAAGGTCGGCGGTTCAGTCCCCCCGGCTGTTCCGCCAGTGTGTGAATGTTAGTTTCCGTTTGAGCACTCAGGCTCAGTGTATGACTGGTGAGTGCAGATGTAGTGTAAAAGCACTTTGAGTGGTCGAAAAGACTAGAAAGGCGCTATACAAGTACGGAGCATTTACATTTACATTCCTGTCCCCTGCAGAAAGAGAGGCGACTGCTGGAGAATCGACGGCTGGATCTTGACATCTGCAAAGCACGCCTGAAAAAAGCCAAGAATGCAGAAGCTAAAGGAGCGGTGAGATGAAATGCCTCATTGTCACTGTGGTTTTTGTTGCTGCTGTTGTCCTTCTTCTTCTTCCCCCTCCTCTCAGCTGTTAAAGTATTTGAATGACAGTAGCCATGAGACCAACTGCAGCTAAACTATGCAGATATGAAATGCCCTCCACCTCTCAGACAGCAGTTGAACAGTCAGGTGGTGGCACTGTTACATCCTTTTTAACTGTTTAATCTATAAGTGTAAGTAAGTGGATCAAGAATTGTTAATTTTTTGTTGGCGATTTGCAGCTGTGAACACAACACTGACATATTATTGCCTAATGAAGATGCTGCTGTGAACCTGTTAGCAAACAGTTGCCTGTTTACACATCCAGCAGACACAGAGCAGCATGAGAATTCAATTGGAGTTGTGTTTGTGCCCTTGAATCCAATATACGCTCTCCATATGGCCCAGTTTTGGTCCAACCGGCAAGTTTCTAACTTTGTCTGTTTAGTGCTGAGCAGGTAGTGTACAGTGGGTTTCACATAACAGCTGCCTGCTGTTGCTGCAGACAAAGTTGATGAGAGCAGTGAGAGTGAAAACAAAACCGTAAACTTGTGGGTAAAACCAAAACAATGAGCTGAAAGACGCTCCACAGAGCTGAGGGGAACAGCAGAGTTTGTGATATTTCTTTTCGCTTCTTTTACCTGCAGCCATTTAATCCATCGTTAAGACGTTAACATGAAATAGTTTATTGCAGTTATAACAGCAGTCATGTATCTAAAAGTAACTTATTGGTACTGAAGTTGATGACTACATGTATGTTCGACTTTAGGCTATTTAGATTTTTTTTAAATCAGTTTTGTTTCTGAATTCCTCTTAGACTATTGATCTGGTCATCTCCAGATTTGGTATGACATCTCTGTGTTCCTATTTTTAAACCTTCTTTCTGAAATTGTTTTTATTTCTTTTTTTTTTATGTCAAAGGTACATAGTATTCATAGTACAGCACGTTATAACCCAACTCTGCAGCCGGAACATTTTAAAACCTTTTTAGTAAACAAAAGACATATTTATCAACTACCTGGCACAGAAAGTAGAACATCTAGCAGTAAGATATTTCTTTCAGGATTTGATTACTAATGCTGGCCCCAGTATCAAACATGTTTGATATTTGCAATTTCAAATCCCCGAATGTGAAAGGAACAGCAATTCAACATTGAGTAGAAACCCGCATCAGCCAATGAGAGTGAGCTTAACGGGAAGCGTCACCAACAACCTCAAGTTCATCCACAGGTTTATTCTTTTTTTTGTTGTTGTTCTTGTCTGCAAAACATACAACACAATCAGTTAAAATACTGTGTGCGCCAGGCATTAACAGCCCTAAAAGCAGAGTGAAAATTAAACTTACCTTCATCAAGAGGCCAGAAACTCTTCATTGGGTGTCCAGAAACACAGTGATGGGATGATAATGTTGCTCTGTATATGCTGGCTGACATAAGGAACTGTTTGCTAACAGGTTTGCTAATAGGGCAGCACGGTGGCCTCACAGCAAGAAGGTTCTGGGTTCAAAACCCGGTTGTCTCAGCCTTTCTGTGTGCAGTTTGCATGTTCTCCCTGTGTCTGCATGGGTTTCCTCCAGGTGCCCCGGTTTCACCCACCATCAAAAAAAAAACCATGTTAGGTAGGTTCTTCAGTCAGTGCTGTTTGACCAGACACTGCATTCAATCTGGTCCCCGGGCGCTGTACAGTGGCACTGCTCCCCCCAGTGTCCAAAAAAGGATACAGCTTTAAAAGATTGCAGTAAGAGTCTCACAGCTCCTAGGTTTTATGTTCAATAATCAACGCAGATAGTGTGTTGCATCTTGTGCCAGCTGCTCTCTACCACATCTGTACATTATAAGACTGAAAAATCTCAAAGAAGGGAAGTGCAGAAATATCACATATGTTAGCAAGTCGCACACTGCTTTGACTTTGCATCATGTTTCACGTCAGGTCATGAGGTCTTGCTTTCTTAAGAATAACCTTTGCAGTCATTTTCTTCCTCTTGAATTGCACCAAGTTAGTTGCTTCTTCAGACGGCATGAGGTAGCGATGGAGCAGTGGATAAGACACATGCCTTTGGTGTGGGAGATCTGTGTCCATTTCCCACTGCGCCATCCACTAATGTGTCCCTGAGCATGTAAAGAGGCATGACATGTAGCAAATATTAGTTGTTTGGATAAAAGCGTCCGCTAAATGACAATAGCTTAATATAATGTAATGGCTGACTGACAAACTACCCCCTAACATTTTTTATAAGCTTTTCAGAAGCTCTGCTGGCTGACATATCATCAGTGATTCTGCCTGCAGTGCCTGTTGCATGTATCGCTCAATGATGTTGGACATCAACGAAGAACAAAAGTCAATCTGTTTCTGCAGCAGAAGCAGTGGGGGAAAGTACAGATGGTCAAAGAAAAGGCACAAAGAAATCAGTGCCCCTGAAAACTTATATTATATATTTATATTATTAAATACTTCTAAATTACATTAAATAGTCATGGTAAAATTAGCAGGTATTTCGCCATTCTTTAGGTTTTTACTATTTGACATAATTATTGTGGAAATCAAAGCGACTGTCAAAAAGTATCCATCAAGCTTATTGGTCAGTTCTCAGGCTGGTGACGCATATTGATCTGATCCTCTAAACTTAGGTTAGCCATGTAGCATAGGTTAACAGTAAGTCAGCTTTGTGACAGCAGAGGGCGACTTTTGCACAGCATCTCACCTTCTCCCATGCTCACTAAGCTCCTCTAAGCTTCCAAGGGTCATGTTGCTTAACTGTAGAAAGAATATCCTGTTTTTAGTTTTTCCCATTAACAACTCAAACTACTTAGGCACTAATTGTTCATGGTAGAATAGATATTTACAGTTATTAAGTAATCCTGGATTAAACATGTCCTGTATCATCCAGCAGAGCTGAGGAAAACCATAAACAAGCTAATACAGTTTTTCTCAGTCGCTTTGGTGCATTTCTCGAATCATCCTTAACATTTGCAAAACAGTAAGTGCATTTCTCGAAACGGGTAGTACACACAGCACAACACAGTGGATTACCTGCAAAAGCCCATAACATGCTCAAAATCCTCTCTCTCTCTCTCTCTCTCTCTCTCTCTCTCTCTCTCTCTCTCTCTCTCTCTCTCTTTTTTTTTAAATATATATATATATATATAAGCCCTAATCAAATATTTTTTATCTCGTGATTTCGAGATAACCATAATGGTAATTATAATGTGGTTTGTTGTATTGTAGTTTAGCTCACTTGGTAGAGCATAGGACTTACAGGTTTAAGGTTGTGTGCTCAATTCTCACTGAAGACTAAATTTTTCTTTTTTATATTATTCATAATCCTCTTCAACAAAGTTCTTATGAAAAGACTGTTTCACATGCTCACATTACTGTAAAGCACGTACTGGAAGGAAATTCCTTCTCATTCAGGGGAATCCATGTGACGTTACACATTTCATGACGGCTTTCGGAACCTTTGAAATAGCCGTCAGGAAATGTGTGATTGGGAATCCCCTCAGTCTCTTCATGACAAATTTGCTGAAGATGATGATACACACAAAAGAAGAAAAAGAAAGTCAACAAGAACCGGAATCATATATTACTGCTCACTGTGTATTGTTACTGGTATTGAGTATTGGTGTGAGTGTTGCTGTTGTGATGTTGTTGTGGTCTATTCTTACTTTGTTTATGGTCCTTAAGAAACAACATTTCGTTTTGCTACAGTATATACTTGTAGGCAAAGGATATGAATAAAGTATTTTAACTTTGATTTTTGATAACGTATTCAACCATTTTGCATGTAGCGACTAATGCAATGAACTCATGCCTAGATGTTTTGGGGGGTAAGATTGTTCGACAGAGACAGAGGTATAATTCATTGTGATCAGCAGGACATAAGCAATTGATAATGTAGGAAACAGCAGACAATTGTACATAATCATTTGCATCAGTGTATCAAGTCATTTGCAATTTGTTCAAAACAATGAGAAAGTGTTTTTATTATGTGCGCAACTGACGAGATGATGTGGAGGTTGAACAATTAGTTTTTAGAATTTCAATTCTGATCTGAGAAATGCACCAAAGCGACTGAGAAAAACTGTAAAAGCTGAATTTAATGGTAGCATTACCACATCAAAAGAAGGAGTGGTTTCATCAACATAAGAACGTAATTTGACTCCAACTATTTATAGCTTTAAAAGCGATCTATAAATGATTCATATGGCTGGACGCCTGCAAGGCTCTTACAGAGAGACTCACTCTGAGCTCTTTGTCGATAAAGGTCATAGATCACTTTGAATAACCCTTTATTTGTTCTGAACACTTAACTTTCAGCACTTTGATATCACACCCCTCTAACTGTCTACAGGACCATGTGCTTTGAATGTTTCTAAATGACATGCACTTGTGCTGCTTCTGATCTGTTTTCTGTATGCTCATATGCTTTTGCTAACTTTTGTTTTTCTGCTTATTGATTGTAACTGCATGACCGTGCCACATGTGTTTTCTCCTCCCTGCTCTTGTTTGTAGGCTGCACCTGATTTTCAGGAGACAAGGCCTCGAAATTATGTTCTTTCTGCCAGTGCATCAGCGGTAAGAGGTCCACGTAAATGACACATATGCAGAGGGGGGCGGGGCACATGCGAGGTCTAAGTTACTGAGCAGGAGCAAGGATAACATGCTAGGTATATAGCAGTAGAACACTGAATTTTATATCCCATTCAGTCTAAGCAGGAACACCAGCAGAAATGTTAAAGCAAGACTATGTAGTTTTGGTAAACAAAATAAATTACACAAGCAAAAAAACATACACTTGTTGCTGCTACAGCCTCTAATGTTTCTAAGATATTGCTGTGGGACATTACGAAGTCAGTTGGCTGACTGCAACTTTCTCTACTGGTGCTACTTTTTAGCATTCACTGTCATCTGGTGAACGCCTCTCGTGGCCAAAGTGGCTGCTGTTCAGCAAAAGTTGGGCTTGCTTCAAAGTAGCAAAAATTAAATTCTAAGCATGTGTTAAGCACATATTTCACCTCTTCTTAATGATGTAGAGGACAGCAAGGTTTGACATGTTACAGGTATGGAGGTTTGTTTTACCATCAGGAACATTTATTACACTATATTGTTACATTTTTGTAAAAGCTAAATTAATTAACTAAACTAAGCCAATGTCAGGACAGTGAGCTCATGACTCAATGACTCAAGTCAGACAGTCAGAGAATCAATTAGAAATCCAACATGCCTGTTTCATGTGTAGCCCTATATATCAAAACACATGGAGCAGGCCCCCACATCAGAGGCACTATAATATTGCCACTTATGTAAATAATGTGTAGGGGTGCATTTCTAATACTTGAAAAAGCTAGGCTTGCCAGAATGTGATAACAGCACTGTTGCATGATGACAAAAATATGATACTTGACATGAGCATGTTTTGCGCATGTTTGATTTTTTTTCACTGTTGTTTGAATCCCCTGAATCCCTCTTCATTTCATATTTGACATGCAAACACAATGAGAAATACTGAAAATTTTAAATGAACATATTCAATAGTTCCACCAGGTATCTGACATTATGACATTTCTCTGAAAAGGCTAAATTGAGTTTTATAGTTGCACTGGTCATAAGAGAGCAAATCATGGTGTATCACACCATGGAGGTATGGTGGCCCTGATGTGCAAAACTTGAAAGAAAAAATATAACAGTTAGCAACAACATTTCAGATGCTTCATCTAAACTGTAACTTACGACGGTTTTCAACACAGCTTTGTATTAACATGGGCATGGTTGCTGCGTCAAAATGAGACCTGGTTTGATCAGACCACTAATAAACAGATGCATCATGAAGTGACCACAAAACCACTTCCCACACATGTGATTCACAGGAACACAATACAACAATGTTGACCTTTCATTTCAGCAAATTCTGGTAAAAACCCTGAAAACACATACAGTAACACATAGTCTAGTTGCACTTTCGATTGTTACAAAAACATATATTTGTATCAATCTATACTTTTAGTATAAATATAATCCTATTGTAGAACATTTTGTCCCTACATTGTCTCCTTACTGCAGTATCAACAGTTTTTCTGTAACTTGTAGTCTCAGGTGTGTGTGAGCGGTTCACATTTCTCACTGGCATACATTATTGAACTGTGATGGTAGAAGTATTCGCATCCTTCACCTAATTAAAAGAAGGAATACAACAATGTTAAGATATTCAGTCAAAATCTTACCTGAGTAAAACTACATAACTAATATCCTGATAATGAGCTTAAAGTTATAAAAGTAACAGCACTCATTGGGCCAGATTTACTGAAGGTTTGCATGAGTAAAAACGTGTGCAAACTTGATATCACCAGCACGTAAGCTGACACGTAATAGCGACACAACCCATTGTAGGTATCAGAGAGGGAATGGGGCGTTAGGGCGTATAGGGACAGGAGATTGCGGAGCGACCGGGCACGCTGCAGATGGTCGGTAATCGTTCCCCCTGGCTGGTAGAAGCACGACGCTCCTGATTTTATGCATGATCCATGATCATATTTAAATTAATGACAAAAAGCATATAGTCAATATTTTAGAGATCCCCCAAAATTTCACAAATAATGTTTACCAAATTGTTCTTAACTGCAGTACTTGAGTAAATGTACTTTTCACCACTGTTACTGACAAACTGACAGCATGTCAGCAGGTGCTGACAGTGTTGCTATAACTAAACACTTCAGTCTGTCAGATTTGTCAAGGTAGCACATTATTGATTTCTACTCGACACAGCACCCAGGTTCAGACTAAACCACAGTGCAATTTCAACCACAGCCTCAAAGAACAGAGCAGTGAGTTTTATACATTCATGCCAACAAAGCTACCCAGGTGACACCAGTTTGAACCTGTCTTAAACCTCAAACCATAGCTAAGCTGCAGTGATCAAGAGTAACAGGCCCAACACATTCAAAACCCTTTTATTTTCTCTGTTAGAGAAAGAAAATGTAGACATCAAAGCAGAATTAGGAAGAACTGCAGAGAAATGATAAGGTTGTGTTTTCTTTGTTGTTGTTTGGCTCTGTAACTGAACCAGCTGCAGAGTGGCTGGGAGAGCTGGGATGTGGAGACGGATCCCTGTGTATCAGAGCAGAGGAAGGTTGTACACTTAAGACAACCACAGTGAAACAGGATTAGATCCCTGTCATTTTGGGTGGTTTATTTATTGTGGTAGAAAGTGGTAGTGAGAGCTGTTTGTGTCAGCCTCTAGTGATTCCCAGTGTGTCTGTGGTAAATAGCCACCCCTCGTCCTACCTGATAAGGCATCATAGCCATTTAGTTGTGTTTCTTAAAAGTTGGGGGGCGGGGAGTTCAGGAACAATTTCAGTGTTAATGTGACCAGAAATTAAATGACAAGTAAATGGAAGGTTTCATGTACAGACGACATCATTAGCTGTGTTAAACCCTTTGTAAATGGAAGGTTTCATGTACAGACGACATCATTAGCTGTGTTAAACCCTTTGTAAATGGAAGGTTTCATGTACAGACGACATCATTAGCTGTGTTAAACCCTTTGTTATCCAGGCTTGTTTACAAAAAAAATCATTAGTCTGTTTTGTGTTTTAACAGAAGCATTTATCTACATTCTAGTAAAGGTCAGGCTCAGTTCAGGCTCTTGGCCAACAGCAGCAGCTGTCAAACACAAACGGATCACTGAGGGTCCTTGTCTTTCTTCTGCATCTGTAATCACTTACATTCTTTGAGTAAAATGTGTTTTTTAACAATAATATCATTTCAACAGAATGGCCATTTAAGAAATGTACCTCTGTGGTAGCCTGGTTTAAACATTCAGTGACCTCAGGTGTCAACACAGATCAGAATTAGAGTTACAACTGTGACTCCAGCAGACATCCAACTGAGTAATACTGCTGAAAAATATAATGCGATGGTTTTAAAAGATTATGAATTAAATTAAATATATTAGATAAAATAAAACTCTGTTTTTGACTGTTTGATCCAGAGTTGGTCCCTGAAAACCCCCAGGATCAAGGGTTAAGATCAAGTTGGCCTACCATTGAACCGGTTAGCTTCTTACTAACAAAGCAAATCCAGCATGTCCCTGAATTTAGATTCACCACATCTGTTTACCATACTAGCTCATAGCAAGCTCATTGTTTCAGATAAACTAAACAGACATAGCTAATAGTTTTTTAAATGATATGTCAACATAATTTAAAATTTGAGTCTAAAAGTGGTTCATGACTGATTTTTTTCTGTTCTCATGCTGCTTCTCTCAGTTGCTGAGTGAGGAAGTGGACAAAGTAAGTACCTTTACAGGTGGACTGTGTGTGTGTGTACTTCATGAAAAGCATTGCATGTGTTTGGACAGTAATTTTAACACTTCTTTCCTGTCCTGTCATTTCCTCCTACAGGCAGAGCATGAGCTCCGTGTCGCTCAGACAGAGTTCGACCGACAGGCTGAGGTCACCAGACTGCTGCTAGAGGGAATCAGTAGCACGCATGTTAGTGTAACACACCAGTCATGTGATTCCTTCTGAGCCAGCTGTGCTGGAAAACCGTTAGTCAGAGTCATCTGACCATCCTGTAAAGTGTAGTTACATAGAGGAAAACAGCAACATGAATCATTGGATTGTGGCTGACAAATAACACACAGGTTGCACAGATTTGCACCAAATTAGAGAAAAACCTTACCTTGACCAAGCTCCATCAGAGACATCCCAAGACACATGCCATGTGCTTACTCATGCTGGGAATTGTTTAGTCTCTTTTACAATGGTCGCCTGTCCCCGTCTGGAGCTGTCCCCATTTTTAACTGTGTGTTAATCACAGACTGTATAAGGTGTTAACAGACCTGAAATCAGATTTTACATGGCCAGAAAGACTGGACGGGAGTACATACAGGTGTCGCGCTGAAAAGTAATAGTCCACAGAAAACATGATCTGAAGACATGATCTCTTTTGCAATTATCCTTATAACTTTACATTATTTAACTTGCTGTGTACCAACCAATCCAGTCCTTTTTACCTCTTAAAATACCTTTTAAATGGCCAACACAACACATAAAATACAGCATTCTACTTGCCAGAAAGTGATTACAGCCTCTACTTAGAGCTATATTTGACAGATTATAAACCTGAAATTGTCCCCCTTTTTATATATATATATATATATATATATATATATATATATATATATATATAAACATTATAATTTTTAATGACATACCACCAAACCAAAAATGTCCCCAGAAAAAGTGACAGTGACGAGAACACACGGCTTTATGAAAAGTTGAACGTGTTTCAATAAAAAGCAGAGCTTTAGCTAAATAGCCAGCTAACGTTAGTCAAACCCACACGCTCATGAATTTTTCCTGTTGTCTTCTGTCTTACCGATTCAGCTGCTGGCGGCGCATCTCGCTCTTGTTTTTCAGGGCTGTTCAACCGGCCAACCGGGTTAATCCCGTTACTCCTGATCGCCACTCCGACTATGTTTTGGACGATTAACATTGCGGGTCCGGCGGGGTGGGAGATTACGGTCGGTTGTATCCGTAAATCACTTTCCGGTTCGCTCGGATCTGTTTTTTGGAGCATTTAAGAGTGAAATAGGTGCTCGGTAGATCCCTGCGCCTAACGTTACAGAAACGAATTACACAGTCGCTACTCACTGCCTGTCAAGTATTTTTGGCTATGCATTATAAATAAATACTTTCACCTACACTTTTAGCAAACAAACTTTTGGACAAACAGGATTTTCACATTGAAAAAAAGATCTTCAAAATCTAACACCTTGTTAAATGGCGATTAAGACTTTTTAATACTTTTTAATGGTCTTCATTTTCGCAAAATAGATTTTTTACCTTTTAAGACTTTTTAAGACCCCGCGGACACCCTGCCCTTTATGGTCTAATGTAACTAAAACATTTACAGAAAATATAATTACAGTATCAGTAGTATAGTAACTAATCAGATTTATAGCATTATACTATATATAGTGCATGCTTATAAAATATGACAAATCCAAATAACTAGACTATATAATTTCTTGGCTGTAAGAAACTTTCAGGTTACCAGTGGAGAAGTTACTGGTCATGGCCATGGTCATTTACACCATAACCAGTGAATTGTGAGTGAATTAACGTTTTTAAACTTCGGTCTTCTTACAGATTAAACAAAGAAGATATAACATGTTAATTAACAAGCTTTGGTAGAGGTGCTGGTACACAGATTTTGTTACCTTTGGACAGATCCAGGTCACCTATGAACTTACGAAGTGACACATAAAACTGACACGTGTGAAAAAGACAAGAACTGACACAATTTCAAGGAGAGCAATTTTAGTAGCTTTTGGGAGAAGAGAGAAAATCTGTGTATTCTGGTGATAATGTGACAATAATAAAGCAAGCTGTCGCTTACTGCAGGGGATTTACTGATCCTCTTTTCCTTCCTCTCCTCAGCTCAACCACCTGCGGTGTTTGCAGGATTTTGCGGAGGCTCAGGCCACTTACTATGCCCAGTGTCATCACTACATGCAGGACCTGCAGCGGGAGCTCAACAGGTGAGGATTCAGTGCTGTTGGTAGCTTCATCTGTAACATTTGTATAAGACAGGTAGATTAGTTAAACATATTACTTTCGTGGCTTAGTTATATAGGCCAAAGGAGTGTAATGGGACTTTGTGAAACGATAAATGAAATTTCTTTAAAAAAATTAAGTTAAATTTCATTTATCGTTTATTTAAGTACAATTATATTCAGACATGAATCATATACTGCCTTAGTTTATCAGATAAATACAAGGATCTCATTTTCCAAAAATAACAAAAACCTTTCATTTAAGATGATCACAAGGACTGTGGCGGTGAAGTAATTTCCCCCTGGTAATATGTTGGGACTCAACAGCGTTATGCGGTATTATCGCCTTTTTCATCAATGAAGTAATTTGGTACCATATAGCAGAGTAAGAGTGTCTGTATCTGTCACCTCACTGCACAGCGAGCCGCTAAAAGCAGCTTTATGGTCGGAGCAGGGGCGTTTGCAGGTTCTTGAAACATTGGGGGCTTAGTCCAGACCAGAAATCTTTCATGTTTTTACCCCCCACCCCCATTGCCGTCTACCCAAAGTACGTTTATAAAGCAACAGTACATTTTTTATATATATACATTTACATTTATTATGATTTTTATAATTACTACTGATAACAATTAACACTGATCATATTAATTAGGGGGGTCTGGGGGTCCTCCCCCTGAAAAATGTGGGCTTTTAATTTATTTAATTTTAATTTCCTGAATTCTGGAGACATTTTCTGCACCAATTTATGGTAGAAATGTCTTTATTTTATAAAGGGAAGGACAAAATTTAGGTTTTTTAGCATTTATCTATATATCGGTTATTTTCGCGCATTTGGCAAATTATTATTTTTTTGACCCACAACACTAGAACAGCTCGAGCAGAGGGGGAGGGAGTGGGTGCTCTAAGAGATGTGATTGGGCCAGCCCAATGTCAGTATAGGCCTGATGCTTTATGGGCCGATCGTTGGCCAATTTTTTAAAAACAGTTAGGCCTATATAAATAAATAATTTGACTTGTAGCCTACTCGATGAGAGGAGCGCACTGCCCTTCATCAGAGGAAGAAAACCAAAACACTTTTCACACAATGTTCACTTTTAAAGTGCAGCTCACAGCCGCTTTAGAGGGAATGAAGCATCCTGGAGACAGTGAAACAGTAGTGTCACACAGCGAGGGGGACAGAGACAGCAGCACACAGAGCGTGATATTGTATCACTACTTTGCGGCGACTGTCAACCGTTTGTGTTAATACATTGACTAGACGCTGACCAAGAACATAGGCTGTTGATTACAATTTTGCTAGAGACAATTCAGAAGTTGCGGACAAGCCCTGAAACTGTGAGTCTCTCTCTCTCTCTCTCTCTCTCTCTCTCTCTCTCTCTCTCTCTCTCTCTCTCTCTCTCTTTTTTTTTGAATAAAGAAGAAGAAGTTTTTTAAATAAAATAAATAAATGAAACAGTAAGCGTGTGTGTGTGTGTGAGTCTTTAAAAATATATATATTAAAAATAAAATAGTTGTTGCTGTTGTTGAGTTACATTCAACATAAAGCCACGGAAAAATGACCTTGCGACGCCGTTGGGTCAGAGCAAGCTAGCTGCTGCATGCTAATGTACAACATTGCCAAGCAAACTATTTTTTTTTTCACACGTAGGTAGCCACTGCGCTGTAGTAGCGTTACAACTAAATTTCCACGGAAAACATGAAAAACAGCTGCAGGCGTCCGACACACTACGCTTGTTATTTAGTGAGCTTCAAATGAGGCTTACTGTCCACAGTTTCTCTGGACTGTCCCTCAGGATCACAGCGTTAGTCCAACATCGCAGAGCCTGCTAGCCACATTAGCTGTGCAATATGCCAATGCTAAGTTAGCTAACCTTTAAAATAAACAATAAAACAACACAAAACACGGCAACACAAACCGCTTCAGAGTTTGTAGTCGGGTCACGTACAGCCCATGGCGATCCATCCTTGAACCTTTACAGAACTTGTTTCGGTTGTGGAACTTTTGAAGCACTCATTTATTAATTTAACATGCACTGAGGTGTAAAGTATGAATATCGCGGTTGTTGCGGTGCTTGCCATCTTTGCAGTATTTTAATTTAACCATTATCACAACACCCATCAATACATTTTTGTTTCCAAACAGCAGACCAGAGATGTTCTCCTTATCATTGCTTCTCCGTTTGAGTTAAAGTGGTGCATGATCCAACATGAGTGTTACATCACGCTGGATCCAGTGTGTTTGCATAGCCCATTTTCTGACAGTTCCCAGTTGCTCAATGAACAGATTAAGCTGCTCTTTGTCAAGAACAGCAGCAAGGCTTATTCTTATTTTCCACCTGAAGGCAACATCTGCCTACAGGAAACAGAATCAAAACACACTGGGTCTGTCTCAATACATGCATTTCTAGTCTTGTCCCACATGTGAAACATGTCACAACAGTGAATGCACACTTCTCCTGATACTACTCCAAAGTGATACTCAGAGCTAAGTGTATCCCACAACTCCTCACAGTCTCCTGCGCAACACCAATCCAGCTGTGGCGGTAATTTCAGGATGGATAGTAATTAACACATGAAGAAGCACCCTTACTTATCCTTACCTGATTAAAGTATTTAAAGAGTAAAGCGAGATAGAAAATGTAATAATCATTATTCCCTTAAAAATGTAAAAGTAAAATTTACCATTTGACAAACCTACTCAAGTAAAAGAATAAACTTTTAGACAAGACAAGACCATCAATATGTGGTCTTAAGACCTTAAGACTCGAGTACTACAACACTAGAAAGTGCACTGGGAATCACAGCTGAAAAGTGAATTAACACACACACAAAAAACAAAACAAAGCGCACCTAACACCGAGGCAGCTATACTACTTTTTAATTTCCGGTATTGTTGCCGTGTCTGTTATCTTGATGTGGACACATAGCCATCCAAACCACATGTTTTGAAATAAAGCGTACTGCATATAATTTGCCTTTCGCAATAGCTCAGGCACCGAAGCCTACTGAAAGCCAAGATCTGTTTCACAGGTGACATTCTATTTAATGAATTCACCATTGGACATGACTATGAAATAAATAGTAACATATGGGAATTAGAGAAAGAAACAGGTTAATTTCCATCAAAAGGAAGCCATGCTCTGCACAACGAGTCCAAAAATGCTATCCAAACCATTAATACATTTGTCTGGGTGTGATTGTTGTCTTGTCTTTTTGCAGGATTATCTCAACAGCCTCAAAATAACACTTCCATAACTCACCCTAAATTTGTCTCCCAATTACACCCAGATGTGCAAATTCCGCTGGTGCCCACATCCCCTCTGCTGCTGTCTGCCCAAACCCTGTCTCCTCTGCTTTCCTGTCTGGATTGACGTCACCTGGGGCTCCAGTCTCGTGCTCATCCAGCCAAAGGCCCAGCACTCTGGCTATGGAGCAGACACAACTCCCTATAACAGGCACCAGAAAGGCCAAGGTCCTGTATGATTATGAAGCCCATGATGCAAGCGAGCTTTCCCTCCTGGCTGATGAGGTACAGCAGGAAATTCTGAGTCACCCCACACACAATGTCTGACCTTCTACTCATTAACAGGAAGAATCAGAAGGAGCTTTATTGCCAAGTAGTGTTTTACACATACAAGGAATTTGCTGTGGTGATAAGGTTCTACACGTAGACAAACATACAGGCAACATAAATAAATGTAGAAATATATAAATATGGAATGGAAGAACAACGTTGCAGATATATATGTGCATTATTCTGGGTCTGTGCCGTGCAGAAGTAACGCAACGGAAGAGAATATTGTGTACATATAAATATATAAACAACAAAGATCAACAATAAACAACAAATATATGCGACGTGCCAGGTCTGTGCCCGACATGAAATGAAACAGTATTTACATGTGCAGAGACATTTGTATCATTTGCAAGGGGGGAGTGTCAGTGGGGGCCCCGGGCCTTGTTAATGAGGCTGTTTTTGTGGCGAGAGGTTTTGGACCGCAGCCTCCTGCCAGAGGGGAGAGTCTGAAACAGTTTGTGTCCGGGGTGGGAGGAGTCAGCTTCAATCTTTCCTGCTCGCCTCAGAGTCCTTGAGGTGACCATCTCCACGGTCTTCAGAGCGTTGAGCTCCAGACTGTTCTGGCTGCACCAGGTCACCAGATGGTCCATCTCCCACCTGTAGACAGACTCATCCCCACCAGAGATGAGCCCAATGAGGGTGGTGTCATCCGCAAACTTCAGGAGCTTGACAGACTGGTGACTGGAGGTGCAGCAGTTGGTGTACAGGGAGAAGAGAAGGGGGGAAAGAACGCAGCCTTGAGGGGATCCGGTGCTGATAGTCCTGGAGTCAGAGACATGTTTTCCCAGCTTCACGTGCTGCTTCCTGTCCGTCAGGAAGTCAGTGATCCACCTGCAGGTGGAGTCAGGCACGTTCAGCTGAGAGAGCTTGTCCTGCAGCAGGGCTGGGATGATGGTGTTGAAAGCAGAGCTGAAATCCACAAACAGGATCCTGGCATTTCCAACCTTAGCCTTCTGAGTTTAGCTGTGAACCAGGGTTTGTCATTGTTATAACTCACCCTGGTCCATGTTGGAATGCAGCTGTCCTCACAGAAGCTGATGTAGGACGTCACAGCCTCTGTAAACAGATTGTTGGTAGCAGTCCTGAAAACATCCCAGTCAGTACAGTCCAAACACACCTGGAGGTCCTCAACAGCTTCACTAGTCCACTTCTTTGATGTCCTCACTACAGGTTTATAGAGCTTTAGTTTTTGCCTGTAAGCAGGAATCCGATGTACCATCACGTGATCAGAGGGTCCCAGTGGAGCGCGTGTGACGGCGTGATAGGCACTGCTAACTGTGGTGTAGCAGTGATCCAAAGTTCCCTTCTCTGGTTGGACACTTTATAAACTGTCTGTATTTCGGGAGTTCTTGGCTGAGATTTCCCCTGTTAAAGTCACCGAGAACAATAACAAGGGAGTCCGGATTTGTCTGCTCCACACACAGTATCCGGTCGGCCAGCAAGTGCTGTGCGTCCTGAACATTGGCATGCAGCGAGATGTAAACACCGACCAGAGTGAATGAAGCAAACTCATGGGGGGAGTAACGGTTTACAGTTAATGATAAGAAATTCCAGATTAGGAGAACAATGCTGCTGAATCACTGTCACGTTGCTACACCAGCCATTGTTAATATAAACAGACACCTCCACCTTTTGTTTTGCTGGACAGTTCTGTGTCGCGGTCCGCTCTGTGCAGTTGGAAGCCAGCCAGCTGCAGCGTGGAGTCCGGTATCAGTTCAGACAGCCACGTCTCCGTGAAGCACAGAACAGAAGATGAATAAGAGTCTCTGTTTTTCCCCACCAGAAGCTGAAGTTGGTCAGTTTGTTGCACAGTGAGCGCACGTTGGAGAGAAATATTGACGCACAAGCGACCCGGCTCTTTTCCCTCTCCTGCGGCGCGAACGACAGCCCTTCATGAAAATGTCCAATAATTCCACTGATGACGCTAGAAAAGTGGGAATTAAATCCGCTGGAGTTGTTCCCCTGATGTTCATGAGACCAAGTCAAGACCAAGGAAGTTAACAAATCAGACAACGCAAAAGCAATTTATTGATATTCACACAGTTATGCTCTTGACTGGTCTTGAAATAAAATCCCGAGGTCCTGAGTGTCTGAGACAAGACCGAGTACAAAGACGGTCGAGTCCGAGACGAGACCAAGACCATCAATATGTGGTCTTAAGACCTTAAGACTCGAGTACTACAACACTAGAAAGTGCACTGGGAATCACAGCTGAAAAGTGAATGAACACACAAAAACAAAACAAAACAAAACAAAGCGCACCTAACACCGAGGCAGCTATACTCAGCGCCATCCTGCAGGCATCAGGCAGTTAAAATACTTTTAGATGTTACTGCTACATGTATAGATATTGCGTCTGTATGCACGTTTTTGCTTCTCATTGCCTTTAAAATTTTCATGTGGATATATCAATCAACTCATCCAGCCATTTTTTAAACCATTTTTTTTTTTTGAGAGTGGGGCCTTTCCCATCATGCACTCATTAAAGGATAGGTTTACATTTTTTCAAGTATGTTTTAAAACAACATTCACAAAGAGTTGTTGGCAGTAGTCCTTCCATCTGTCCAGTCCGGCCGTTGGGGCAACTTCAGTGTCAGAAAAGGTCACCATTGAGGTTTGTCCAATCAACATTTTCAGTTTCATTCCATGTTCGCCTTGTTTATTTGATAAATGGGACTCCCTATAATGATCCTGCTGACATGGCAGAATTTATTTAGATTATGCAGAGGAAATGGATTTGGATTTGGGTGTAAAGGAAAAACGTCAGTGGCTATACTCCAGATGATGTTACTGTAAAGCTTTGAATCTTTGTAGAACAGCTCCTACATAAATGCATGGAAAGCACAGCAGGTGCCATTATTAGCATCCACTTAATCAGAAACTGCGGATGCAACACACATATTCCTGCTGTTTATATGATGGTTATATGATAGTTTTTAATGTTGATAAAAACATTATTAGCAAGAATAAGCTGTTAAAGCTGGAGTAGGCAGTTAATTTCAGATCATTTTTTATCTGTGGCTGACAGGACTGTAAGTAAGTAAGTACGGCCAATCAGTTTTTTCAGTTTGAATGAAATGATGGCTGGAATACCTGCCTACCTCCTAACCTGCTTACCTGTGTGCACTCTGCCCTGGGAGAGAGGCTTGACCAGGGACGGAAGGTCAGACCTGCGTGTATGCATGAGAGTGGTGGAATGGAGGGAACTAGTGGAATTTTGGATGGTATAGTGTGTGATATTACGATATTAGATCATGAATGATTAAAATGTCTTCACGATCAGAGAGAGTATTGTATTGTATTGTATTGTGCCAAAGTGCACATTCTATCAGTTTTAGGTGTTTGACTCATTCACAGAGTTTGCTGGTGAACAGATAGTGTTCCTTGTTGCTAAATTAACCACTAACAGCAGCCAACTAGCATTAGCTGCCGTTATTTAATGTACATTTACAGTCCCCTCCAAAAGTAAGGTAAATCCCTTTGTTTTTGTTGTTCACTGAAGACATTTGGGTTTAAGATCAAAAGATGAGACAAGAGTTCAGAATGTCAGCTTTTATTTCCTGGTATTCACATCTAGATGTGTTAAACAACTCAGGACATACCATAGTTTGTATTAGACCACAGCATTCTTAGGTGAGCAAAAATTAATGGAACAAATAATCTTAAAGTAAATAACATTTAATATTTGGTGGCATAACCCTTGCTTGCAATAACTGCTTCAAGCCTGCGACCCATCGACATCACCAAACTGTTGCATTCTTCATTTGTGATGCTATTCCAGGCTTTTACCGCAGCTTTTTTCGGTTCTTGTTTGTTTTGGGGTGTTTCTCCCTTCAGTCTCTTCTTAAGGAGGTGAAATGCAACAAAATGTTTCTGTCCACTATTGAATTCATTGTGCTGCTACCATCATCAGTTCCATCCTCAATAAATATTAATTTGCCTGTTCCAGAAGCAGCCATGCACGCCCAAGCCATGACATCACCTTCCGGCTCATCTCTGTGCGTCTTTGCAAATTTCACCCTGTTCTCTGGAGGTCGTTGCTGATGTCACTTCCTGATGTTTTGGAGGTTTTCTTCACAGCTCACACCATATTTCTGTCATCAACTACTGTTGTTTTCCTTGGCCGACCTGTAGGACGTCTGTTGCTCAGTACACCAGTATATTCTTTCTTTTTCAGGACATTCAAATTGTTGTGCTTGCTGTGCCCAATGTTTGTCCAACGGCTCTGCTCGATATTCCTTCTTTTCTCCCATAGACAGCTCTCTGGTCTTCATGTTGGTTTATCCTCTTTAACAGGAAATGCAGTCTTTATAGGTTTGAACCAAGGATGAAAACTTAGACTAGTCATGCAGAGCTATTTAATGTTTGGACAATCAACCTAAAAGGCAACACCTGGGCAACAAGAAACATCTGGCAGTCACATGTTCCAATGGTTTTGCTCACTTGAAAAATGGGTGGCTTCAAACAAAGGGTGGTATGTCCTGAGTTGTTTAACACATCTAGATGTGAATACCAGGAAACAAGAGCTGACATTCTGAACTCTTGTCTCATCTTTTGATCTTAAACCCAAATGTCTTCAGTGAACAACAAAAACAAAGGAACCGTTCCAATACTTTAGGAGGGAACTGTACATTTACTCATTTGGCAGACACTTTTATCCAAAGCGACTTACATTTGAGGAACAACATGCTTCAACAAAGCATCAATAGAGCACGAGATCTACAACTGATAATACATACTAGTAAGGGTAGCAGTAAATACTAGTAAGAGCTAACTGAACTAATGGCTCAGCTATGACCAGTGTTGAGCTGACTCAGCCCAGACTGGGAGTTCGGCGCGCCTGGGGAGTGTGTTACTCCAAAAGTCCACTGACTCCGGCTGCGCTGCCTTACGGCTGCACCACGGTTTTGTTCTGTCCTCTGCCCAGCGCCAACGTCCACTGGAAGCGTCTCAGAGGTGTTTCAGCAGCAGAGCGTGTTTCCTTCCCCACGTTGTTAATTTGTCTTTTTTATGCTTCTACTACCTTCTTCACAGCTCTTGCACGCTGCATATCCCACAGGGAGAATCAGAGCATTTTGTTGCCTGATTTTGCTGACGTTTAGATTTTGTTGATCTGGTAATCAATGTTTGCTTTTTGTGCTTTTAATATGAATAAGTAGGCTATGTTGGTAAATGGTTTATTTTGTGTCAGTTTTAACCATGCTTATTGTTGTTGTTTTATGATTGGGAGTCTGCACAGGGTGTTTTATTTTGAAAATTGACTGGATTTTCTATGCAGTTTTGTGTCTGACTTCCTGCCCGGTTCCATCTGCTCTGTGCTGCTTGACGCAGTTTTTGTCAAAAACAGATTAGCTAACCATTCTCTGCGGAGTGGAGAGCCGCATCTGGGACGCTTCTGGGACACGCTTCAGCTGCGTGGTGTCAATGTTTGTGAGTCCACCAGACGCAGACGCAGCCGCAGCGTGTCCCAGAAGCGTTATCACAACTACAGATTGATGAGGTACAACAATACTATGGCGAGGGGGGAGCCGGGACAACAGGTCAGCGGGGAGATGTATTCATCATCCCCAACCCCAGAGATTGAGTCCCAAGCCCCAATAACAACAAGCCCTTACGGCACAGACTCACTTAACACAAGGGCGACTGACCTTAGACTGAAGATCAGGCTGGACCCAAAAGCACTACGACCAAGATTATAAGGCCAAGTGACAAAGTATCATCTGAAAGTCTGCTAGAAGATGTGAATGCACAAGGTTGGGGTAACAGCGTCACGTGATCAGGATATAAAAATAAAGTAACTGTACTCCGTTACAGTGTAGAAAATAAAGATGTAATCAGATTACAGGTACATTTTGTAAAAATGGGGATTACAAATAGGGATTACTTTAAACACAAAATTTATAAAAGCTATTTGCTATTTAAGTGTTTCCTGTAAAAACACACAGCTAGTGAGGGATTTGTCGCAGAGATTGATTGCCCCCTCCCATTCATGCAGACTCTGTGTGGTCCACACTGCGGACTGATTCCAGCTCCCAGTGAATGAGTACGGCAGCCGGACCTCAGCACAGACTCTGACTGAGACTGATGGAGTTTGACCACTAGGAATACAGTAAGAAGGTGGTTTTACTGCCAGTTTGGCTTGTGTCACCTGTGGGCTGAGTCAACTAATGAGGCTGTGTCCTGTTCATGTCGTGTTCACTTGGAAGCTGCTGAGCGCAGTTTTGTTGCATTCATTCCCCGCTGGGTCCCCACCGCCACTGGCCTGAAAACCTCCAGTGCTTGAGTAAAGGTGTAAACCTAAACACACACTCCGATGTTTCGAGTTCCCAGTATGGGCAGATTAAGCTAGTTTGACCAGTAGCTGCAGGCTAACTGAGCTAATTATAGAGCTAGATAATGGCAGCTAGTTAGCAGCAGTTAGCTGACTTGCTACAGCAACAAGTAAAGCTATGTGTCCATCAGGAAACTCATAAATCATGGAGTTGAGGCAGAGCAGCTGAGAAACACCAGAGAGAAAACCAGAAAATATTTTCCATCAAATATGATCCAGTTTCAGTAAAATCAGTGAATAAAGTTATGTTTTTATTTTCATTGGACACTAAAATGAATCCAGGCCCCCCAGTGCAGGATGATTCATCGTTTTCCAATCATTTTCCAATCATTTTCCAGGATATGACACAGTGTCAGTATTCAATAATCCCTACAGAACAACTTTTTTTTGTCATTAATGGGCCCTGACTTACAGCTCTAGTGCAAGGCATCATTTAAAAAATTTAGGCCTAAACATCATTAATTTCATGGGAATGGGATATTTTATAGTTGTATGTTACACTGAAAAAATACACTGAGCAGACAACGCATCTTGTCTTTATTTGCGTATTTGGTACTGAAGTAATCCAAAAATAAGTCCAGGTTACTGATTACATTTTTTAACAAGTAATTAGTAATTGTACCGGATTACATTTTTAAAGTAACCCTTTGTCTTTTTAAATAACTTCATTTTGGTTCATTTCAACACATTTTTGCCAACACATTTGTCCTAAAATTTCCTCCTTTGCTTTTTGTTTCTCTAGTTCATAACCGTATACACCGTACCAGGAATGGACCCTGATTGGTTGATTGGAGAGCGGGGGAACGAAAAGGGCAAAGTCCCCGTCACCTACCTTGAACTGCTGAGCTAATGGACCAAACATCAGGAAACACTCACACATCTGAAAAATCTCCATTTACTGTCACACATGGGTGCATTTAGTACACTTAGTGTATCTTGAGCTGTGGCTATCCTAAAGCTTATGCAATCCTGCTTTCAGCAAGTTTCTATAAATATAGATGACCAATGAGAGGGAATTGCAGCAAACACTTGTGTGTGAGCAACAGTTTTATTTGAGTAGTTGTGTCATGACAGACCTACTCTTATTCCGGTAATGTGTATCCAGCATGTGATGAGGCCACAGTTAAAGCTACACCCCCTCATTTTTTTAACAGTGTCAGTTACTTTTGTGTGAAAACTGAAACTCAATTCCTGTCAATCTCGCATGTGTTTGTACACAAAGCATTCATGAGCCATTCAAAGACCAAGACCTTGTGTAATCCATTAAAGGATAATTCCAATTTATCACGGCTCGGGTCTTATTTTTGTAGTTTGGGCCATCATTTGTATAGGTTATGATATTTGCACTTACCAAAGTAACTGCTGAGATCTGGGAACAAAGTGACGAGGCTACAATAAAGTTCAAAGGGACATGAAACACGAGCTGTCAGACAAATTGACAGGCAGACTCCTTAAACCACTTTCTAGAGAAACAAGAAGTAAAACTGGACATACTCAGCAGTATATGGTGCAGTTCATTCAGTATGTCTTGACAGTGGTGATTTTTTTTTTAATAAAACAATGTAGGGATAATAAATTAATAGCACTGAGTATCTGTATACCAAGTCTGATCCGTTATTTGCCTAAATGTTGATTCAAATGTATCAAACATGTTGAAATAACAGCTGTGGCCTGTTAAATTTTAAAGTTTACAAACTTAAATAATTGATATGATATGAAACGTTTGATTGGGAGGTTGACCCCTGTTAGATGTTGTTGGAACTACAAAAACAAACAAATCCATTTGTGGTGTTACAGAGTGGAGCTTTCCCCAACCCAAGATCTTTGAGTACAGACACCGGCTTGCAGAGTGAACTTTAATCAGACAACACCCAAAGTTTAGTTTTGGCATGTTAAAACATTAGTAATGCTTTTATCGTATTTGACAAACCATTCCCCTCAAGCCCATTGTGGTTAAATGTCAGTTGTATGACAGAATGAAGTGAGTAAACTGATGAGTGGTGGGGTTGCGGCTAGATTATTATTGCAGAAAAAATGGAGGGGTTAGCCCTGTTGATGTTTTTAGTCAGTAGCTACTGTAAAAGGTTGTAATAGTAATATAAAAACTTTTTTCAAGAGTTGTAGTAGATATTAATTTAATTAATTTATGTGAGACTGCATCATAAACCCCAGGGACATGTTTCATTAGTTTCAGAAAGACTGAGACTGAGAGCAGAACAGCGGCTTGCCTGGAGGTAACAGCAGGACTCTTTATTTGGAGGTATAACTGATAACTGAGCGCAAAACTGCGTGGGACTGCTCATGTTTCTTGACATGTTGGACTTCTTTTTAGCAATGCCACAGTGTATCCAGATCTCATCAATTAAAGTGAGACGTACACTGGTTTCCTGTTAAAACCACATAAAAGGCCCAGCCTGTAATAAAGCTTCATTTTCCTTTGTAGGATAATGTAGGGCTAGCAGTGATGAATTTTATGATAAAACCGTCTGTTTCATCATTTCATCAGCAATACAACTACATTTATCAAATGCTGACTGAAATGGAATAGAAGATCTAGATTTTTATGTTGTACACTCTTGACATTGTACTGTAAACCTTTTAGAGGCGAAACATACAGATCAGTTGAGTTTTCAAATGCTGAACTTGATTTGTAACCTCACCATTTGAGCGATGACAGACAAGCTGTTGAAGTGTGATGTAACTACAGTATACAGTATGTAGTCTTGTAGAAGCCAGCTGATTTCATTTTGGTGAAGTGATCATGCTTAGTCAACATGTTTTATTCAAATACTAGTTACTTGTCAAACACATCTCCCAGATGGCAGACACATGGCTTGACACAATTGTACTCATAGTCTGGTGCTTTAGCTGGTTGGTTCAAAATTTAAATGTGAATTTCTGAAATGTGTGGAGAAACATAATAGTAATCTATTTCCTGTATGAGGAGCGGTTACTCTACAACTCAGTTCATTGTCATGTCAAACCTCATACTTGTTTAGAAGGATGTTGTTAGCCTAAAGATTGCAACATTGCTACAAATAACTCACAATAAATTATAACCAGTGAATCTGACTGGTATCCTGCCAACTCTCTGATGGAGATCTTCTCAACTCAAAACACATGTAGAGTGATGCAAACAACATTTCACTTTCACCAGAAAAGTGCAGTCTTGTGTGACTAAGTGTTTGATGTGTAATTAACTACAGACGATGTAATGCTCATTTTGGAAGGTTAACCTCACCAGTGACAGCATTTTGAGTGACATCCGTGTGTAATGTTGTAAAGCTTCCAAAGGGAATCTCCCAGTATGATTTTTTATCTGAGATCACAATTGGCAATGATAGTCCTTTTTCCCAAATAATGTAAGTGAAGGTATTTGTGACCCCTTTACCTTTCCACAAGAGCCACTATCAGATGAAAATATCCCTTGGTGCAACAGAAAAATTGAGAATGCTAGGTCTGCAGGCCTCCCTCCTTCCTAGTTTACTTGGTAAGTTTCGCTCCATTCCTGGATGCCTGTGGGATCATGATTATGTTATTTGATCCCATAGACACAAAACATTTGAGCCAAAATAGCCTAATACTGCTGTTTGACATAACTTCTGACTACAACAAATAGATTCAAAAAAAGGTCCGTCCTGAGGCATTTATTAGTTTCTGACTCTGATGGAGGGAAAACACAAGAACTACCGTATCTCTGTACTCTCACACATGTAGGCTATTCTAAGTGATCTCCTTTGAATAACTAATGCAATAAGTAATGTAATATTGTTTCACTTCCATTCACTGAGCCTCCCCTGAAACTGTTTGGAGCCCCCCAAGGGAGGCCCGCCTCACACTTTGAAAACCCCTGCTTTAGACATTTGGTCTTGTGTGTAACTTATTGGATGGCTGAGCATTAGTATTTCTTGACCTTGGTTATAGTACGTGGACTGATAAAGCTATGTACCGCATTTTAGTTTTCATCAGCCTGTGAAATTTACAAACTCTATCCATTTAAATACATCATGAAAGAAAAAGCTTGAAAGTGGACCTTGCGTTAAGATTATTTTTAACTAGTGAATATAATCTGTGTTATCTAAACAGGCTACCTTACAAACACTGGAGAACACATCATTTGAAGTATGCAAATTGTATAAACATGGTCTGATCAGATAAAATACCAGTGTGTGTGTGTGTGTGTGTGTGTGTGTAAATTAATTCAGCATTACTTATCACAGTTGTTTTTATGAGCAGTGTTTCCTGTTGCTTCCATGTTTTCAATTTGGTGTGTTGTTACATGCCAATGTTCAGACCATCTTATTGTCGTCACATTCTTGTCACCCTCCAACTTATGACCACTGGTTTGATGTGCAATAAACAAGCATGTGTGTTACAGTGATAAGATTGCATCTGGTTCTTGAATATCCACAAACACAGCATTGATCAACAGAGTCTTACACAAAGGTTTACCTTTTGTACTTAACAACAAGAACAGCAGCTGGTAAAGTTGTATTAGGTTGAGCGTTGAATTCATTTTCAGTCAAAATCTGAGAAAACAGTCACTCAGTAAAATTTTAGTTGAGAAATCTGACAGGTTGAGTCCAGCTTTCCCCTAGAGCCACAAAAAAACCTACATGGCACAAGGTGGCTATAGGCGATATAGGGCACCTACACACTGACCATACATTTGTCTCTTGCACAGTTAAAAGAAAACATATACACTCTCAAGTAATACTTTGTGATTATATGCTGCCTAATTCTTCTGGAGTATTGATTAAATGAGTAGAGAAGGGTCTTACTTCTTACACAATGTACATTTAACCTCCCATTGAAAAGCTGAGCTTTTGTAATTCCCCATGTCATAGAGCTGAAGTGACTGATCAGAATACCTTGGAGGTGAAAGGTTTCAAATTCAGGCATGAATGCTGGGTGGTTTCCAGCTAGGAAGTATATTTCCCAGTTCTAGAGGTCATGTGTTTAATAATTGCTCTTTTCCTCTGTTGCATTTGAGTGTCATTCAGTAAGCTTGCCTTAGTACGCAGCATCTGATCATATTTTGATTACATACCTTTATCTGCAATTTCAAATACAAGCTCTTTAAGTATTTTATTACCAACTAAATCAAGTAAAATACAAATTATGAAATACTCAAAAGTAATTAAATACATATTTTTATTCCACACCAAAGGCATGTCTTTTTCACGGCACCATACCATACACCCCCTGTATGTGTCTCACCCTTCGGCTCACTTTTGCTTTGATTGTAAGTTTATCATTTGTTAATAAATGCTGAAAAACAGTTCCTGCTCTGCCCAAGTATCTGCATCTGGGCCCAAATATAGTGCGTCTTGTGTCTGAGCTTGACAGCTCCCCATAACAGAGAGTGAACCAAAACAGTAAAGTTGTGGGCCGGAGAGATAAACAATGAGCTGAAATTTACTATAAAGCACCTAAAAGCTGGGAGAGCTGCAGATTCAGCTGATGAGTCTCCGAGGCTTCATCACTACCACAGAAAGTGTTCATATTGTCACATTGTTTTAACATTGAAAACATAAGAAGAAGTTCACTTTCTTGCAAAGAGTTAAATGAGACAATCAATACCACTCTTATGTCTGTGTGTTGAAGCTACAGTCTGAAGAAAAGTTCAACGAGCTTATCTTAGATGTCCTGGAGTCTGCCACACTGCTAAAAAAAAGAGAAGGGAAACCTTAAATCACACGTTAGATCTTGATGAATGAAATAGTTTAAAGTTCAAAAGTCTTTACTGTATAATTCATTGAGAACAAAATGACAATTATCAACGATGGAAACCAAAATCACCAACTGATTGAGGGCTGTATTCAAAATCAGTAAAAATCTCAGGCTGATCCAACTTGGGTGAATTTCATCAGGCAACTCATAATGTGACTCAGTAGTGGGTGAAATTTGGACACATGACACGTTCAGAATTAATAAATATAGGCTACTAGAGAACAGCATAGAGCTGAGCAGCTTGCGCGGGTGGGGCAGGAAATGCTTGCAGGTGCCTGGTTTAAATGTTCCAATATGGTAGTGAATTGCTGAAATAGAAGCATCCTCATGACGCAGGTTTGATAAATGAAACAAATGTATTGGAACTGAGTTTTATGAAGTTCTAAGGAAGCCCTGAATATCTATCTATATATATATATATATATATATATATATATATATATATATATATAATATCTATATATCACCATTGTCGTGGTGTTTCAGTGTTGCTGTAGGTGAAACCACTGAGAGATGCACAGTTTGAACAAGTACTGCACTGCAAAGATTCA